GAATCCCAATTTAAAATATCACTTGGGGGAGCGAGCTGGTCTAGTGGTTAGAGCGCGGAACTCCGGTTCGTGGGGTCCCGGGTTCAAATCTCGCCAAATCACCAATGGATTTTATCTAAGTGATAATTCCGTAACCCCTAGGTCTAGCCTGAAGAAATGTGAAAAACAATTCCGGGCTCGTGCCTAGCATCCTAGGACAAAAAAAAACAATTTAAAATATCACTATGGACATGCCAGGAAAAGTGTTGTGATTTTTAATCGATGTTCACATTTACACAATTTAATTACCTAAGCTGCATGGCGCCGTTTGGAATCGTTATCGTTTACCTTACAAGTGTTTGGACAAGTCCCAGGGCTAGCATGGATTAGTTCAGGGTGTGGATTGGTTGTTCAACGTTCAGCGTCGGTAATAAAGATGTTCAGACGGGATTGATCTTGATTTAGGTAACACCAATCATCACCGCACAAATAAACAATGGCTCATCTTGTGTACGAACCCAATTCCCAAGATCCATTAAAATAAAAAAAAATATAAATAGATCATTAAATTCAATTAGAAACTTCGATATTTTTACCTGCCGCTGGAATAACTTATTCCGCCTTCTCGCATAAAAAATCTCTAGCACCAGAAATCAGAAATCACCTTCCAACTCTTTAATTATAATTGCTATTTTAAAGAAACAAACTATCAAAAATTTGCTGCATACCCTATAAAATAATTAAAAGGATGTTAAAGGTCATTCATTAATGTTTCAAATACTATGCATAAACAATAACAAAAAGTACTATAATCAAACACTGTAAATTTATTATAGATCCACTTCACTTAATATTAAAAATCGATCATTTAATAATTATTAATTAAAACGAACCAAACATGTTGCAGGTACCGTTTACAACTTCAATACCTGATAACGAGCATCTAGTAAAAATGCAATTTCGCAAAAAAATCTAGATTCTATTCATATTTCAATAACGAAAGTTTACACTTTGCACCAAATTTTACTTCGGTACCAACAGTTCACAAATCTCAAAATGTAAAAAAAAAATAAACGACAAACCAATTCCAAGTTGATATTCAAACAATTACTTTCCAGCTTCAAACAATTTCCTTTCAAAAACATTTTACGAAAGCTTTAACGGAATTCCCTAGGATAAAAACAAACCACAAACAAGTGAACAAAATTAGTCACACACCTGAGATGAATAGACGAAGACGATTGGTTACTCCACACGCTGCAATAGTCACAACAATACTGGCGGAACTGTGAACTGAAACTGAGGGCTGGGGAACGGTGGACGGTGGACTAGACACAAGGCCACAGCTGACAGAGAACTGGCAGCTAACTGTGGGTGCAAATGCAAGAAGGATCAGGCCAGGATCAGCCGCTTAGTCACAGTGTATCCACGCTGCGCAAATAAATATCCCGTTTTCAACAATAAAGTCCCGCTTTATCCCACGTCTACGTAAATAAAATCCCGTTGTAATTTTCAAAGATTTTCTTGTTTGTGAACAAAGTTTTTTTATTTTTGAATTTTAAGAGAAAATATTAAATATTGTTGTAATGACTTAATTTTAAGTTTGTATGAAAGATTTTTTAACTAAAATACTGTAGAGTGTAGATTTATTATTTCTTAGTGAACTGAAGATTTTAAATTGCTATGAATGTGTTTGATTTCCTAGATTTATGAAATGACGAAGGTTAAAATAAATTGTCTAGTTTATTATTATTGACGAGTAAGCCATTTTCTCAAAGAACTCAGGAAAACAATGTATATCATTTTAATAGCCATGATACACGCAAACTTCACTATCAATTCATATTTTCAATTCAACTTTCATATTTTACCTGTTGTTGTTATCTTTTGCGCCATATTATTATGTCTTTTGCATCTTATGCCTGCTTCTCATTTTCATTCTTATTAATTGCACGCTTTTTAGTAGCCTGTACCAAATGTGCTATGTCTTTGTATGCCTTACACTTGAAATGTTTCAGCCTATGAATGTATTTTTGTTTTCTTTTATACTGGTTATGTATTTTGCATGTCATGTCTGCTTTTTAATTTTTTCTATTATTGCTCATATTTATTACCTAATTATGCTATGTTTATAAAGTGATTTAATCCTATTTAATGTATATTCTAATGTAAAAATGGTGTTACCGTTGAATGAATAAATAAATAAATGAATCAAATTTAGTGCCCCCGCAATGTACTGGAAAATTAATTAGAATTTAAATGTATTAGTTTTTACGTAATAAAATTACTTCATATGTTTCAACTATGAAATTAAATTAGACCCCACTGCTTGGTGGGATGGCATAGTTTAAAATTCTATAACCAGTATTAAACTTTCTACGGAACATAGTTTCATCTGCCTGCCTAAATATAAATCTTGAGAAGAATCAATAGATTAGTTTAAAGCATTTCTTGATTGAATCTTAATTTTATAAAGTTCAATAAGTATCTGTCCTTTACAAACAGTACAACTCTCAAACAAAAGAAAAGAAACAAATACATTCAATTTTATCTAACTACAAAATGTTAGGTCTAACTTGTGTAGCTTTTACTTTATAAATTTTGTACTATTCATCGTATTGTACGCATATTTATGAAGTAGTTTAAAAATTCAGTTATATCCCGTTTTGGCTTCTCAATGCGTATGCAAATATCCCGTTTTCCGGGATGAATTCCCCGCGCGCTCCCGGGAAAGCCCGTCCTTGAGTCTTGTTCACGGTCACTGGCCTAACGCTAACGTCTTCTTCACTTTCTGATTCTGTAATGTTCGCTTTGCAATTCCCTACTCCACTTTCAACCAAACCGTCCGGACCGCTTCCCCGGCCGGTCCTTCCGCTGTCGGTTTCACCCGTTTTGATTCACGGCTTCGATTTCGGTGAGGTTTTTATTACTGCGGTTGGAGAAAGAAGACGCCTCTCAAATGAGTCAAATGCCTTTGGTAGAAAGATGCGCAGTGGAACCATTGACTATAGAAACAGAAAGTAGGGCATTTAATCTCATTGTAAACTGTGAAATTTGTTATGATGCGTGTTTAGTATTTTAATGCGGCATTGCTGAGTTACGCGTTGATGTCAGAAGGACGAATCTCTCTTATTAGGGTCAGTTTTACGGTGTAAATTACTCTTTTTGATTGTACAGATTAGACTTAAAAGATGATTGTTGTAAATGAGATCTGAGATCATAGCATTGTTGCTGACTAAGATCAGCTGATTATTAACCAGGACCATTTAACAAAAGCCTAATAAATTGTGAACTAAATGAAGCTCACAAATAGATTCATTTATTTGAGATGTTTTGTAAAGTGGATGAATATCACGAAATAGTATCCCAAAACGCCCATTACGTAAACGAGACATTTAAGTTACCTATACTTATTGGAAAATTGTCTCCAGCGGATCCATTGATGGACTCCTTTGCACGTGATTATTAGGCATGTAATTCTATTCTATTCTATTCCTAGACCTATTCTATTCTTAGGGTACTCGCTATGGATACTGTACATTGTAAAGCTATATTTTCACTGTCAAACGTTTACAATAGGTTTAATTATAAACAGCTAGTAACTCCAGAGTAATAATTACAACTTTTGAGCTTTTTATGAATAAAATATTTGACCTTGAACTCGATTGTGCAGCTAGGGCGTAACATTGCCAGACTCACGCTAACTATATGAACACTGTTGTCATGCGATGTCGTGCTTATGGAATGTAATTTCCAGGAAATATATCTACCACACCCTTTTTATAACAAAAATTTATAATTTTATAATACTTTACTACAGTAACATTTTATTTGTATCTATATGTAGGCCTAGAGTCCAGGGTTTGGCCTATAAAATCCTCCAAAGTGTTTAAGGGTTGAAAGTAAAAAGTTTTTTATAGGAAACATTTTATGCAAATTCTTTAGCAAATGAATAAAACAAGTTGTATCAACAATTCTCTCTCTATCGTAAAGGAATAGCCTAAATATGTATCAAAGATATTTTTCAAATGTTAAATACTTACGCACATTCCAAAATAAAAGTAATCCAAGTTTGCATTAGCTTGAACAAAATAAGGTCTACAACTTTCCAAAGGAATTACTAAACCAGTATACATTTCTAGCAACGTCTTGGAAATCGGAAACCAAATTTATAGGTTTGGATTTGTTCAAATAAATTTATTTCTGAGATGTACCGGTACCAATTATTAAAATATAACCCCGACAGCCGGAATCAGACGATTGAATAAATCTCGGTTTGGAATAGATAGATTACAGTAAAATAGTCCTCGTCCATGTTTAAAAAAGCAAAACACTAAAACAGGGAATTGAATTTGTGAAGATGATAAAGCCCACCAATTCTAGAGATTTTCTACAAGTAAGAAAACAAAAATACAGTATTTATGTATTTCTACACAAAGCCAATGAAAAACTTAAAACACAACATTTTTAAAATTAATTATTTAACATTTTTAGTTTTTTTGAACTGATTTTGCCATACCTAAATAAAATTTACTTTGAGTTTGATTCGAACTTACAAAAATAGTTCATAAAATAAACAGTATGACAATTTGAAGGTACTGTAGGCTATTTCTACATCCTGTGAATGAATGAGACATTATTTGTGTGGTGTTTATCCTCATTTATCGTTTGAGATCAAAGTTTCCTTGTGTGAGTTATAGAAGCTTCTAGCATTGGGAAAAGTGTGTAAGAACTAAATATTCTGTTGCGAATCAAGGTCAGTAAATATTACAAATACGTCTAGTATTTCCAGGTGGGTCAGAAGATCTAGTCTACGGCATCATAGTAGTGAATGAAAGGAATTTAACTGACTCAACTAAACTGAAATAGACTATTTGCGTGAAATTAGTCCTCTCTAAAACTAACTTACTTAATACTAGGAAAAGCTAAAAACAATTCCTACACCAAATACCTAACTTACCTAATATATACATACAATTTCTAAAACATTAGGTTTTTATAGAATTATTTTGACTACTTACAAGATGGGAAATCTCGTCCACCCTGTGAATTCCCTCAAAATGATCACTGACCTTCCGCACATTATGCAATGTTAAATTGTTTTCCACAGAAATATCCATTATGATAGTAAAATTTAGTTTTACACTAACAAATTTAGTCCACAATGTTGTTTAGTAACAAAACCAGCTGTTTGCCTAACATTGTCATGGTTGTTACAAATCAGTTGCTTAAACATTACTGTTTAGTGGAAATCCAAAAATAATTAAGAAACAAAATAAGAATAATATAATATGGATAATATGCTATATTTAATATACAATCCGTGGAAAAAAATAAATCAGTCATTTTACATACCTAGGTGGCCCAAATATTATTGAAGGATCAGTGTAGAAGTAGAATGGTGTGAGGTATATTATAACGCAGATTAACTTACTTTCCTATAGATTTGTCTTCCTTACTAATGCGGTAAAGACAATTATGATACTTTGTGTACATAAGGGGATGTTTTATGTTATAAAAACTGTTTAATGTTGTCTACTAAATTTCTTTTGTCATTTACGCAACTTATTTTACAAAAAGTTACAATCTCTACTAATTATAACATAAATGTTTTAAAATCTACCCTAAAATAGAGATGAACCAATTCATTCATATCAGCTCTCTGAAGCGTAGCCAACATGAAATACCCCCGCCGCAGCAAACCTGCCGACTAAGCGAATTTCCATTTGTCTTAATTTATTTTCAATTAAATATATTTTAATAACAATAGGTTTAACCAGTACCTAGGTTTGCTGCTACAAGGAAACTAATAAAGTGTGTTTTTTTGTAAAATATTGATAGCTTAGTACAAAATAAATAAATTTGATCAAAATACAAAATATATCCATAAACAAGCAAATTACAACATTTGACAATATTCTACATAAGAATAACATGGGAATTTTAAATTTACAATTTTTTAAATTTTCTCCGTTACTATTAACCAAACAAAAATACTTTTATATACTAAATTAATTGTTTTTTTAAGCTCTTTAAAAAGGTCTAAAGAGAAATTGGGAAATTTTGTGTTTTGAGGGTCAAAAGTGAGAAAACCCAATTTTTACCCCATAAAACCCCCCGTAAAGCCCCGTTCCCATGGTCCGATCATGCTGGTTCGCAAACTCATTCAAGTTTATCTCGCTTTACACATTTAAACCAAATTTCATCAAAATCGGACAAAAATTACTCAAGTTATCGCGTTCACGAATGTATATATATATATATATATATATATACATATATATATAAGTCTATATATATATATAAAAGTCTATATATATATATACATATATAAAAATTTGAACGAATGGTGTTTTTGGCCTCTGGGAACATCAAAATGAAAAAGTAAATCAGTCCCGGGTATAGGTCTTACCATGCTACCTACGGTAATAGCTACTTCCCTATAGGGAAATTCGCTAAAACAAATTAAAACTTCAAATTTTACAAAATCATAAAAAAAAACTAAATAAACTTGCATTATTCAAAGAAAATGACATTGACTGATAAAATATTTTCAAAAATTGCTGTACAGTATGTGAGGAAAATAGTAAACTTTAAATATGTCAATAAATTAATCATATACTAGTGTACATGTTGCTCGAAATCGAGCAATTTCAAATAAGTACATGAGTTGAGGAGTTACAAATAAACAAATGACTTGTTTAAAAACTAATAACAAATTTCCGATGATTTTAAAAGAGTCAACTAAAAGATTATTAACTGATAAAAATACTCACAATTTACATAACAGTCCTATTCCAGTTTAAAGGGTTAATGTTTAACTATCAAACTGTCCATGGACGGGAAAAGGTAAGCTTACAATTTAAGTCAAAGTAAAAAGGCTGTCAGCTTTTATAATGTACCGTAGCCCTACCTTAGTTATTTAGCCAATTTGTAGGTGTAGGGTTTAGGCTACTTTAAACTCTACAGAACAGAGTTAGGCAAAAACTGGCAGAACTCTGAAATGGAGTTATTTATCATAGGCATACTCATATGCCAAATCCTTAAAATAAAATTTCAATAATTAATAACTTATATCATTAAACACAAACCAACATCCAAAACTATACACTTTTTTAAGACAACATAGATAATTTACACATTGACTGTCTACAATTAACAACATGTGTTCTTCTTCAGGCATTTGACAGTTCTGGTTGTTTACATTTAAATTTCAAAGCAAATGTAATATTTAATTTCTGACAACAGCTGGAGTTTCAAAACAATGTTTATTTCCCATGTTAATCTTATGGAGAAATACGAAACTTAAAAGGGCCCCAGGGCCTCACTCTCTAATTATTTACCTAAAAAGAAAGTTTCCTGCACAACTTCACGTTACGCTCCTTCCAATGACACCAAAAACATGTCAATCGGTTCAGTAGTTTCGGAGGAGTAATTGTCACAAACATTCTGCTTGCGTATTAAATAAGTAAATAGATGTAACAAGTGTCACATTCATATAAAAGTATCTGAAAGCTATGACATGATCAAATAGCTAATGGTAAGCCCACTAAATATAAATTAATTTCTTTGGCTTTACAGTTCTTTATCTGGAACTTTTACTCCAAACAGTACAACTTAGTTTGAAATAAAAATCTATTTTATAGCTCAATATAAGAAAAATAACAGTTGGGATGTTATCATCATTCATCCCTAAATTACTTTTGTTCACAGGGCTTGCTTAGTGGTATTGATTTAAAGTAGTTTTACTCTGTATAGCCTGATTTTTTACAGATTCAAACTACAAAGTATATTTTATTTTTTTCTCTTTATTTTTTACATTTTAGACAGTTAAAGCGCCTCTGGCATTTGTATGCATCGATAACAAGACTTTTACATTGTTCATTATGGGATTTTTAAGAATCAATACCATTGAAATACAAGATTAATTTACAAATGTGAATCTATGAAATGGTATTGCTTCAACTATCAATGAACGAATCAGTGATTTTGTTTTGCTGCGTGTCATGTCACTGCATGATGAATATTTTATTTTGTTTGAAACAAACCTCAGTTGATTCAATCCTTCTCCATAGAGGTAAGGTATTGTTTATCGTATGATTAAAAAAATATAAATAACATTCTTGAAGGTTTTCTATTGTATTGTAAAAATGACTAAACTATTTATTCAAGATTTAGTTTGAAACTTAATCCGAGTTTGTTTTTTCATAGTGACACCAGCTGTTTCTTAAGTTATTGTTTAAAGATTTCAGAAATTTTGAGGTGGTTTTTTCAATAAAGGCTGAGATAGACTCCACTCCTAGCTCTTCATGTATATGCCTGTTTCTAACAAACCAGGGAGCATTCACCGATATTCTTAGAATTTTGTTTTCAATCACTTGAATTTTGAAGAGTTTGTTTTTTGATATAGCTAATCCCCAGATAGGAGATGCATATGTAATCAAGGGCCGAACTATTGATTTGTAGATTAGAACTGTACAAGCTGGCTTCAGAGTAGATTTCCTATTGATTAAAGGGAAAAGCTTTGCAAGGCGTGCATAACCTTGGGACAGTTTTTTTATTAACGTGGTAGTTCCAATTAAGTTTTTTGCCCAGCCATACTCCAAGATATTTTATGGCCAGGTCATCAGGGTTCCAAGGTAGAAAGTTACCATGTATTTGAATTTCATGTGGCAATATGTTTTTTTTCAAGGAGAATATTTTGGTCTCACATTTAGTTGAATTTAGGCGAAATTTCCACTTGTAGAACCAATCAATGAGAAGATCCACAAAGTATTGCAGGGAATACGTGGCCTCGTGGATGTCGGAATGTTGGCACAGGATAGCAATGTCCTGAGCTGGCGTACAGAGCTAATGAGGCGTCTTCTGGAAGAGGGAAGTCTGCCATATACAGATTGAACAATACAGGGCCCAATATTGAACCTTGTGGAACTCCTGCATTGACTCGTCGAATGGATGATTTAGAGGAACATATTTCAACAGAGAAGGTCCTGATCGAATGCCTGAGATATGTCAAGGAATGCCGCTACTGTGTTCTGTTTCCTCTCAAACCCTTTGACTATCGTTTCATATATACGTAAGATTTGATGTATGGGCGAATGTTTTAGCCGAAATCCAAATTGATGAGCAGGAATTATATTTGCAGCATCCATGTAACAGGCAATTCGTTTCAAGATGATTTTTTCAAAGACTTTAGAAAGTGTAGACAGTAAGCTGATTGGACGGTAACTCGATGGAGAAGACTTTGGTTTGTTGGGTTTATGAATAACTGATATTTCCGCATGCTTCCAAATAGAAGGGAAGTAAGATTTAGACAAACATGCATTAATAATTGATGTGAAATATGAAAAGCCCTTGTTGGTGAGATTTCGCAAAATAATATTAGGAATAAGGTCATGGCCAGGTGATTTACGGAGTGGAAGTTGAAGTCATGACCTGTTAATTAACAGTCACAGACCAGCAGGACAGCTGGGTGCAATTTTAACCATCTAAAAGCTACTGACTTTTCTTACAGGATTCAACTGCCAGTATTCCAAGTACTACACTATCTCTTATAGAATGACCTGCCAAATAGTGCTGCAAAATCATTGAAAATCTATTTTTGTATTTTTATCAGATCTTAATAAATAAATTCATTATAATAGGGACCATTCGTAATCAAGATAGATGATAGCTTGTAGCTTGCAAACTCATGTTAAGGGGGGGGGGGGGGGAGGGACGGTAATCCCCTAAAAGAAAATCCCTTGTTCAGAGCCTAAATATTTGTAACACCTTAAATATGTCAATCCTGTAGATGTATAAATTGGATGGATTTTCAATAAATATTAGCGAAAATAATTGTTTAGTATTTCAGATGAAAGATTTTGCTTTTCTTAAAAGATTTGCTACAAATTTTATTACTATTTACTATGTGGTATATTTGACCGATGATAGAACAGTATCTAATGGTGTGACTGTCTTAACCGGACATTTATGCATAGTACTATTATGCTAGAAATAGAAAATTTGCATAGTTAAATAGAATCACTCACTGGTTCTGAGACCATGGCTTTTACACTGGTCCTGTTACTAGTTAACTATCCAGATACTAATATTCTCAGCTAATTGTGTGTTCTTACTTATAGGGAATGTTCTACTCGATACTGAAGGACTATCTTGTTAACAGCACGTTTCACGGTCTTAGGTTCATCGCTGAGGACGGGCGGCACTGGACGGAACGGTATAGTATACTTCTTTCACACCCACACCAGGGAGGTCCAGGCCCGCATCAGATTGCCAATCCGGGCTATCTCGGAAGGCCCTTTCAGCTGCCTGGATCCGGGCGTTTCCAAGCCTAAATTATAAAATTTAGTTTGGTCTATTACATATAATATTGTGTATCCGCAATCTTTAACAAACAATACCACTTTCAAACAAACAAGCTCTGTTGACGCTCTTCGCCATGTCTTCCAAACTGGTAAAATCTGGATTTAGCTCCAAGCACACCTCTCCCCATGCTTCTGTTACTACAACACGGTTATGGCATTCTTTCAATGTTTTGTTATACAATAAAGGCCTCTGGCTAACCAAAGAAATTAAATATTCAATCTCGATATAAATTTCCTCCTCCATATCAAAAACAACAAACTTTCGAAAGTCCACAAGAGTCAACTACACTTATCTACTGATGGACACAGAATGACAAAATAGTATAATTTATATTTCGGCAAAACCAGCCCAGAACACAAAGTTGTGAAAGCGTACTTAAGTCAAGCTAATGTATACTAAATAATAACCATCTGATTTTAGGTTCGTACGGTCGCTTTTTGAGACCGGGCGGAGGTTTAGCTTTGTCAGAGCGAACCCGCTCTAGAGTGAACGCTTGGAAATAGTCCAAACAGTTTTTTTTTATACGGGCCGGTCCTCGACCACAATGGTATGAAAGAAGGCTTAGGGACATCAGTCTAGTTATTTTTTCTCGTGTGGCACTCTTGTTAAAAAAAAGACTAGTACCTTTGTGACTCTAAAACCAGGGTAGATTTCCCATCAATATGGACCAGTTGAACCAGTTTTTTTTTTTTTTTTTAAGAACATATAGTTCAATAGTGTCCCACACTGTTAAAATTAAATTTATCTCCTTAGTTCTCCCATAATTGGTATGATCTTGGATTAAAGGAGTAGACTACTCTTTTGCAGGGCCGATTTACCGAATAGGCACGGTAGGCACGTGCCTAGGGCGCGAGGCAATTGGTTTTTTTGGGGGGCGCCAACAATTTGGTAAATAAAAAAAATTGGTGTTTGCATGCGATCACGGTAAACTTCTGATAATCCCTCGCGGCCGTGAAGACATCGTAATAGTCTCCCGCGTTTGCGGCAAGATTCTTACTATTTTCCGTGGTCGGGTCGTTTAGACATAATTATCGTCTTCCATGATCGAGGCAATACATAAGCATATCCAGCGGTCGTGAGGAAATTATCATCGTCTACCGTGAATGAGGGAAAATTCTGATCTTCTTCTCGCGGTTGTGTGGACATTATCCTCGTCTTGCGCGATCGCGGTCAAATTCTGACCACCCTTCGCGGCCGTGAAGACATCATTATATCGTCCCCTGCGGTCTTGTGGACAAAGTAATCGCCTCCCGCGATTGTGGCAAAATGGTAATTATCTCCCTCGGTCTTGTGGGGATCATCATCCTCTTCCGCAAATTAGGCAAAGTTCCGACCTTTTCCCGCGACCGTTTGGCCATTATCATCGTTTTCCGTGATCGCGGCAATATCTGATCATCCCTCACGGCCTTGTATAAATCATTATCGTGTCTCCCGCGGTCCTGTAAACATCGTAATCGTCTCCCGTAGTCGTGAAGACATCGTAATCGTCTCCCGTAGTCGTGAAGACATTGTAATCGTCTCCCGCGATTGCGGAAAAATGGTAATCATTGTCTTCCACGAATGAGGCAAAATTTTTCCCACGGTCATGTGGACATTATCATCGTCTTGCGCGATCGTGGCATAATTCTGATCATCCCTCACGGCCGTGTAAAAATCATTATTGTATCTCCCGCAGTCCTGTAGACATCGTAACAGTCTCCCGTGGTCGTGAATACATGGAAATCATCTTCCGCGATTGCGGCAAAATGTTAATCATGTCCCGCAGTTGTGTGGAGATCATCATCGTCTTCTGCAATCGCGGCAAAATTCTTGCTGTTTCCCGCGGTCGTGTGGACATTATCATTGTCTTCCGTGATCGTGATAATATTCTGATCATCCCTCGCGGCCGTGTGTAGACAAATTATCGTCTCCCGCGGTCACAGAAACATCACTGATGTTGTCATGTGTGATCACGATAAATTGAAAACTCTAGGTAGAAATACAAAATTCAGACATAATTCCCGGTTCAAAAAACTCCCGCATGATTCCCGGATTTCCCGGTTGGTGGACACCCTGTTATATATATTGCAAAGGGGCGCTACTGTTAGTTGTGCCTAGGGCGCTGACAGGATCAAAAACGGGCCTGCTCTTTTGTAGTATGATATAAAAGATGCCAAAGTTTACAAGTTATACTTCCAGTTTGGCTTGGTTACAAATTTGTTGTAATGACAGACATCAGTAACTGACAGAAGTATCAATCTTATAGAGCCACAATTCAACTATATTCATTTTCATTCTAAAACTTTCTACAACTTTAACATGTAAAAAAATATCAAGTTCTACCCCAAACCCAAACCCAAAATACTGGCTGAAATAACAATTTGTTACAATCCTCAACTGAACATATTTAGTTAATTTTCATAACTGGGGGGTTTGCTTATACTGGTGAATAAGATCAGCTGATTCTTCAGTCAGGGTTATTAAAAGCACAATAACAGCTGATTCCAGTTTAAAACCATACAAAAGTTACTGACTTTCCTCACAGGAGTGAACCATCTTATCTACCTTTTGACTATTTGGCAAGCACTATAATAACCGCTCTATTTAGACTTAGCTATGTTGTGTCTTAATGTGTACCTACTTTAAGAAGCTATCCGAAATAGCTTAACCAAAGGTTACGTGGCTTTTCATGTGAATTCATGTCATTTTACTCCGGTAACTGTAAGAATTTGTGTTATAGTTTTTAACTATAAATTTATATTTTCAATTTATGTTCATAGATTGTTCTGGCTGGTATGCTGTCTGTTGTCATGGTACGGCTCAGCGATTCTCGTTTTGTCTTCTTGGGAGAGTTTCCAGAAGAATGCCATCAGCTTTGTGGTAGAAACAACGTACTTGGACGTGAAGACCAGCTTCCCGTCTATATCTGTGTGTGAAGATGACAACATGGAACGCATCTACTCTATGGCTAACGAGTATGAACCTGCACTACCTGTAGTAGCTAGTGAGAAAAGGGAAATTTTATCAATAAATCCATGTACATAAAAACAAACGGTGATCGAGCCTGCTGCTCGGTTGATAGCGTGACTATTACACACTATTACAAAAACTAAGGGAGCAATGTCGTGGGTTCCCATCCCAATACTGCAACTAATTTTTTTATATCACAAGTTCAACTTTGTACTGTACTGTCTTCATCCCTTGCTTTGCGATACGTTCCACACACAGGCCTTTGTAGTCTGTATGGACAGGGAAAACTAAAAGTTAAAACAGGCCGGAAACTTCTTAAAACTAAATATTTCATTTCCTTATTGCATTGCAAAGATGCAATAGATTACAATACATCTAATCAGTTTGTCTTGGTAAAAAGACGTATTTGGCGTATCATTATTATAGTGATTGATTTAAATTGGAAACTGACGTCATCATCAGACCCAAAGAGGAATGATGCTTTCAATTATCCTGATCCGCACCCAAAGGAGTTATTCTATTATCATATACATTTTCTAGATTCCATGTGAAAAAATTAGCTCATTTTCGTAGTTTTTATGATGAATATAATTTGTTTGGGATTTTAGTCCATATAGATCCCTTCTGATGTAGGTAGATTGTCTGTTGAAAAAGGTCTGATGAAAGTTAGTGGAATTTTAACTCTTTTCTAATATATTTACTAAATTGTTTTCATATGATATATGACAGTATGATGAAAACTACATTTTTCAGGTACTTCGGCCCTGACCATGATTGTAATCTGGATGAAATGTTGAGAGAAATAGCTTTTTTCAAGGGTTCAGTTTATTACATAAAGGAGTTCTGCTTATCTGATGATATTCCTTGTCCAACAAAAGACTATAAGAAGATGTCAGACGAGGTAAAGTATTATAGTTTTCTGTGTTTTCTCTTGACATTGTACAGTTGTACACCTTTTTAGTCAATTTTAAATTATACTTTCATGAAGACGATTTCATTTTGGTCACCATTTAGTGTGCAACCTCTTATACCATTAAGCATAGACAAAATAATTCTTCTAATTGTTTGTACTAAAATTTGATCATGATGGTTGCTAGAAATAGTCTGAGCACAAGCCTATTGAACCGCTAAATTGACCCTTGCAAGACAAAGGGTAAGTACATATACTACCCCTCTTTGCCTTGTGAGCCACGGAATTTAAGGTTAGAAGAAGCCTCCGCAACCTCTTTATAAAAAATAACTGTTACAGGTAAGAAGCCCGTGTAAGGATATTTTCAAGACGTGCATGTGGAAAAATAAAACATTCGACTGCTGCGAGCATTTTGTCCCTCTCTTGACAGAATGGGGTGTTTGCTATACTCTCAGTCCTAGAACAGAGGTGTAAGTTTAGTATTCTAAGTTTAATAGCCTTTAATCTAAGTAGCCTACATGAAACAAAGCATAATATTTTGGTGTAAATCATCAATATCATGAAAATAATGAATCAAAAATTGATGAAAATTAAAAATTCATGAAAACTATGGTCATGAAATTGATTTGGTCTTGAATGAAAATATTCAGTAACTTTCTGATATACGAGTGACTCATGTCATCATTCACATGACTATGACTGACTTGAAAGACTTCAAAACTAATCAGTCTTATAGATGTTATAATCATTCAGTGTACATTTTTTCTGTGTCATTTGCAGCCTTATTTTCTTAAGGCAGACGTGTTTATTTTTATTAATACAATCTTTTCTCTCTAGTTAAACTTTAACAATATTGTACTGCATGTAAATATTTATCAGAAAAAAATGTATTAACAGAAAAAAACTTGAAGGGGAAGACCAAGCCCTTTATTTTCAGTTACTTTACCACAGTGGCACGATATGAGTTTTGCAAGTTGATGAAGTACCGTATTAAGCTTATACTTACATCAATCTATCAGGAAATAGTTTTCAAGTTAAAAAACTTGAAAGATGTTTCATAAAAAACTTTACCTCTAAGAAAATATATAGTATCGATGGACAACACACTAAAACACAGCAACGTGAAACATTTTCAATTTTGATAATGTGTTGACTTTTGATTGTAGAGAAGGTAAAACAGACCACTTGAAGCTGGTATCCAGTACTAAGCTTGGTTTAGGATCTATTTACCTAGAGCTGCTAGTACCAACAAAGGTAAAAGTTATTCACTTTTATTCCAAAAAAATTATTTAAAAAAGTCTTTATCCCTGCATTCAAATGTAATTTACACTTTTCCAAGTAGCGAATTTCCCATAACGGAATAAGTTATTAATGTGCTCTACATTAAAGTGTTGGTCTTAAACCAGATGAATAACCAGGAATTTTGTTTTTACATGGCACTGCCCAACCTCAAACAGAAAATCTCACAGAAGATCTCCTTCATTAATTGAAAAGGGGGATTTTCCCCTCAACCACCCCACAGTCCATACACCTTGCTCTGAGTTACTTTCACTTGTATTGTTGTCGAGTGGCTGAGAATGCTGGTGGTACAATTCTATAACAAAGAAATTCCAAAGCTTGTCTACCATAATAAGTGCCTCAAATTTATGGCAACTCTATAGAAAATGAGTATTTTAGTTACTATTTCAAAAGTATATATAATTATTTCAAAACATCCCTTATATTCTGAATAGTCATTGTAAATGTAGATTTATTCGTTTGAACAGGTGTTCATGCACCCTGAAGCCGACATACCCTATTACAACACAATGACAACGGAGGTGGTGGCTGGTAAGGCAGGTATCCTTAAACATCTTGGAATCTCCGTTATCGACATAGAAAACGAGCCTGAAGTAAAGTCTCTGTCAATCTCGCAACGAGACTGTCGCTTCCCTGACGAGAACATATTGACAGTGACTTCCGTATACAGCTACAGTGCTTGTGTAACAGAATGTAGGATGAGAGAACAGCTGCGGACTTGCAACTGTACTTCTCATCTTATGCCTTACACAGGTTTGGTACAGTCTCATCTCGATGATTGAAACCTTTTATGATAAAGGTTTGATCTGTTGAAAACCAAGAGATTTATCAAATTATTTTAATAATCTTTTTTTAATCTTTTAGCTGAAGAGAGTCAGATTCAGAGAACACACAGCAAGTTGAAATTTCACAAGCTGTTCTCTTTACAGTTCAAAGTAATGCAGATGAAACTTAATACAATAAATTGGTTGAAGTATAAATTCACAGTATAAATGTGAAAAAATTAAAACTTCTCCTCATTGGTTAAAACATTTGCAGGGCATAAATGTTTTACAGGCATTCCTACAGGCATCTCTCCAATTGTATCAGTCAAACAAGATGGCAAATTCATAGCTACTCCCACTACTTTTCATAAGGGTTGTTGACACTCTAACGAGAGAAAGTATTATGAGTCAGATTGCTGATCAGATACCGTTTATTTTCTTTATGATATCTCTTCTTTTTAGATCAGATTAAGTTGATACACAGGGTGTGTACTTTGATATGAAGATGTGTTGACTGAATGAGAGGTAGCAACTGATTTCAGTTCTATAGCCAGGGCCTTTTAAGCCCAATGATCAAGGACAGCTGGGTATATAGTATAGATCAATCAAAAGGCTTCTGCCTTTTTCAGGATCAAACAAGCTACCCTGACTTTTTACCTTCAATTCCAGTTGAGAGATTACCCTGGAGTCAGCAACAACTATGTTCCAGATGAGAAGCAGCACTGTGACATGAAGGGTATTTTGTGCCTCAGTAAGTACAGTGAGCCGATGTCGGTCCAGAAGACGCCTTGGGGTAACAAGGAAGGTCTTGACTGTCCGTGTCTGCCTGGCTGCGAGGACCCAGAGTTTGACACCATAGAAACCATCATGACACAGTTAGTAAATTAATCTAATGTTGTAGCAAATTTTAACAATGTAACATTCTTTCTGTGTAACCATTATTTTTAAATGTAAATAAGACAGAACCCTTCTCGACATTGCTTCAGAACTTCCACACGACCAAAACAAAAATCTTGAGGTTGAAAAATCTGTTTAATCCAGGAAGCATTTGTAAAAATCCTGTTCTATCTCAAAGTGACATTTTTTATGTGTCATATTTTTTTTAAATGGTTAAATCTTGCTACTGTATTGTGCTAAAATAATGTAATCAAAGATTGTTTTTACCTGGGAAACAGTATAAAAAAGTAAATCAGGTGTCTGTGCCAAAATTTTGTTCTATCCCGCATCCTGTTTGAATCCCTCTAACGATCGGAGGTCTAAAATCCCGTTTTTGGGATAGTCCAGATAAAGAAACACTACAATGATTTCCCAAAGTAACTTGGCAATTGTATGATTTATGAAAGTTATGTATTAGAGATATTTTCTTGTGGCAAATATTTTATTGTGCTTTTGGTATAATTTCTCATTTTACCATTTTTTTAAATTGAAAATATAGGTTTTCAATACCACTTTTGATCATGCAAAAAACCTAATTCAATTTTAGATTGATGATAATAATGAAAATTGTCCTCTAGGTTAAGTGATGATATGGAAAACATCTCTGTTATTGAAATATCAATGTATCGATATCCTAGTGAAAGATACAAGAGAAATGTAGTGCGAGGTCGCTTGGATCTTGTTGGTAAGTAAGAATGGTAAATTTGTAGCTTTTATTTCCAGGACTAGTGTCTTAGGAAAAAAGATGAAAGAAAATACAGTAGAACATCGATAAGAAGGCCCTCATAACAAGTCACTCTTGATAACAATGTTCATTTTCAAATCCCCTTGAAATTATTGTCACATGTTAATGCAAACCTCGATAAGAAGTCAACCTTGATAACAAGTCTTATTTTATGATCCCTATGAGAGTCTTGTTATCAAGGTTCTACTGTATTAAAGAGTTAACGATTAGTAAATTGAGGGAACTGAAACTGAAAATTCTCTGATAAGAGGGTTAATCGTTTACTTGTTTCAATAGCAGAAACAGAAACTACACGCTGATTCAAATGTAAGGTTCAAATTATTTTATTTTAAGTTACATCCATTAAAGGATGGACTATTGTCTTTTATCTCTAATGGGGAATTACTCACAAGGCGTCCTAAAACAAATCCTTTATATTTAGTGATGAATGAATCAAATGTTCTTGAGAAATATTTTAATATGGATTTTTTAGTCTATAATGGTCTTTTCTACGGTGCAAAGATTCCTCTTTCTGCATAATTTTGAAGAATATGAGTCAAGCCGGTTTTAAATGCTGTACAGTATAATGCTCTACAAAAAGTTAATTTATCCATAATAGGCAAGCATGTTTCTTAAAACCCCCTTTTCTCAGCTCGTGTGCTTGTGTAAATTAAAACAGACTAAAAAAGCACATAAAAATTCATTTAAAATTAAAAAAAATAACATGGGCCTTATGGGTTTTTTATAAGGGGGTTCACTATGCTGGGCTTACAACAGAATCGCAACACATATGTATTCCCTTGCTGGTGATGAAATAACAACGAAATAAAAACAGAAAATCAAAACAAATGAAAGAAATTACAATCATATGTTTTATTTATAGTGTGGGGTTAAAAAAGATAAGTCTGCACATTACATATTTTTGTTAGAGTTTTCGACCACTGGGCGACCTAGCTCTAGTATCTTTTTAATTAACAGGTTTAATACTTTATTCTGAATTTAGCCTATGCTAAGAGGATCCACAAATTAAACATAAAACTAAAATTTTACTGCATTCCTAATTCTTAAACACCATTTTGAATGAGAACCGTGCAAGTAGACTTTTCATCCTATTGTAAAACCAAATAAAACCTGTTTTATGAGCACCTATTTCATGTTTGTTGTTTTAGTGTACTGGAGTCACACCTAAATGTTTTTCTTCTAAGGTACACTTTTATAGTTGTGGTTAACTCTGGTTAAAGTGCCAGAGGGTTAAAAGTAACTGTTTATAATATTAGAACTTTTTATTTGATTACCTTTTTTAAGTACAGTATAGCTATATTTCAAAAAACAGATCGTAAAAACAAGACTGATATTACTGGCTACATAATAGGGCCTAATTGTAATGTAGCCAGTTCATAAGTGTGTACATTATAAATTTATAATGACCGAGCTCTCTTAAAGTGATTCATACAAGGATGACAAATATATGAGCGTGCTTAATTTATGACATTTTGATCTTATATAATAATTGATTTATCATTCATCGATTATTGAATATAATTGTAAATATTTTATCCGTGTATTTATCAAACAACCTATCTTGTTTCAGTGTCAATGGGAGGAGCAGCTGGTTTATTTGTAGGAGCCAGTCTTTTAAGTTTTGCAGAACTGTTTTACTTCTTTACAGTAAGAGCTTGTAACACTCACACTTCAAAGGGAAGTGATAGAAAACCTTCACCAACTGTTATGGTGAATCCTTTCCAACCACGTATTTCCAAGGATTACCCTTATCCCACTTTTAAAATGTAAGATCCCAAAATCATCCCTTGCACTATCAGTCAACCAAGGCAACACTCTATTTAGTGTTGCCTGTCATCTTAAAACTCATTAAAGTGTGTGCATGAAAAAGAATGGTTTTACCTACTATTTCCTACTTGTATATATTTTTATTCAAACAAAACTAAAAACATGTTTAAAATACAAAACAAGTTTGAAATGTGTGGAAAAATGTATTATATAAAACTTCTGTACAGTTTCATTAGTAAATTTTAATAATTTAAAAGTTTTTAGTGCTGAAGAATGAAAAAATCTAATACAGAAAAATTTTACATCCGTATTAAAATTAGGTGAAAAATGGGTTTTTAAAATAAGCTCATTATTTTATCGATTGTTGTGGTATGGTAGAAGTTTGAATTGAATCACCAAAACTTTTCTAGAACATTTGAGAATGTATCCACAGTTAAGTGAATACAACATAATGTTAAAACATACAGTGTGTTCATCAAAGGTGGTTAGACAGAGTGCTCTCAAACGCAATACACATTTATTTGTTATATCGCTAGGCTAATGTGTCGGAATTTAAATTTCAATTACTATTTGAAAGTCACAAATTTATTCCCACTAACTTATCGCTAATATTTAGTAGTTATAAGTCTGTTTTCTCAGGGACTACTGGACTGATCTACAAGATTTATTTGTGTCAAATTAAAGGGGATAATGTGTAGATTTGCCGAATTTCCTTAGAATTTACGTTTTTTTCTAAAAGGGCTATGACCAACAGCCCTTCAAAGGCCGAGTCAATACAATTCTTATTGAAGAATATAAAATTCAGTCATAATTATAAATCATTTGTCAGCTGTTTAATGTTGTCAGCTGTGAGACATTTGTCATATATTTTTAGAACCTCACCTTCAGTAATCTAGGAATTCCAGTTAGTGAACACATGATTCCCAACAAAAAAAGCTTATTAGTTTAACTTTTTATACCTACCACAATCTTTTTACAACTAAATAACGGAATAATGTGTTAGTTTCCTGCGAAGTGATCTGAAGGAAAGTGGTAGTTGAGTTTAAGTTTGAGTATGGAACATGAAATAATACCCATAGTAGGGGACGGAAACTGTTTGTTCCGTCATTTATATTCCCTATGGGCCACCAGAACAATCATAGGGAAATCCACTTTCAAGTTGTACAGAAAATTGCAACATTTGATCATAGGATGAATCTAACAGAACAGCTACCTAATATACAGAATCTAACAGGAACAGAAATATATTCTCCTTATGTTGTTACAAGGGGAAGGTAAAATTAGCTTCTTATCAACATAGCTTAGTTCATGGAAAATCTTATCAACAGGGCTACATCAAATGTAGGCCTAAAAGAAACAAAAAAAATAAAAAAAAACTATTTGAATAATATAATGGAATACAACTCTGCAACTCAGACTGCCTCCCTTCTCTTAATATCTGACCCTATATGCTCCCTCTCACATTACACGAGACCAACGCCACAACTACAACCTGTGCTCTGCAAAGAATGTTGATGTCCCGAGGTGTAGGCTCTCCAAGACCAGAGACTGCTATTCAGTGTGGGCCCACCACAAACTATACAACAGGTTTCCTCTCGACATTAGGAGAACTCGGTCTTGCATTTAAAAATAAACTGAAACAAGTGGCTGAGTAGGAAGTGATTCTATTCCAACGATGATTACAGTACTTTACCACCACAATGGACGTTTGAGCCTGAATCCAGCCGCCATAGGTATAAATACTGTAAATATTAGTATTAATTCATTGTTAAATAGTTATTTGTGTAACTAGTGGTGAAAGTGACACTTTGCTGCACACGAGAGCAATGTTTACGCACGAGCCGCAGGCGATTGCGGAATGATCTCGAGTGCAGCAAAGGCCTTTTTCACTCGTGTTACACATTATATTTTTCCTACAGTCACTATAAAGCATATAAATAATTAGTCTTTCAAACACTATACGACACGTTTTTAGGTTCAGCTGGCAACACAAATGGTGCCTTAGAGAAAGTAGTACCCGCGGTCCGTATCACTCCGCTATTTTTCCTCGGCAAGAAATGTGCTCCGCGTTTTGAGAATATAGTTCCGTATGTTTTTGTAATTTGAAGTGGTTTCCGCGCCTAAAAAAATGCTTTAAAGGTATTTTCTTGTTTATTAAGATCGTAGGAATGTTTTAAAAACGTTTAAAAGAAAAGTCCAGAAAGTTCAGAAATACCGAAACTATAAACACGAAATGACAGGTTAAATCGTAGTTATAATAGTCAATCAGCTGCTCATAGTATTATTATCTTTAAGTGTTGCCAACCTATTTCCAAGCGTACACGGATTACGTGCATAATAGAACCACGCTGTATTGTGTTGTTTCGTTGGAATCCTGATGTGCGGCAAAGTATAAACCGTACGGCAAAGTATAAACCGTACGGCAAAGTATAAATATGCAGCAATTAGCAGCTTTCTGTACTATAAACAGTACAAGGAAGCCAACTTTGTCGGGTGACTGTAGGAAAAAGTAAATTTTTATCTGACAAGATCTATCCAAGTCATCTGGTCAACGATCGCCAGTCTGGTAATGGTAATTTTACTGTATAATTTTGATCAACTGTACAGCTGATATGTTGTAAGTTTAAGTACTTTAAGAACTTTGACGCCATTGAATGTAGTTGTATGATTGATGAATAAATTTATTTTCAATTCAATTCAATGTCCATGGTGTGGAAGGAAAATACAATGTCACTACCTATATTGTAGCATTGTTAAGTCAGGGATACAACGTAAGAGGTGTATCGCAACTTGTCTCACGACACAGAATGTAAATCGAATAACGGTGCGGGATCGACAGTCCTCTTTTTTTGCTGATTTCAATTAGAAATACTCCGATCCAATTCCAAGACAATTACAATGGTAGAACTATTGATGTTGCTGATTGGACAAAGTTACAAGTTATAACGTTAGAATTTAATATATGCCATAGTTACTCCCTTTCCTCTACTATGTTGTTTACCATTATTCAAAATCAAATCTGAAATCATAAAAAATTATTTTAACTAATTGATCAATAAATTACGTGCTTTCAATATTCAAACGTGTGCCTGCCTTCTGTGGCAAAAAAGTCCACTAGTTGCTTAGCATCAGCTGATCAGCATCTGTCATTGTCATTTAATCTTTATTTTTTAATAACATAACCTCCAACCAAAGTAAGGAGTTGTTGGTTGTTGGAGATTCGATTCCTCTATTAGTTAATTATTTCAACTAGTAACTTAGTTGTATTGTGTTGTGTTTTACTTCCAATCGTTCGGAATCGTTGAAGATGGTCGCCATACTGAGTGCACATTAAATTATTTCTTATCAAAATCAGAAAGGATTTGCAGATGAGTGTTAGTAAAAGTATTTCTTAAATGCTGTGACAAGTCCTAGGGCTTAGGGCATATGCCTAGTTGCCTTTCAGTCCTGTTTTATGTACACCCTCCTCCAATGTTAAGCTTCAGTTAGTGTTCTTTCAAGTTTCTTGTTCTATCCCTAATCTTTCTATATCTTATAAAATGAACACCTTCTTTGGAACAATAGGCCAACTAATCATCTGAAGTCACTATGATTACAAAGGGTTGAAATAAAGAAGCCTTATTAGTTGTATTTGTACTTAAGTTTCCATGTGAAACAGTTAAGTTGGGTGTATTCCAGGTACAGTAGACCCCTACATGTGAGAGACCCCCTACAAATCAGTATAAGGAACTTCCGACCCTAATGGGACCAGACCTAACTCAGGTCAGATAGCTCAAAAGGTTGGTTAAAATGGGCAATCAAAAAAACTTTAAAAAATGAAGTACCATTCATTTGGAATTATATAATCATCAGGCTGCACTTAAGTTTACGTACTACATACCGGTACCGCAGTTTGGTTAAGGTTAGGTTTAGTTTAGAACAGTTTCATTTTATAATCAGCTGGTGGGTTAATGTATAATGTATAATAGTAAATGTAGGACGTAAACTAAAGTGCAACCAATCATCATTCTAAAGTTGCATATTTACAAAATAAACTAGGCCCTACAGTTATCTCCGTTTTTCTAAATATTTTCTTGAAATAACTAAGGCTAAGGAAACAATTCTGGACGGAGTGGGTTATGATTACACGATATACATCTATTTTTAAAAAAATTCCAGAGAAACTAAGCTATTACTTATGACTTACCTTAATTACGTCACATAACCGATAATAGCTTGTAAATAACTTAATACAAAAAATTACTATCTAAGTTACTATATTTACAAAGCGTAACTTGGCTTCATTTTAATAATTTTGATTCTCTTTTTTTTTAGAATCAATCTGAACCATCTGTTACACCAGAGACCTTTAAGCGTCAAGGATCATTGAGAAGAGTGTTGCCGCCGAATGCTAGTGGGGAAACGGCAGTTGGAATGTCTGCAAAAATGATTGAAAGACCCAGACTGAGCAATCCAAATGTTAAAGGTTTCAAGCAGGATTACAGCCAATATTTTCAAGAATATGGCCTGATAAATGAATAGTGAGTGTCCTTGAATCATTTAAATTTGTATAAGTTAGAGTTGTTTTTGTCATTCTCAACCCAAATGGCACAGTATATGTCCACTTTTAGAATCTATTTAGTATCGAAACCAAAAATACTTAAACAAACACTTGAAACAATACACTAACTTAGTCCTATACCTATGTTCTTTATGAGTTTAATCTCATAAAGAACGATTTTGTCCAATTTTTTCAATTTAAACATTAAAAATTGTTAAAACAGTCGGTTATAATTAACAGTTATTAACGGCGTGGAAATTTGAACAAATTTGAAATATCTTTCTGTCTAAGGTGCTTTTAAAACATTTTGTCTTTACCGTAGTTTTCTTTCGAAACTCAATGAGTTGTTTCATTTTGCAGTAACATGCTGGTCAGACAGGGATTGCCTGGGCTTTATGTGATACCTTCCGCCAACTCTGCTTTTGGTAAGAAAAAAAATATATGTAAAATAACTCGCTAATGATCAGTTACCGTAACTTTAATTTTGTTTAGCCTACATTCTTCAATAGTCTATTATGAATTCAATGGCTAGAAAGCTCTTAAAGTTATAGCCCTATGTTGGCCTATTGAGTAAAAACCTTTCTTTTAGATATTCTTTTTTATACTCATTGAGGTTCTCAATACAAAATCAAACTATCTAATCTGGAATTCTGTATTTTTTTATTGCTCCCTTGGTGTTTGAAATCCTCAATTTCCAGTGAATGAATCAGAGGTTTAGCTTAAACTTGACCTTACAATTTTAAAAATTACAGTAGCATTATGTTTTGAATATTATTTTCAGTGTGGTTTTGTGTGATATTTGTGAGGAAAGGCCTGTACCAAGGGGGGATCTTCAGGTTCAATCTTCTCATTCCTGAAGAGTTTCCTAACTGTGGGTGTCCGGTAAGTTGAAAAACAATATTCTTTAGTTTGAAAATTTAAGCCTTACTATCTTCTAATAGAATTGATTTTGATTTCTGTGTATTTTCCAAATGTTTTATAGCTGCATTGGAATACCTCAAACAAGACTTATTGCTACAATGACTGCCTTAACTGCAAAAAAAAAAAAATGGCGTGGAGGATAAAATAATTAAGTTCACTAAATGAGAAAAATAAGGGTTATAACCTTCCGAGCACATGGTTCGGTATCTGGACTCGATCGTTTAGCCAGGCAATAGCCTAATGTTAAACACTTTTTTACTATCTAAGTGTTAAATATATATATTAATTTATATTACTATATAACTAGTTTTAGAGCATTGTTGCTTCATCTTCAAATATTAAAATTTTTTATCTTGTAACACTTTCTTTATAGAGAAACTGTTATTTCTCAGTTTTAAAACATCAGGAAAAATTTAAGGATGGAGATATAATTCTTGCGCATTTCTTTTCTTACATTTCCCCTTGTGAAGCACACTTCAGCAACTAGTGTATGATAAAATATAATACCAGATAAAAACTTATATAGTTCCTTGAGTTACAATCTTGTTTGTTGTCAGCGAGTGGTGTTCGACAGTCCCATGTTCCACCCGAGCATCGACCCCGTCACAGGTGAGATGGAGGTCAAGTCCGTGTTCCCGGAGTGGAAGAAGGACGTCAACAGGTTGTGGCAGATGTTGGACCATGTGGTACAGATGTTCCACAGCGTCTCTACCAAGAATGCGGTCTACTCTGAGGCAGCCCAGCTGTTAGTAGAACACTCTTTGTGGATAAAAGTAGACATACCATTCCCATGTCAAAGCAACAGCCAGTTTTAGATTAGGAAATAGTAGTTTATGCAACGATTGCGTAAATATAGTGTTAACGATATGAGTAGAAAATTTTAGGTACAAGCCTTGGCAAGTGCCTTAAAACTTCTATGAGTGTCATTAACACTATTTACGCGAGTTGTCTACACTACTTTACCTACAACAGTGTTTTAAATACTAAAAGTCACTACTCATAACTTCTTAGAGAGGCTATGTTTTTGTTTATTAACCTCTCATTGTCACTGACAGTGATACAAGGAAACATTGTACCAAACACTAATTGCACCACTCAACAATTAAATCAGCCTGTACAGCTGATTAGTTGAAGTTACTACTAGTTACCAATAATTACAATTTTACTTCTTCTCTATCAATCCTTGAACCTCATTGGTCCATTACCCTTGTTGTTATGAGTAAAACTAATTCAACGTATTCAATGTATTATGTACAGGAAATGAATAAAGTGGTTTTGAATTGAATTGAATTAATGCTTTTATGAGAGCAAACAATGCTGTTATGTGAAACTTTTCAATGCTAGGAGCTGAACCGAAACGGCTACTATAAAAAAACGGTTGTAGGCAAGAGTATTTAAATTCAGTCACCAACGTAACAGGTCTGGTAGTGTAATATAAGTATTAAGATTGACATTTTCATCTTCAAGGAATTTATTGCCAAATTTTCACGTTCGCTGCTGACCGCTAGATGCCGGGACGGCGCCAGGAGCTGAACTAACGCTCGCCACTGCGTAAACATTGCTGCTGATACAATGAATTACAGTAAAAACAACAGTAGCTATACTGGATGGCAATGTTCTGCAATAAAACTGGCTTTGGACATAGTACTAAGTGATTCTGATAGATAGCAGCACTACCCAGGTTGCAGTCGGTAAAGTAGTGTCGCTATCTAGCAGGAAAGAGGTGGGACAAAGCCCTGTTCTAAACGACCCTGTTGGTGATTTTGGGAAACAATATTTTTTTATTGTCAGAAAAGTACGTCCCCACGAGCTGCAAAGAAATAATAGGACGCTCGTGACGAGCTGGCTGATCCATGGTAACGTTAAACAACAATGAACAGCGACGTTCCGGAACGTTCCTAGCTCCTGGCCCGTTTGACGTTCCGGAACGTCCATAGCAGCAAACGTGTTAATAATGTATCACAACTTTTCTGAAAATTTAGTGGAATATGATCCTTACCACAGGACACTTATTTATGAAAGACTGTTACTTGAATTGCAGAACAACACATTTTAAGTAACGTAAAATGTAGTCATTACTGGTTGTTGAGAATAGGCTGTCTACCAGTTGATCAAAATTTCAGTGACTTTAGGGGGGATGACCACATTAAAACACAAGACCTGAGCTAACAATTTGAGCTGATTACTTGCTCCAAAAATATTTCACTTTAACTAATCCTGCATTTTATTTTCTATTTTATGTTTGTGTATCTATGCCATTACAAAGCTTTTGATAAGGGAATAGACCAAACCCCCTAGTCTTGTTACTATTTAACATCAACCTTTTTATTAGATCAATACTTGATCAATAATCGATCAATAATTGAATAATTGATAGTCCGATGATATAGCATCTGGGTCCAGTAACGATCTTTCTTAGAATCAAACCAGCGAATTATAAATTTAATTACTGTCTGCATTCTTTAAGCATAGTGCAAAACAAAAGACAGGTCTAGGCGCTTGATTTTGTTTAGCCTTTTTCTGTGACTTCGGGACCCTAAACTGAAAGTTTAAACTTTTCCGTGATTTTCATGACCCACTAGTAAATTTATGACTTTTTCATGACTTTGGAGATTTCTGTGACTGGTAGACACTCCGGAAGATACATTATTCCCTCTTAAGCTACTAGGCTAATTTGAAATTTTTTGTAGCAAGCCAAGCTAACGAAACACTAAAGAAGAGGTCATACTTTGGTTTATTTTTTATAGGCATTTCAATTTGTTTACAGGTTTGAAAATTCACAGGAAGAATTTGTTAAAAAAGTGAACGAATGTGTTCTAAAAAGTCAAGCATCAGTTTTTGATCCTCCTACTGTTGACGATGCCCACTACATTAAGTTTGACAAATTCGACAACAACATTCATGACACAGTGTTATGTTCTTTGACTGAACCAAAAGTGAGTATTTTAAATTAAACATCTGAACACTGTCCTAGCTTGCTTGATAGAATGTTTTTCCTAGTATAATTTATCTTGCAACCCAAAGTAAGTACATAGGCTTATTATTTTGCTAGCGTTGAATTGTTTAGAGTGCCTTCTTTGTTGTCTAGGAATGTGAGTCTAGGAAATAGTCTACAAATTATAGTTAGGCCTATTTGATTTAAGTTTTTATAAGTTATTGGTTTATTAAATATGTTTTACATTCTTGTTCTAGCAATATGGTAACATCAGATACTAATGGGTCCACAAAGTTAGGATCTAGTTTATTTTTACATCGTTAATTTTGTACCATTTAGTTAAATTTTAGGGTTGCCCGTGAATTAAGGATACACATTGGCTGGGATCGACAATTTTTCCTTCCATTGTTAATATAAATAATGGATACTACCATAAAATTTATTGTTGTGTATATGAGGGGACTGGTCAAAATAATGATGTAACGGTAAGTTAAGATCATGGCATTTTCAGATTCAAAATAGCTTGCTCTGTCATGACTGGTACTCGTTAGGGACCCAAATTCACGGATCATCATTACAGGCTACAAAAATGTGCTTGTCATAGCGTAATAAAATGTTTTGACTTAAAAGTCATGTATTTTGCTCTGGATTTCAGGAACCACCCAAACCATCGACCAGAGGATTATCCTGGGTACAATGTGGGTCTTTGGAGCCCTTCTCTTCAACACAATCGTGATACATGCTACGATAAAACCTAATCAACTGGGTTTCTTAACATAACAAACTAAGCCCACAGTTGAGTTTGAAGGGATTGTTAGTGACTTTTGTGATGACAAAAGTGGTTTCTGTTCCTTAAGATTTTACAGTACAGTACCTAATGTGTATTTTACAGAGTGATATTTTTCTAGTAGGATTTAGTAGATTGATTCAAATATACTGTTAAGCTTATTATATTTTATGATTGATCTGTGGAAAATTGTATACCTATTGTACAGGGAAAGAAACTGTAAATAAAACTACCTTTTGCCAAGAAGATTTACTTGCTTGCAGCACATTTTTATAAATAATTCAATAAATTATTTTAATTCCATTAGATATGTTTCTTCACCTTAACTTACATTCTAGAAGAAGAAATATTAACTGAAAAAAATACTGTAAAAATATAATTACCTTTATTAAAAAATATATAACAAATTACATAAAATATATACCATAAATAATCACAATTTTTTTAATAAGGCTAGGCCTACTAATGACCTCATCACATATTTTTAAATGATTAACCCTACTACACTAACATTACACTGTAGGCCTACTTTCCAATTTTTCCTTAAACCAGTTCTGATTCAGTTCGTATCTAGTTTCTTGAAATGTGAAATGAGTCGGCGGACTTTCTTGGCTGTTCATAAATTCAAAGTCTTTGCTAAATGCAATCGCAAGTTTAGAGCAGACGAGACCAATGCCTCCAACCTTTTCTGGACCTGGGTGATAAACTCTACCGTTTTCGGGGTCCATAAAAATATGATCTGGCTGAAAATCGACAAACATTTCGTTGACATTTGCGTAGCAGAAAGTCTCCTTAGAGTTCTGATTCAGAAGATGAGTGAAGACTACAGGGCGGTCATCACACCTGATGAAGTTGATTTCTCGGCCGCACGGTGAAATGTATGGGAACTCTTCAGTATAGCGGCCAGTTTCATTCATTTTCAGACGCTTAAAGAAAAATGCGAGGAACTTATTGTCTGAAAATATTGAAATGTATTATTAAATTAAAAATGATGAGGCAAATATGATCCAAACAGCAAGGATGCCGCAAAAAAATAAGTTTCAGATTAAATAGAAAAGAGGTATGTTGCTATCAATTAGGGTAGAAACGTTTAAGCAAAAGTAGTACCGGATAGGCTATTGTGTTAAAATAAAACATTCCTGTTACATCAAACCATCATACCAACGGAATATCATGTTGGTAAATTGAACTTCTTGAGATTATATGCTGTTGAGTATATTGGCTGTATGAATATATTTACGTAAGTTTATTCATTATTTTGCCTCCTGAACTGTTATTCAAAGTAATATCTAGGTTACGTACCTTATACAGTCAAAACAGTTCTGATACAGTCACTAAAGGACGATGCGCATTTCAGAGCTTTTAAGCTCTATCTTCAGGTCCGTGGATACATTTGTCAATTCATCTTGCAGATTCGTCAAAATATTTAAACATTAAAAACACATAACACAAACACATAATTCATTACGTTTATACAGGTACTGTACATGTATACACGTAATGAATTATGTGTTTGTGTTATGTGTTTTTAATGTTTAAATATTTTGACGAATCTGCAAGATGAATTGACAAATGTATCCACGGACCTGAAGATAGAGCTTAAAAGCTCTGAAATGCGCATCGTCCTTTAGTGACTGTATCAGAACTGTTTTGACTGTATAAGGTACGTAACCTAGATATTACGTAAGTTACTGTAAGGAAACTATTTTTAGAGAATTTCTGAGATAGGGAATACATTGCTTATTATAACCTACAGGAAATGCCACATGATAAACATTTTAAAATGTATTGCAGATTAAAACTTGATTTGGGTAAAATTAAATTTGCTTTAATGAGGATATTGATCCACTCTTACCTTTGAAACAAGATGTGAAGTTTTTTATTTTAGCGTCATCCAAGAACAGCTGGAAAAGTAGGTAGTCAATTAATTGCCAGTTAGCCTATATTTGTCCAGAAACCACTGAGCTGATCCAATGGTGGTCTCATATACTTAAATGTAAGCATGTTCATACAGTCTTGGTCTTCGGGGTTCGACCGCGTCCTTAGGTTATGTACACTATGTACAGAAACTACCGACGTTTCGGCCACATAACAGTCATCCATCTTCAAGGCGAGCAAGCACTATCACCGTAGTCACAGAACTCAACTGGCACGGGTGGGCCGGGCTCGTAGGTTATATACCCACTTAATGGTGGTGGGGGTGTTCTGGAACATTCCACTCCGTTCCAGCTCCACTGGGCTTCGGTCGCTTCTAGAAAATTCTCTGCTTTCTCTAGCAAGCAGGGAATGTTGAGAATGCCAGAGAAAGCAGAGAATTTTCTAGAATCGACCGGAGCCCAGTGGAGCTAGAACGGAGTGGAAAGTTCCAGAATACCCCCACCACCATCAAGAGGGTATATAACCTAACGAGCCCGGCCCACCCAATAAATAAATAGTTTGTGCACTATTTATTCCACTATTGTAGTTGCCATTATTTAACTATTTATTTATTATATTTGCCTGTTTTGTGCATGGTGTGATTTAAGTTAAGCCAACCCAGTTTACTAACTGGGACTGTTAGCCTAACTGATTGTTACCAGATGATTATAAATGACTTGTCTGATTGCATGTAACTGCATGTTAAAAAGACCAAATAAATTCTCATTCTCATTCCCACCCGTGCCAGTTGAGTTCTGTGACTACGGTGATAGTGCTTGCTCGCCCTGAAGATAGCTGACTGTTAAGTGGCCGAAATGTCAGTAGTTTCTGTACATAGTGTACATAACCTAAGGACGCGGTCGAACCCCGAAGACCAAGACTGTATATATATATATATATATATATATAAGTGACAACCGTGGAAGCTTATCCATGAAGATAAGCATGTACATATTAACTTATAATTTTGTATGGAAATGTCCAATTGACTAGATGGGCTCAACCTCAAGTCATTAGGCATGATTTTAATTTAACAGAAAAAAATTGGAGGGTAAAGGTAAAATTAACAATAATTAAGACGTTTAATAAAACCAATTAGGAATAGGATAAAAACCCGCTAAGTTTAGAGGGTTCCAACCACCAGCTGTTTACGCGTAAACATGGTCCTACAAACAAGAACCTCGTGGCATTGTTAAAGTGTTTATCGAGTTGAAATAAACTGTAAACTGAAACTTCGTAATTGTTTCTTTAGGTATTTACAAAATCATTTTGAAAATACCTAAATTAGTTTATTTAACATGTGATTTTAGCTTCTAAATAATAGTTAGGCCTAACTTAAATTAAAAATTAATTTATCCCCATCCATTGCAAGCTCTGCAATGTAACTTTAAAGAGCACGAAAAGCACACAATTATTGGTAACAAATTAGTTTTAGAGTGTTGAGAGCTTGTACCGTAGAGCTAGAGGCATGTTTATCCGCCATATTGAATTGACTGGGTAGAACCCTCTCAAGATCAATTTGTATGGAAAAATCTAATATAAGTTAAATTGACAATTAATTGTTTAACTTACCAGTTGAATGCGGTAATATAACAAGGTTCTGCATAATTTGCAAACATGAACAGTAAAATTATTACTTGCATTAAACAGGCTATGTTTAATCTACTCCTTAGGTCATCTTAAGAGGTTAGGCCTAATGACAACTATCAACACAAATTTAACACTGAATATCTTAATTCAGTGGCGTTGGTTTCCAAACAGAATTAAGTATGTTAGTTTTGTTTTGTGAATCTGGAGTATAAGTTAAGTAGTATAATTCCTTCAAAACAGTTTGAATATGAATGTTTTAAACCAGTTGCAATTCAAAGCAACTAGCCTACAATAATAACCTAAACCTATTGCCACTAATGGCACTTAAAAAGATCAAGTGATAGTTTTAGGATGTGTGTAAAAAAGTGACAAAAATACCTACCATTCCTTGATGATCAATGAAATAAAAATATTCCCTGGTTTTCTTGTCCACATACTGGCCTTGGGTGTAAAGTAACCGTTTGGGCATAGTATTATCAAGTTTCATTTCAGAAAATGCACTGTTTAAAACCCAATTTCGGCCAAGTACGAAACACGTTCTGAACATGCCCATCTTATCACAAATATTTTACAATATAGAAATAACATAATTTGCAAATTGAATATACTGAACAAATTGTGACATCATTATGTAAGACAACCCGATAAACTTACTAACCTAACTTCTAAAATAGTTGTGATGTGAAGTATGAAGTTGACAAGTGTTCAATTTTGAAAAATGTTTCAAAACAAAACGATACAGGCAGACGACATGGGCTACAGATTTACAGAAGGGCAAGGGAACAACTAAACTGTCAAAAACCACAGAAAGCGATAGTACAGGTTGTGAATGGAGGCGTAGATTAATCATTCAAGTGAGAATAAATGCACCTAAGAGTTTATGGTTCATAATCTTTTGCTAGTTTTAAATTTTGTATAAATATGATGGTGAGAAATACAATATTAATCATAGCCTCTGTCCTCAAGACTAGGTATTCCGACTGGGTGGTTTTGTGGTCTCGGTATGACCCTAGTTGTCTAGTAGTCTAGGTTGAGTTGAGTCATAGATAAAACATACTCCGTTGAGTTGTCATAATATTCATAGATTGTGTTAAATGGATAGTTGATGAGAACTTTTTCAAGTCTGGTTTGGACTTGTTTTAGCTTTAGCTTAATTTTGTTTGAATGATGAAATTGGACTGACCAACGTAGCACATTATTGACGCACTAGTTAATCGAATCCAACCTGGCGAAGGGACAATGTATAAACGACTGAGCATTCTTTATTTTAGTGGAAGACGAACTAACTGTCATTCTCTCCTGATGAAAATCAGGACCCGCCCACACATCCAGGGGGAAATACGCACCAGAGAGTCCAAAGTGGAGCTGGCTTTCAGCACAGAAATTTTTATTTGAAGTTCAGGGTCCAAAAAAGGATGATTTACTCACATCCGAGGCCACTCCTCCGAGAAAATCCTTATTAGATACTATTTACTTGTCAATGGAGTTTTGGTTCTCCAAAATGCCTTGACCTGGCACTTGGCATTATTTTAGCTGTCTATATAGTTTCCAGCTTACCAAAACTTGATTTAATAGAGCAAGAATAAAGAAAAAAGATTGTTCTTATGTTTTTGCTTCGTGTTATGTCTCTGTCAGCCTTTAGATATTGATGTCGTGTTTTTATGGGAATGGAATGAGTAAACATTTCCACTGGTACTGGGTCTTACTTACTTACTTACTTCTTACTTCTTGGGTCTTCGCAACAATCGTTTGATCGGGGAGTAGTCAATTTTCTTCCTTTTTGGGGGTTTTTGTGTTTCATGTTTTGTGTTTTTATGTTTTGTGTATGTGTGCTCCTCTACACTTTGAAGATAGAAAGTCTTTAGATGTAGAACTCTGTGTATAATCAATGGTGAAACACACAAGGTAATTCGTGCCCAAGATTTAAAATAATCGATTATACATCTCTTTTGCAGATATATAACCAATGTCTAAATTTCAAAAGTAACAAATGACTGAAACTACATGGCAATTCTTAAGGGTGCTGAAATTGAAAAGGGAAAGGAGAAAAGAGACCAGGCTGAAGTTAGCTGTCGAGCATCTGACGAATGCTAGGCCATAAAACTGTCAGGACGAAACAATAGGAACACTCGCTTCAGCTTACAACAGACCAGCGCTTGGTCCTGGCCCTGTCTCGTTTCTAGTAGACATTGGAATAGCCTTATATGGCGTGTTACACGATACAACGATGAGATATCTGAATAAATTGTATTTTCTACTATTTATAACGTAACCACAAAGGTGGTGACATATAATTAAAATGTGTCAATGATATCAAAAAGGATTAGAACGAAAAATTGCCTTCCAAACATGACGTCTTAAACGCTATAGCGATGAGCTAATTGAATAAATTACAAGTTTCAACTACTTATACAGCAACAACCTAGGTGGTGGCAGTCCTAAGCATAAAATATGGCTTTAATAGTTATTGAAGCTAGACCATTAAACAATAAAAAATGATTTCTATAGGTGGACAGCCTTGGATAATCCCGTGTGAACATTCCGTGTTAAGCGATACAACGATGAGCTAATTGAATAAATCCTAAGTTTCGACCACGTCTACGGCAACAACCTAGGTGGTGGCAGGTCTAAGGTTAAAATATGTTATTAATAGTTATAGAAGGTAGACCATGAAACAATTTAAAATGATTTCTATTGGTGGAGAGTCTGTGATATTTCCGTCTGAAGATGGCGTGTTAAGTGATAGATGGCGTACATAGAATAAATTGTAAGTTTCGACAGCTTCTACAGCAAAAACCTAGATGGTGGCAGATCTAAGCTTAAAATATGTCATTTATAGTTATTAAAACTATACTATGAAACAACTAAAAACAATTTCTATAGGTGGAGAGCATTGGATAACCTCCTTGTGAACATGGCGTGTTAAGCGATACAATGATGAGCTTCAGCTTATAATGAATAAATCGCTAATTTCGGCGACTTCGCCATTAACCACCGGATTTCCACTAAAAATTCCAAATACACTGTTGGATTTATAATGGCTGAACTACTTCAGAAATTACATAGATAGGGCCATATGTGAGATTCAAATCTGTAAATGGCATTAAAAGGAACTAGAACATGAAACAATATAATTTTTGTGTAGATCTTTATACTCTGATAGAATGCGAGTGTTTTTGTCTACATTAAACTGATTTTTGAGTATGACTTAGTATATAGTTACTTGTAATTTGTATACTTAAACATTATATTTGAATACCTAATACCATAGACTAACCGTATGTTTTATCAATGCTAATACTTATACAGGGTGAGTTTTAATTGTCCCCCCCCCCCCAACTTTTTTCTACATTTTTTCAAATATCAATCCCAGACCACTTCCAAACAATGTTGGGTAGTAAGTACTTCATTTTGACAAGGTGGCCATTTCCGGCCGCCATATTGGATGCAAAATTTTTTTTTCAAATGTAAAGGTGGGGTTGTGACCCATTATTTCGAACTAAATTTTTACCCTGATTACAATGCCGCAAACCGTTTAAAAAAATCTTGATTAGTTCTAAAGTTATGAGGGCTTTTTACAACTTTATTTTTAGCCCATTTTAACATTGTGCATTTACAAACTAAGACCATAATCTCAAAATAGTGCTAGATAAAGATAAGTATACACTACCAGTAATTGTCGACCTATTTTCACTTGGTTATGACTGATGTATTTTTTTCGGCCGCCATCTTGGATCCGCCATTTTGAAATGTGATAAATTATTTTAAATATGAAGGGGGCGTTGTGACCCATCATTTCGAACTACTTTTTTAAGCTGAACTTAATTCCATGATCCGTTTTTCATTTTCATTTTTAAATTTTGAAATATTGACATTTTTAACAAAAAAATTTCAATATTTCATAAATAAAACTTGATAACAAAAAATGGATTGCGGCATTGTCTTCAGCTTAAAAAAGTAGTTCGAAATGATGGGTCACAACACCCCCTTCATATTTTAATTTTAAACGGTTTGCGGCATTGTAATCAGGGTAAAAATTTAGTTCGAAATAATGGGTCACAACCCCACCTTTACATTTGAAAAAAAAATTTTGAATCCAATATGGCGGATCCAAGATGGCGGCCGGAAATGGCCACCTTGTCAAAATTAAGTACTTACTACCCAACAATGTTTGGAAGCGGTCTGGGATTGATATTTGAAAAAATGTAGAAAAAAGTTGGGGGTGGGACAATTAAAACTCACCCTGTATACTGATTATTCTTGTTGTGATGTATTGATATCCCGTTTTAGGGATAATTTGAAACCGCTATAATTTCTTTATTAAACCAGCTGATTTTGCTAGAAGATCATTTTGTTTCTTTTATGGGTTTAAGGACTTACGCGTCTATATATCTGATCTAAATATATACTGAACTATATTCAATAAAACTAGCAGTACACAAAACCAGAGAACTTTTAAAATGATTTCTGTCAGTGGATAACCTTGAGAAACCTTGTGAGTCTAGCAGTGATATACGGCGTGCTTGTAGAATAAGTTGTAAGTTTCGTCCACTTCTACGGTAACAACCTAGGTGGTGGCAGATCTAAGCTTAAAATATGTTGATCATGGTCATTGAAACTAGACTTTTAAACAAATACAAATAATTTCTACAGGTGGAGAGCCTTGGATAATCCCGTGTGAACATGCTGTGTTAAGTGATAGACGGCGTGCTAATAGAATAAGTTGTAAGTTTCGACCACTTCTACGGTAACAACCTAGGTGGTGGCAGATCTAAGCTTAAAATATGTTACTAATGGTCATTGAAACTAGACTTTTAAACAAATATAAATGATTTCTACAGGTGGAGAGCCTTGGATAATCCCGTGTGAACATGCTGTGTTAAGTGATAGACGGCGTGCTAATAGAATAAGTTGTAAGTTTCGACCACTTCTACGGTAACAACCTAGGTGGTGGCAGATCTAAGCTTAAAATATGTCATTAATAGTTATTAAAACTAGACTATGAAACAATTAATAATTATTTCTATAGGCGGAGAGCCTTGGATAATCGCGTCTGAACATGGCGTGTTAAGCGACACAACGATGAGTTAGTTGAATAAATCATAAGTTTCGACGACTTCTACAGTAACAGCCTAGGTGGTGGCAGGTCCAAGCTTAAATTAGGATATTAATTGTTATTGAAACTAGACTTTGAAATAAATTTAAATGATTTATATAGGTGGAGAGCCTTTGATAATCCCGTGTGAACATGGCGTGTTGAGTGATAGACGGTGAGCTTAACACTCAAGGTTAATTATTAGTTTCCCCGTCTCACATTAAGATGACTAAATAATATATTAGATATCATACTTCCGACTAAATCATGTTTCAAAAACTAAGAACTTATTAAATGTAATGTTGAAAATTGTTATATAGTTCGGCCGCTTAGAAAACGACCTGCGCGCTAATGCTAATAATTTAGTCGGAAGAATGATATCAAATAGGTTATTTAGTCGTCTCAATGTGAGACGGGGAAACTAGTAATTTACCTTGAGTGTTAAGCTCACCGTCTATCACTTAACACGCCATGTTCAGACGCGATTATCCAAGGCTCTCCACCTATAGAAATCATTTATATTTGTTTCAAAGTCTAGTTTCAATAACCATTAATATCCTAATTTAAGCTTAGACCTGCCACCACCTAGGTTGTTACTGTAGAAGTCGCCGAAACTTATGATTTATTCAATTAGCTCATCGTTGTATCGCTTAACACGCCATGTTCAGACGCGATTATCCAAGGCTCTCCACCAATGGAAATTATTTTTAATTGTTTCATAGTCTAGTTTTAATAACTATTAATGACATATTTTAACCATAGATCTGCCACCACCTAGGTTGTTGCTATAGAAGTGGTCGAAACTTTAGGTTTATTTAATAACTAATCGTTGTATCACTTAACACGCCATGTTAAAAAGGGATTATCCAAGGCTCTCCACCTCCAGAAATCAATTTTAATTGTTTCATGGTCTAGTTCCAATAACTATTTAAGACATATTTTAAGCTTAGATCTGCCACCACCTAGGTTGTTGTTGTAGAAGTCGTCGAAACTTCGGACTTATTCAATTAGCTCATCGTTGTATCACTTAACACGTCGTGTTCAGACGGGATTATCCAAGGCTCTCCACCTATATAAATCATTTATATTTGTTTCAAAGTCTAGTTTCAATAACCATTAATATCCTAATTTAAGCTTAGACCTGCCACCACCTAGGTTGTTACTGTAGAAGTCGCCGAAACTTATGATTTATTCAATTAGCTCATCGTTGTATCGCTTAACACGCCATGTTCAGACGCGATTATCCAAGGCTCTCCACCAATGGAAATTATTTTTAATTGTTTCATAGTCTAGTTTTAATAACCATTAATATCCTAATTTAAGCTTAGACCTGCCACCACCTAGGTTGTTACTGTAGAAGTCGCCGAAACTTATGATTTATTCAATTAGCTCATCGTTGTATCGCTTAACACGCCATGTTCAGACGCGATTATCCAAGGCTCTCCACCAATGGAAATTATTTTTAATTGTTTCATAGTCTAGTTTTAATAACTATTAATGACATATTTTAACCATAGATCTGCCACCACCTAGGTTGTTGCTATAGAAGTGGTCGAAACTTTAGGTTTATTTAATAACTAATCGTTGTATCACTTAACACGCCATGTTAAAAAGGGATTATCCAAGGCTCTCCACCTCCAGAAATCAATTTTAATTGTTTCATGGTCTAGTTCCAATAACTATTTAAGACATATTTTAAGCTTAGATCTGCCACCACCTAGGTTGTTGTTGTAGAAGTCGTCGAAACTTCGGACTTATTCAATTAGCTCATCGTTGTATCACTTAACACGTCCTGTTCAGACGGGATTATCCAAGGCTCTCCACCTATATAAATCATTTTTAATTCTTTCATGGTCTAGTTCCAATAACTATTAATAACATATTTTACATCTAACATCTGCCACCACCTAGGTTGTTGCTATAGAAGTCGTTAAAATGTACGATTTATTCTATTAGCGCACTGTCCACCCGTCTATCACTTAACACGAAATGTTCACACGGGGTTTTCCAAGGTTCTCCACATATAGAAATGATTTATAATTGTTTGATGTTTTATTCCTTTACTATTAAAATGGTTTATGTGTTAATAATATTACCCATTTGTTAGTCAATCTCTATACTGTTTTTGAAGTCTTTAGACCTTTTTAAGGGTATAATTTAGTGCATTTGCTCATAGGGCAAATGCCTATTACCGTACTTACGGTACGTGGCACAGTTAAGAACTCGACATAAAACCACAATTCGTTTAAATTGTTGTATATGTGTATACACGTACGTGAACGCAATAACTTGAGTAATCTTTGTCTGACTTTGATAACATTTGGTTTTTGAGATGTAGGGTGGGATACACTTGATTATGAGTTGGCGAACCAGCATGATTGGACCATAAAAGGAGCAGGGGTTTTGATATATATTATCAAAACTCTTGACACTTTCCAGAAAGTTATAATAATAATGTCACACATAATGTAATAATAATCATAATGTAATTTACATACAAAATAATTGTAATACATTTTTTTAACTTATTTACTGGTAGCCAAAAACAATACCCGTATCAACTTAAAATACCAAAATTATGAATGATAAATAATAATTTAGTTAGTTGGGAGCTGTACATTTCTAATTTAAGTTCAAGCTAATTTTCAGTTCTGGGTGTATTTCATTAAGGCCATCCACCTTTCCAGGTAAATTCTTACTCATATGTTTTGGGAGTTCAGCGTTCAGCTAAGTGGTATGCATCTCGAGTTGGATGTTTTGAATCTTTACATTCCACTTAGGCTTAGGTCGCATTGCTATTTCTCCTCCCTACCCTACCTGGGACCTGGATTCTTTTGAATACCAAATGTATTTCATCATTTCCAATATAAATAATAAACGGTATCAGCATTCTGACACATACTTTACATCAGTTATACAGATACATACATACAACGTGGTCTAAACGATGAAATTAATAATGTTTAATTTAATCAAAATATAAAATAGCAAACTACATTTTTCCAAATGTATCCTATCCACATGGAGGTCTACTATATTTTGAATTCCGTCCAGTTACCACTCGGCCTGTCATAAATCAAATGGGCAAAAAAACAGGTCGTCAGATGGAACGTCAGCTATCTTCAGCCTGGTATGTCACATGTCAAAAAGCCAAAAGCCACCACCAGCCAGCCAGCAGAAGCAGAAGAGAAGATTGAAGTTTAGGTTATTAGGTTATCTTAATTAAAGTCTGTTTTAAACTTATCAAATCATAGGCTTAATTAGAAAAATTAAATCTGATATCAAAGTGAGGATTAATTTTAGTTGTGACTTTCAAAAATGTATTTATTATTTGCTTCACCTAACACGAAATAACATCGAATTTATAGGTGCAAATGTATTAGGCTCACAAAGACCAGTGGTAACTTTTTGTTATTGTTTTGGAGTCTAGCAACTTGTCTAGGTCTAGGCCACAAGTATTTTGAAAGTAGTGTTGTCTTAAAATGGAAAATACAATGAAAAAACCTATTATATCTCCCTTGAAGAGACCTCAAAACAGAATTAATTTTGAAATCCATGCTAAGAAGCCGAATTTGGGTGTTGTGCCTTCAAAGTTTTATAGGCCAAATATATTGCAGACTCGTCAAATGCTACCTGTTTATAAGGTTAAAAGAAGGTAAGAAATTTTATATTTCTCTGGAGTTGTACCGTTTATTGAGTTCACGCCTTAAAACATACTCTTAAGTTATAATTTGGGTTGTCAATTTACTTGACTATTGTCACAGCCAGACTGAGGCTAGTAAGCCGATTTCAGCCATCCTGGACTTGATGGCAGACACAGTGGTCTAGTTGTCTGATGAGCATGCCTACTATCTGCCATTCCTCTTAGGCCTATTGGTGTAGCAATTATGTTTTTCACATTACTTCAGACTAACTTAGACCTCTAGGGGTTGCCGCATTATCACTTAGATTAAATCCATTGATTATTTGGTGGTGTTTGAACCCGGGACCTCTTGGACCGAAGTCTCGTGCTCTAACCACTAGACCAGCTTGCTCTCCCGAGGCTGAGAATTTGTGCAAATAGTAGAAATAATTTACAAATTAATATTTTTTCTAGGCTGCTGGAAGAAATAGATAAACATCCCACCCTCATCATAATTGGTGAAACTGGGTGTGGCAAAACTACACAGATTCCACAGTTCATTCACGATGTAAAGCTGGAGGGTGACAAAATGATAGGAATAACCCAGGTGAGTCAAATTATCCTTTTTTCGGAAATTATTTAGATGGGGGTGACCAAGCGTTCTATAGTAAGTTATATATCATTGGAAACTAGATTTTTTCCTGAAAAGATTGGTGCACAAATTTTTCTGCTGCCACAAATACTGAATTTACTACGATTTTTTGAAGTTTATTACTGTAATGCCTCTTGTCGGCTGGTCTCTGTTGCCATAACTTTACTGTGAATTGACTGACCAACACAAACATGAACGATTGAAATTGAAAGGATCGTCTAGGGAAGAAGAAGAAACCTAATATGACAAAGAGCAAGTTTATACAAAGAGGACAAAGAGGTAGAGGCATTTATAAATTCAACTGAGCGTTGATTATGAACTACTTCAGTTCTTATTTAGACATGTGAGGTGGGTAGGTTGGGTGTTATGCGGACTTGTGACTGTATTAAGTGTTTTGAAGTTAGGTTAGATTAGGAAGGTAAAGTTTAGGTTATAATGGAATCGAGTTGTTGATTTATATTATCTCCAGACTGTTTATGAACTTTGTTAAAAGTACTACAATCACAATAAATAATAATTTCAAAAATTTCTGGTTACCTGCAGTACCGTACATCGTCAACACAAATTTTGCAATATTTTTCAGCCAAGAAGAGTTGCAGCAATCACCGTTGCTCAAAGAGTAGCATTAGAAACTAGTACATCACTGGGTAAACTTGTCGGCTACACTGTTCGCTTTGAAGACACTACGTCTGACGAGACTAAAATAAAATATCTCACAGACGGAATGTTGCTTCGTGAAGCGATGCTGGGTGAGACTTAAAGCAACTGATGTTTATACTATTTCTAGCAAAATAGTTATAACATGGATTAAACAAACAAAAAATTGCTCATGTTTTAATTTAATACGGGGTTAGTCATAGGGTTTGCCAAATGATTAACTTATAATTTTTATTTACTAGGTTATGTGATATTCTAAAATGGTGTAATATTCTTCAAAATAGACACTTCTCTGTAATAGTCTTTGAAGTAAAGTGTTTAAAGCTTGAATATAAAACTTAAAGGTTTCTTTTAAATAGTGTTTCCTTTAGAGAAGTTTTTTGCAACCAACTTAGTTATTATTTATTATTATTATCAATTGAGATGGGGATGCCATCTAGGTGTGTATTTCACCCAAATATGAGTGTAGAATGGTTAGCTTAAATAATACATCTTTATCAATTTCTTTGTTTTTTTATTTCCAGATGAAAACCTCACTGCTTACAGCATAATCATATTGGATGAAGCCCACGAAAGAACTGTGCAGACTGATGTGCTTTTTGGGATTGTGAAAAAAGCTCAGCAAACCAGATCTTCAGGCAGTTTTCATCCACTAAAGGTTTGAAAGTCTCAACTTAGCACGTTTGATTTTCTTTAATACTGTTAATACTGTTCAATGAAATGGCGACCATACATAGTAGGTATTTTAAGGTACAGGTCAGGCCTATAAAATGATAAAGGCAGTTTAGAGACCTGTCAGGAAAACATGCCCAAGTTTCCCTCAGTCAAAGAAGTGAATGTATGGAAAAAATTATATTCATGTAGAAAATCTTAATAATACATGTACATTTACTGTAATTATTATTACAGTAATATTATTTTTACTACAGTTTACTTTCCTATTCATTTCATCCTCACTTGCTGTTAAGTAAGAACCTAGACGTCTTATCAATGATCATATCAATAGCTTTTTCCTTATTGGTAATTTGATGTAACAAATTAAGTTAAAACAACCTTAAATTTAGTTCTGCCGACATCCATTTTTTTTTCAAATAATAACAGTTCAGCGAAATATTTTCACCTCACATTTACCAATCTACATCATCTAGCACTCTGTGCGTGGAAAGTGTTCAGAAAAAACCAGAGGTGAGCCGGTACAGTACAAGAGTAAACAGTTCTGATACAAATTTTGTCCATTACATTGTTGCATGAAATTGAGCACCTGACTCACAAAATAATTTGATCGATGTATTAACAAGTTAATGTTTTAAAATTTAGATTTGTTACTCAGGTAATATTGATGTCTGCAACAATGGATGTGGACCACTTCAGCAAGTATTTCAATGAGGCCGTCACAGTGTATTTGGAGGGCCGAACCTTCCCTGTAACTATCCACCACGCAGCTCAACCTCAGGACGACTACGCCTTTAGTTGTCTCGTCACCATATTCCAGATCAACAAAACTGCTCCTGTCAAGTAAGTTTTGTGGATGTTTTATTTCTTTTTAAGTTCCTAACCTAATTTGTTTTGTGTATCATCAATCAATCAATTAAAAGATGGAGACACACACTTTGGTGCAGATTTTAAGCTAATTATGGATGCAGGATGTGTGAGAGCACTTGTGAAGTTTTGTTAACTGACGAAGATCAGCTGTTTCTTCAGTAATGATACAATTAAAGATCAAAGACAGGTGGGTCCAGTTTTGAACATCAAAAAGCCACTGAACGTTCAGAATTAAACTGGCAGCCTTTTGATTATCAGGCAAGCACCAAAAACAGCGATACAAGTTTAGGATCACAAAATCGTAGGCTTAATGTGAATATTTGTTTAATCTTACAATATCAGTATATTGAAACAACAATGAAGTTTTCGGAAGCTTTATTGAATAAATGTATGGAATGGGTGAGATGAGAAGTCTTGTGTATTTTTAGTGAAAAAGTAATAAGTCACTAGTTTTCTATGAAGAACGGTAACAAAGTAATTTCGTCTTATCAGTAATAAGATAAGCCAAGAACACTTCTTTTAAACTCCATATTCAAGGACATCCGAATCCAGTTGAACCTGTAAAAGATTGATTATAGATTATTCTTTAGTCTTTTTATTGAATTTCTCTTATTTTACATGCACTGTTGTAGTGATGATATTTTAGTATTCCTGACTGGCCAAGAGGAAATAGAATCACTAGCAACGTCCATCCGTTCTATTTGTAAGGTAAGCAATGAGTTGTTACATTCATGATATCCTTACCGTGTGTCTGTCTGCTTAAAACTTCTTTTAAATATTCTGGTTTTTAAGGTCATAATTTAAAAGAAAAATATAATAAATAAGTGTTTACTTAAATCACTGAATATTGTTATGATTAAGTGAGAAATCATATTAATAGGCTTAAATACAGTAACTGTTTTTTACACCAACAACTAGTATTCCCTATACAAATCTTTTCTTTAATTCAATCCAGATTCAAGTAAATTAAATTTGTATCTCTGCAGGATCCTGACTTCAAAGGCCCGTACATGAGAGTGTTCCCCCTCTATGCTTCACTTTCTACAGCGAAACAACTGGACGTGTTTAAGTAAGTATTTCTCATAGCATTTAAGTGTTAATCTTGCCTATCTATATTTATTTCTGCATTGAATATTTTACTTGGCACACAGAACAGGTCTTACAAAACAATCCGTTTCTAAGTAGATATTTCTGTTGAAGACAAATTATGAAAAACTACTTTGATTATTATTTGTGCACATGACAAATAATACAATTTTACAACATAATAGGGGTGGATGTAATTTTATTTGATAACTGCAAACTTATACTACATAATATGATCAATGGGACGGATAAACGTAATCTTAACTTGAGTGTTGTAAAACAAATCACTAACAAAGTTTATAACTAGAACAACAGAAGATGACAATTTGCTTGATGTTTTGTCTTGAAGGAAGATATATGATAACAATCAAGATCACGTTTTCAGGTAGTGGCTATTTTGGAACTCCTACAATTAGATAATGGACCCCTAGCTAAAAATATTCTTAAAGATAACTCTTTACTTGCAGCTTATAACCCTTATTTTCTTGTTTCCCATTAGACACATTTCACTGCAGGTTACAGATTCACTAACTCACTTTAATCAAAATAATCATTTGTAGGCCTTGTGCTGGTGAGATGAGGAAAGTGATTCTCAGCACCAACATTGCTGAAACCTCCGTCACAATCAGCGGAGTGCGTTACATCATTGACAGTGGAATGGTGAAAGTCAGGTATGCTGTATGATAATTGGATTTAACTCTTGGGGTTCACAGATGAGGTTTTGTATTTTATTATAACGAATAAATGTTTGCTATTGCATTATTATACTCAGTTGCTATGATTTTATTGGCCTAATACAACGTTAAAGGTACCATTTACCTCAACTTACACAATCCTGGGGCTATAAAAGATAATTTTAACCAATAATGCTAGCATAGGCCTAAATTTTCAAGTAATAAAAAAACATTTGACAAATTTCTCACCATACCAAGGTTTTTGTGGGAGGAAGAGTCCTTAAGCAGTTAGATTTGCATAGGATATTTCCATTCTCTAGTTAAAATAATGTTTTACAAAGGAGAAAAAAGCAAACTAAGGCACTAAAATTGTCATACCAATCACTTTCGACATCATTTAGGTCTTTCATAATTAAATAAATTAAGTGAGTTATAATTAAATTACTTAAATAAATTTTCAACTGCAATAATTTCAACAACCTAGACTAAAAACTAATCCAATAGCCTACTTTGGTTTCAAGTGGTTATGTAATAGTATTAAGGTAGTTTACCGCATGTATGTACTTGTGTGTGAGTAGGAATAAATTTCTGGTCAGCCTTCTATGACATTTTGAATTGATGAGGTTGTAAAGTAATTTGGTAATAAAAAATTACTTCAATCTTATTAGTCTACAAAATTAGTGTCTAAGTATTGAATGGTCTGCAGGACACATCAGGCAGGTACCGGATTGGACGTGTTGAAAGTGCAGCGTATCTCGCAGGCGCAGGCGTGGCAGAGAGCTGGCCGAGCGGGAAGGGAAGCCCCAGGCGCCTGCTATAGGGTCTACACACAACAGGTGCTTGTCTTAGTAACAGTTATAAAGTCGTATTTTTTCATTTATTAAAATATTTGACTACTTTTCCATTTATAAGAATTGTGACAAAGACATGGCCTAGTATTTGAATCTGAATGGTGGATTATGATTATGAGTGTAGAATATAGATGTGATGTCTACTTCAGTACTTAAATATCTACTGTAGAATGGAATGAGATACCTTGTATAGTGTTGTTACTGAAGTCAAGCTATTTTCAACCAAGACACTTTTAAAGCCTAATGATCAAAATGGCTCATTCCAGTTTAAACCATCAAAAAGCTACTGACATTTCTCCAAATCTAACCAGTGACCCATTTATTAATATTAAGCACTATATACTCAGTTACCCTGCTATATTGGTAATTTTTCCTTTTATTAGGAGTTTGATATGATGATGAAGAACACAACTCCGGAGATCCAAAGGTGTAATTTGTCATCAGTAGTGCTACAGCTGACTGCAATCAACATCGATCCCCTCACGTTCGACTTCCTAGACAGGCCTCCAACTGAGGTAAGACCCGCACAAACAAGAATGACAGATAATTCAATGTAGGAATTATATGCCTCGTCTCTTTAAGCCTTAATTTCTTACAAGAATTGCCTCTGCAGCCGTGACGCAATTTTAATTGTAAAGAGTTGATACTCACTCATGTAGAACTTGTACACCCTCCTTAGGGGTGTTTCTTACCAAGGGATTGGTGTCTCTGATTTTGGAGTATGATGCACAGGTTGGATCCCTGATACATCCACAAAAATCAGAGGGTACTGATTAGTGATTTCAATTTATTACGTTTAAATGAGTCATCCATTGCACATATTGTACCATTGTGCCTGATCAATAAAGTTACTCGATTTTTGTTCTCTGCTAAAAATCAGAACTCAATACTCTACTTGTAACTCTTATTTAACTCAAATTTCCACTGGCATAGACTCTAACAAAATAATGCTATCCTACTGAGTTTTTTTGGTTGTTTAGATAGCTACATAAATTGACAGAGAATATATTTTTTCCAGCTGATAAAGGAAGCCCTCCATCACCTCGGTCAGCTAGGTGCCGTAGAGAATGATCGGCTGACCACCTTGGGTCGCAAGATGGCTCAGTTTCCGCTAGACCCTGCCTTCAGTAGAGTCCTGCTTGCCGCCAACGACTTCAAATGCTTGTGAGAAATTTATATATATTTTTGTTTTGCCTCAGCCTTTATTTTTATTTTTTTTTCAGTAAAAATACAGGGTGTTTCCAAATTGTTAATTTTGTGGACTTGTATCTTGGGCTTAGACAAACATAAAATGCTATATTAATATGGGGAAAATAAAATGCCTAGATTTCTGTTTGGGTCCACAAAATATGTCCAGACGATTTGTAAACGCCCTGTATATTCAGTCCTCTTACGTATAGGATTCTAGGTGTACAGAATGCAATGCCAGCTCTTTTACTCCCTAGGGAGTAAAAATCATTTTTAGTCCCTAGAGAGTTAAAAGTCTGCTTTTGTAAACTGAGTTGTAAATTTTGATTGTAAGCAAGCGCTTTTATCGAAAGTAAGTATCTATTTTTAGTTTTTGTTGTTGTTGTAGCGTATTGTTGCTTTCTCTTTCTGATAGGCCTAATAGCTCTAGCCTATTAAATTTATTGCCAGTTTCTCAGAATTATGAACACATATTTGTTTAGAGTTTTCAGTTTTGACATAAAATGTTGTACCTACATGTCTCTGTTATAGAAATACACAAAATAAAATACAATACCTAAGTGACTTTTGTGTGTTTCAGAGATGAAATGCTGAGTTTGGTATCAGTTTTGTCATCAGAATGTGTGTTTGTAACGTCACCAGCAAAGAAGGAAGAAGCTAAAGCTGCTAGAATTAAGTTTTTGTCTCCTGAAGGCGATCACATCACACTCTTAAACATCTTCCGATGTTATAGAAACATTCGAGATCAGAAGGTAGTTTTGTGACCTTACTTCTGCGTTAGGATGTTTTTATTGTTTAATTTTTGTTCTTTTCTTAAACAATCTCAAAAAATTATTGAAACAGATATGGGCTATGCCCAGAATATTGGGAGGACTATGAACATAAAGATGATTCCTTATAATGAGGGGTAGAGAATATTTCACCTTGACCAAAAGTTAGCTACTTGACAGGTAAAAAAAAACTTTTTTTAGTTTTGGCCTTGTTGCTGACAATACTAATTTATTTGGTACCATTTGTAGTTAGCTATTTCTTTTTGTCCTACACATTTATCTTTTATACTAGACGTTGATGGTATTTCTAACCGTCAGAGGGAATTTTCAACTAGCTCCTCTCCTGGTGTATTCAATTTTGTATTTACTCCAGCTTTCTAATTGTGTGTCAGCCTCTGGTCAATTTGTATTGAACTAGTTTATTAAATGAACACAAAAGCCTATGTTTTAAGGATTTCTAAGATTCACAGACTTACCTGAATCAAAAAGAAACTGACTAATCCAGCACAAGAAACTTAACATAACAAACACTACAAAAAAGGATTATTTTCTGTCACTGACAGTGATATTTTAGAATTTAATTTTGTGTTTCCTATGCCAGAATAGGCACTTTTACATGCAGGTAAGCCTGCTAGCCTCACATTTTATATAAAATTGCCTGTGCTATAAGTTATTTTGTTCCAGAAATGGTGTTTCGACAACTTCCTGAACGCGCGCAACCTAGAGTACGCGGCGGAGGTGCGCACGCAGCTAGTGGCACTGTGTGAACGTGCAGGGTTTCCTCACTCCAGCTGCGGGCAGAATCTTGACACGGTGCGCAAGTGTCTCATCGCTGGATTGTTTAACAACATCGCCGAACTGCAGAGGGACAAGCATTATATCACGGTAGGCCCTAAGTTCTTATGTGGCCCTTAGTTTGTAAATATTTTGTTTACTGAATTAGTACCGTTCTTGTTGAATTGTGATAACTGGCCAGCAGGGCTCAACAAACACCAACATTAGACACATTTTCTGAGCAATGAACAAGTAATACAGTAATGGTTTTCAGTTTGAAAGAACACAATTTTATAAGAATGTAGGATTCTTAGTCAAACCAAACCCAATCTATAATATTAAAACGAAACAGTGTTTTTTTATTTCACGATTCTGAATCGACCACTCGACGGATTTTCATGATTTTTGTGTTGAAAGAAAGATAAATTTGAGAACTAAGAAATGTCGAAGCCATAATTTTAGTTTAGGGTCCCAGTTTTTTAGAATTTAAATTTTAATTTCTAAAAAGTCTAGCAGCCGACGCTAAGATTCTAAACTAGCTTTTGGCATAAAATAATTTGCTTAACATAACAGCTGTAAACATTCAGCTTTTGTGTCACAAATTCAGCATTTGGATAAAAATGTAACGACATACTTAGGGTTGACTTATTTATACTATGTGTAATGCTAATCATTGATACGTTCAATTCTTCTGTAAGAGGATGACAGATTAGTTTAATATACATAGTAAAATACTAGGATGTTCAAATTATTTTTTAAAGCAATCTTTGTAATCTTCGATTTGTTTTAGAGCAATATAATTTGTTTTAACTAACAGCTGGTTAGTTATAAAAATGCCCTATAGAACTATGAGGTTATTTACTCTGATTTTGTCATTGATTATAGGAAATAAGTAAGATTAGTAGACCACCGAGATAAGTAACACCATCGATGTGTACAAGTCGAGGCTCTGTACACGAGTTAAATAAAAAAGATATGCAAATTATTTTACTGCTCAACTTTTTTGGAAAGGGTAGGAAAATCAGAATTTTTACATGTTTTAATTCATCTTGGCAGCTTTTTGTTTACAAGCAATGTTTTTGAATGCTTGAACTTTGTTTGGATTAGGCCCGGAAATATTGATGTCATAAAGATTGAGATCAAGAATCCTCAGGAATACGATTTTAAATTACCACCACAACCTCAGACGGGTGTTATCCAAAGATATACAGATGAATGACATAGATTGAACACAACGTCATCATTGACCTAGGATACTGCAATTAGACTTACCATCCTTTTATGAAATCTAAAAAAGTTATTTGGCGTGTGTTTAGTTGTGGTTACGTTTGGAGGCGCTGAATATTTTATAGTTTAAATAAATGAATATGGGGAATTACGATGTACATTGATTCAATGAGGGTGGTTTAATTATCAAGGATATTGGAACTGATAACGGAATGGATAAACATAGACAATTAATTACGTCACTAGCTTGACTAGCGTTTTTACTTTTTAAATTCCTTCAACATGTGACCAGTTCGTTTGTTCAAATGAATATTATTTTTGACTCAGCTGTTTACAAAACAAACTAATATGTTGTTGTGTTTACTTTTCTTTGTTTACACTTATTTATTTAGCAATTGATATAGTGAAATTGACACAAAGGATGTGTGTGGACGATTCGTTTAAGATGTCAGGACACCAACGTTATAATTATGTGTACTGTGAATTTTATTGGATGTTTTCGTTTTATTTTAGGGAGTTTCAATTCAGACCTACTGGAAATTGTGTAATAGTATGAGTAATTGTATTGTGGTGATATTGATTATGAAAGAGGTAGGTATGCGATGGAAGGTGATATCATTGACTAGGCCTATACACTTCTCAATTGATAATTACTCTTTCTACTGTAGGCTGCAATAACATTTGTCTTTATAAGGTAGCTGTTCTGAATTATAGGCCTACACCGTTTTAACTGACTACTCCCGTACGTAGGACGGGCTAACACCTTTACTTGTATTATGTTACAATACAATCATAGTAATGCAGGTTTGCAACACCTAAAAAACTTAGCCCTTTTTTTGGCATTATCATCTAGTGCAAACCTAATTGAACTAAATGGAAGACACAATCAGCAGGAAGGTTGTTAATAATTTTGTTTAAACAGTTCCTGTTCCTAGATGTTACCATGTTACTAATAATAAGGTATTTTAATAATATATTACCAGACTAATAGGTACAGATTATTTTACTGATTTTTATTTTACTGATAACCTTTCAGACTGTAAAGATTCGAGAAAATTTTGGAAATGTTTAAAACAGGGTGATCTAATTGGAAAAAACTGTAACACACAACTCCCAAATACTTTTAAAGTTGATGACATGAATGATTACTTTGTTAAAATGGGATGTTTCTTTGATGCAGACTCACGCTTAATTGGTTCTTATAACAAAGAAAGTAAGAAAGGAATAACTAATTTATTTAACTTTAACCCTCCCAGTGTTACTTGACGAAAATTCGACAAGCAGCACACTTTGTGTAGCGTTACTTGTCGATTTTTCGACAAGCAGACATCGTTTACGGCGAAGGCTCTATAACTGACTGAATCGGATTGAACTGGATCGAGTTAGGTATCGTTCTTTCCGTTTCATTCTAAGCTTTCTCCAGAGGTCTGTCTCAGCGCTGTACGTTATCTGAGCCGATCGTAATATGTAGCAGACAGCTGACGTGCGTGTATTTGTAAACAGCTAGGTTACCCTCCGACCGATGACTGATGTGTTTTATTACGTTTATCATTGTTTTAGTGTTAAAAATCAAAAGTAGTGATATACGTGTTGCATTATAAGAAGATTTAAGTGGTTTTGAAGTGCTGGTTGATGATCCTGAAGAAGTAGGTAGTGATATTGATGTAAATTATCAGCCAGATTCCTAGCTATGGTTAGGCTATGCATTCTTAGCTAAACGCTATGTACTGAAATCTTTTTTTTGCCCATAACTTATTTATTTGCAAATCTACTTCCTTATATTATTATATATTTGTAATCCTCATAAAATTTAGAACAGAGTGGCTATTTTCAAATATTTATAGGCCTATAATTTATACAATTTCATTGAGCGCGAACTTATTTTTTTTTTGAAAATTTTCGAAATTATATTTTTTTTACCTAAAAATTTTTTTTTTTTTAAATGTTCCTTATGTTTTATATATAATATTGAAGCACATGATTTTCCAAACAAAATGGTATATAGAACATTAGAATTAACATTGTTTTAAGCTTCTCATATCCGTTTTAATAAAACCTTGCAAATGCGCCAAAAATAGGTGGACATTAAGGCCTAAACTATGGACACTTGGAGGGTTAAAAAAGTCTCAGAGAAGGATGTTAAAACGGCAATAAATGAAATAACCTCTAGAGCAGTTGGAGTTGACAACTTGAGTATTTTAATGATTAAAGCAGTTTGTCCTTACGCAATTGGTGCCTTAACTCACTTGATGAATGAATCATTAGGATCAGGCAAATTTCCTCAGGCATGGAAAACTAGTATAGTCCACCCATTGCCAAAAAAATCTAACCCTACTGACTTCAGTGAGCTTAGACCTATATCAGTCTTGCCTGCGATATCAAAGGTACTGGAAAAATTAGCAATAAAACAAATTCTAGAACATTTAGAAAAAGAACAAATCCTTCCAAAATTACAGTCAGGGTTTAGAAGAAACCACAGTACCTGCACTGCATTAGTGAATATGTTTGCAGACTTGTTTGAGGCAAGGGACCGGGGCAGGTGTAGCTCTGTTGTGATGCTTGACTATTCACAGGCGTTTGACTCTATAAGCCACAGTTTACTTCTTGCTAAATTGGGACATCTTGGTTTTATGGATAATGCAATTGCTTGGATGCAGTCGTACTTGGAAAAAAGAGAACAGGTGACTAGAGTGGGAGCTGATGTTTCACTTCCCCTTGACAAAGTCCGGGGAGTGCCGCAGGGGAGCTGTCTGGGTCCCATTTTATTCACCCTGTACACTGCAGACATATCCAATTGCGTGCACTTCTGCAATGTGCACGTCTATGCAGATGACTGTCAGATGCATTTATCCTATGATGTCAACTCAATTGACCAAGCTGTTGCGAGAATGAACTTGGATTTGGCGAATGTCAGTGAGTGGTCCATAAAGCATGGTCTCAAGTTAAACCGAGAGAAATGCACTGTTCTTCATATTGCTCCGCCCAACTATGTTCAATTGATCATTGATGGAGACGTGCAGGTAAAACTTGATGACGTGGAGTTGAAGGCGAGCAACACTGCCAGGACTTTGAGCGTAATACTGGACAGTGGTCTTACCTTCTCTGATTATATCACCCATGTTTCCCAGCTGGTGTTGGGTAGATTGCGGGGTCTGTACAAATGCCGAACCATCCTACCTGAGTCAGCCAAGATTCAGCTGATTCAATCAATTGTCTTGTCAGTGCTCTACTACTGTTTTCCTGCATATGGCAACAGCATCACAAATGAGGGCATGGAAAGGATTCAAAAACTTCAGAACACCGCAGTAAGATTTATATATGGTCTGCGGAAACGCGATCATATATCTGAATTTGAAAAAACTGCCGGTCTTTTGCCCTCAGCAGCCGTATGCAGGATGCAAACCTGCACTCTGGTTCATCGGGTACTGGTCAAAAAAGAACCAGCTTACCTGATGGAAAGACTGGTCTCCCGCGATCGGGTGTCTCGGTGCAATACCCGACAGGAAAAGCTGTTTCACTTCCCGAGAGTGAGACTGGAGATTGGCAGGAGAGGCTTTTCATACTTTGGGCCAAAGTTGTATAATGACCTCCCCTGTGATCTTAAATTGCTGGGTGTTCCAGCTTTTAGAAATAAGCTAAAAGAAATATTTTGTAAATAGATTATGTACTTTTTGTTATTAGTTTTATTTAGTATTAGTAATTAAATCGACAAGAGTTATCCTGTAAAGCAGTATGTACTGAGGAACGCTTGCTAAATAAAGGCATTTTTATTTATTTATTGACAGATACTCCTGTAATAGTATTATTTATCCTATTACGTTAAATAGCACCCAGATCTAGATTGCGGCAAAATCTTGAATACCTCCCGTAGTTGTTTTTAGACAACATCGTCTTCAGTGGTTGTGCCACAATCTTGAAAACCTTCTGCTGATACAGATCATCCTTGCGGCAAAAAGCGTGGATTTTCCTATCTGGAAATGTTTGCAGTCACTTTCTGCGATGACGATAGTAGAAGCTCGGCTCGATTCAGTTTAAATAGGCCGAAAAATCTAAAACATGCCCTGAATTTTAGTAAAACTCCAACCATCCAAATGTTTTATTAACCGACAACCGGTACTGTCCCAATCGATTTGGATGGTGAAGTTCTACTGTACTCCAATAATTTCACACTGGTACACTGTGTAGTATTAAGTTTTTACACCTATTATGGCGAGTGACTGTTCTGATGTTTGTTTGCAGATTGGAACCAGACAGCAGGTACAGATTCATCCGTCCTCATCACTGTTCGGCTCATTGCCTCCGCACGTCTTGTTCACAGAGTTAATCCAGACAGGCAAATGCTACATGCGTAATGTCTCGGTTATTTGCCCAGAGTGGCTGCAAGAGGTCATGCCTTCCTATGCTCGGCTCCACCCACTGCGACAGCTCGACTAACAGGAACTGCTGTCGAAATGTGTGGATCATCATTACTAGAGTCTGTTAAAAACATTGAGTCCTCTCTTGTGTTAAAATATTCTTTTTTATCACTACAAAAAGTGTCTTCTACTTTGGGCTTTCCTTGCTGCAGTATTGTGAATGTCAAGTGAATACCTGCACTTTCCAGGGTACAACCCTTGCTGAATTTGGCTGGTAGGAAAACAGTTGCACTTGACTTTTATGTGAAGAGTTGGTGCTGAAAAGGCAGATATATTCCAGCTAGGAAAATCCGCTTGTATACTTTTGTTTTATTTATCCTTCCATTTTAATTAGCTATAGTTAATCATATAAAGTGGTTTTTATTTGTTTCCATTGTTACTGGTACCTGTTGAATTATCTTAATAAGCACCGGTACTCCTTTAACTTTGTATAGATGATTGGGCGTCTGGACAGTAAATCTTGTTTTGGTGTTATTGCTTCAACTTCAAAGAATTTCAGTCATAAAAGATACCGGACCGCAAGAAAAATACTGTTCCTATCCTCCAACCTGATACATAGGTTAATAAATTAAAAATGTAAATAATCTGTTAGGTTTGTATTGCAAGACAATGTGTATGAGTGTACATTGTGTTATACTTTTGTATCGAGCTCTTTTGAATAAAAATGGATTATATACACCTAATCTTAATTTTTTAACCGTGATTCATTTATACACTTCAAGCATTAGAGCAGAAAGGTTTATGTGGCCTAATGTAGTGTTAATCTATCTAGAATATCATAGTCTAGAATTACCGAAGTGAAGGCTGTATGTAAAGACACACATCCATTGTAGCCATGTTTTTTGGAAGTTTGTAACTTAGAAAACACAAAAATACATCGATGTACCAAAACCAATACATACCAACATTTAGGTGCATGGACAGACACAAAAGTCTAAGTGTCTAGACATATTATTTCCTATTTAGTTCTGTATTTTGAAATTTATAAATATATTTTCAGGGACAACAGTTAATACAAATCTCATCTACATAGAAAATTTTAATATCATATACAATATAATGCCAAATTTACAAAATAAATTGCTTCATTCAACATAAAATGAGATGATCATACAATATTATGTTCTAGTTAAAATATCATTACAAGGTTGATTAAAAATATAAATTATATATATACATTAGTTACAGATTCTTCCATCCTGGTAACTCTTAAGACCTTTCTCTTCTTCTCTTTGAAACTGAGCTGGCCTTCTTACTCTCCTTTTTTAGTTTTTCTGATTTTTTTGGAGGTGGCTCCTTTTTCTTTTTGCTTACTGTTTTTCCTTTCTTTTTCTTTTTTCTTGATTCCTCTTCAGAATCTGAACTTGTTGAATCTATAGAAAGAAAAGTTTCTTTGTTAAAATAGAAATTTAAGAGGAAAAGCTGAGATAAAACTACTGAGTAATAAACGTTATTTAACTGAACTTTTATACTGTTTCTGAACCAATCAAGAGAAACATTTCATAACAAAGATTTTGGTAACGTCACCATCATTCAATGCAGTGGCTGTGCCAATGAAAACTTCATGTAGCAATTTTCTCAATTCATTTAAACAACATCAAGGCATACAAAAATGTACCATAAATTTAACCAATTGTTAAGATATTTCCTTACTTTAGAACAACCTATAAATTCAAATTCAACATATTATGAACATAGATGTAAGCAACCCCTAAAGTCTATACCTGAAGATGAATCTGAAGAAGAAGAATCAGACGATGAATCAGAGGAATCTGATGAAGATGAATCAGAACTGGAGAGACCTTCCACAAGCTGTGGGACGACTACAGTTTCCTTTGGCATGTTTTTGAGGTGTTCTCGAAGTTCATCCCTTGAATCAAAGAGATTTTCAATAGAAGTGGGATTAATGTGATAATTTGATATTTTAACATAAAACAATTAAGCCTAAAGAAAATAAACTGAAAATTCAAATAAAATCCAAATTCAACTCAATATATAGATTATTTATTCTTTTTAAATAGCAGTATCTTCGTTCAACAGTTTTTCCTGGTAAGAACACATATTCTTTATAGGGAAAGAAATATGTGAAATTAATTTATTCAATACTTTGAGGCCGTTCAATGCAAATGAACGATGCTTGTAATGCGAACGATGTTTTCACATACCAGTTTTATTCACGCAATAATAGACCTATTTTAAAAGTAATAATATAAATAAAGTTTAATGAATATCATATCTGTGATTAAATCTTTTAAATAATTATTTACTAATACAATAAATTAGCTAAATTTAGGTTAAAAATAGTAACTTTTTTATTTTTTAGTGGTTTCCCTACAAAATTCACTTCATCAGAAACCATCCATCCATCACACAAGTATAGTAAGGTCTACCTGTGTTTTACTGCTTTTTGTTCACAATATTTCATATCAATTTGTCAATAGTTATTAAAATGTTATGATTTTATTTTTTCAATCCATTAATAAATAGCAAATGACAGATATACTTCAAAAATATCACATCCAACATCTGTACGGTAACATTATGCTTAAACATTATCACTCACGTTATTCCTCCAAGTCCAATTGAAGTGAAAAAGTTAATTGCGAATCTAGTGTTCTTGGGATTGTCCCTGGGAAATAAGCCCTCTAGTGCCGGCTGCAAAGCCCTGGAAACATTATAAATTATAGTGATGTCACTTTTTAAATCTTTTCAATACAGTCTTTTTTCCGGACAAAGAAAAGATTGTTATAACTAGCCTACTTATTAGAAGAATATGAAAGCAAGATTTCATTTTGTAAAGTAACCATGAAAATAACTTACTGGTCTCATGATACAAAACATTTTTTAGGTGCTTAATTAACATGTCTTCTGAAATAATCTCGCAGACGTCAAATTCCACGGTTAATTTGATTTAGCCACAACAGTTCTTTGCACTTGGGACGTTATGAGACAATCTACTCGTCTTCGACTGGATGAGTAGAGTAATTATTGTTTTGTGTAAATTACACCAGTTATTCTTGATTACAGCCTCATGATGGTCAACTGCATTCATTATTACAGATTTGAGGCGGAGAGCCTTAACATCAGCTATAAGACTCCTTTTCAAACATGGTTTTTAATCACATGCAAAAAATTCAAATTGTTATTCCAATCACATTGTACTGTTAAAGCGGTTTACAGCACAGTCAAAGAGAAACAAATGCTTGATTGTGATCAACATCAGCAGTTTGATTTTTTATTGGATCACATGTGTAAACGAACAACTGCACATTTTTAAGAAACACGTACACATCAGAAATAATTGGATGTTATGAAATACTTTTAAAATATAAACTTACGGATCTTTCACTCGTACATTGAGTTTTGTTAACCCCAAGTACTCGGAAAGTTCCTGGAACAGGATCTTGATGAAGATTCGGCTGGAGCTTGTTGTGTCTTCCTCGTTGAGTCGTATGATGGACAGAACATCCCATGAGATGGCGTCTGTGTGCAGCAAGTGGGCAAACAGCTTGGCAATGTTGCGCAGTTTGTCGTTGGACATGCGATGTATCGTGGTGTAACTGTCTCTGAACGTCTCCTCAAACGGAGGGACGTACGACCGGTTTATCTGGCAGAACCTCTGTAACATCATGTAAGGATTAGGATAATTTTAACACTTTTAAAATGTTTCAACAAATCTTGTTATATCATCTACTTCTTACTCTTGTTTAATTCAACAGGAATAAGTAAAAACTTAATTAATTAAATTGATTAAAAACATTCTTAATTCAATTTGCTATGAAAATATTTATTTTAATGCTTATTTTCTACCTCAACTACAGTATACTTCCTCGGGTTTCGGGACTGAGGCAAGTCCAGATAACAGGTTTTCCGGTTAAACTGACACCCTAAAAAATTGATGAAATTAGGATAAATCTAATGTGTATAAACCAATGATGATTATTATTTAAAGTAGTAGTTATAGACACGCGATCGGTCTCAAATCTTTCCCACACAAATCAAATCTACCACTCACTTCTTGCAGATCTAGTCCGGTTAGGCCGATTTGCTGATACAATTTTTTTGGTTAAAGAGGTGAAGAGGTGTCACTTCTGCCGAGTGTAGTGCGGTTAAATCGATGTCCGGTTAAAAGGTGTACTGTATTGCTATTACTAGCGGTTTTAATTTAGGGTATTTAGCTGATGAATATCAATGAATCTAAAAAACTGTTTGTGGAGTTACTATTCAAGGGTTTGTGACAGGTTTTTCCTCTTAAATGTAAGTAACAAAGTATCATTTTGATTACTCGTTTCATCGCTCCTATTCTTGACATTAAATCTTATATTACCTATCAAATGACAACTGAGAATAAGGGATCATACAACACTTTTGTGTGCAACGTTGAATCAAGCATACAAAAATTACAATGTGGTAGAATGATTAAACTACTAGTATGATTTAAACTACAATATGGTAGACCTGTGCCAGAAGACCGAAGAACTTCTCGTACGTTCGTTGTTCCGCACAACAGTCCAAAAACATGTGAGCCATCTCAATCTCCTGTCCTGGCTTCAGTTCCATCCTCAGCAGCTTGTGAGCGCACTCCTCAAAGTCCAAACTGGACTGTATGGTCAAGTAAATGGTCTTCCGCAGTGCCACAAGATTCGTCTCTGTCTTGTCCACAATAATGTCCTTCTTCTCTCCTTGTTCTTCGCCTTCCTCTTCTGAATCTATGAGAATGCAGTTTCAACATTAAAATTAGAATGCACAAAGATGTAAAAATAAAAATTGGATAGCCCTATAAAACATGGTAATTGGTGATCAATTTCAATGGGAAACAAAAGACCAATATTATTGTTTTACATATCGCCATGAGATCTACAACTAGTTCTTACATACTAGGCATTCTTTAGTTACTTTCATCTTAAAATTTATGGAATATATTTATTTAAATAATCAACAATTGATTTCTGAAGTTTATCATTGCAGCAATGGCCATTTGACCACAGGGGACGGTTTCCGTTGTCTATCTCGATTTTCAATTGTTTTGAATTTTAATTTTTATTGTTTTGGTTTTTTAACCTGAATTACGGTCTAATAGTTTGTGGTTATTTGGAATTTTTCTGTTCTCTGAAGATGCCAAATTTGTGGCCAAATATGCATCAAGACAAGAACATAAAGAGAAAAAGGCAACTGGTAAAAAAAGGTATGACTTAAACTAAAAAGAATTCTTTAAACTGGGTAACACTGTACATTACAAAAAAAATATACATTCAATTGTGCAACCGTTCAATCAACATCGGAAACAACTAACTCAACATGATCTTTCAATGTAAATCAAGGTTACTAGACAAACACAATTCATATTTCAATTTTAGTCTTTTTTAACCATGTCGAAACATGTTACATGTAATAAACCATAATTTTCCTCTGATTCAGTTACTCACCATCATCGCTGTCGCCGCTGCCAGAGCCGGAACCATCATCCTCATCATCGCTGTCATCATCCTCTCCTACGAGTGACTTATATTTGGCCTCATTAGCCTCGTAGTCGGGATCAAGCTTAAATACATCTGTAAACATTGCATCAGAATTATTTACAGTGAAAAATTATACATTACATTATAATTATAGTATCTTAGCTCTGTATCAGTTTGGGTTGAGAATTAATTCAAAAGACTAATTTGGTAAAAAAAAGTCCTTGTATTCATAAGAAATAAGTTGGATCAGCACAATCTTTCCGTGGCTCACATCAACTACATCTATTTTGATTAAAAACTGGTGACATCTTAATATGGGGATGGAATGTCTAGTAGTATTAATATTCTAAGATACAAGTGAGCAGTAAGTGTGCATAAAAAGTTGCAAAACATCTAATCAGAGGTACAATTTACCAAGAATTCACCCCTATAAACAAACCTGATTTTTTAAATACTCCAGTTCCTACTACGCTATATTTGTCTAAAGCAAATTACAGAAATTACATAGAAATCCTTCACAGGGTTAAATGTCGAGTAGAATGACAAAACAATTTTAGAGTACCCCAAAACTTACTCAAAATGTCTTCAGGGTCGTGATTATCCTCTAGACTGATCAAATGAGTAATCTTATCATCTTGGTCAACCAGATCCAACTCCTTTACCAGGGATGGATGAGCTTTAAAGTCCTCCTTCCTTATTTGAAACATGACTTCAATCATGTATTGCACCTGCAAATGAAACACTGATCAATTGACATGTGTATAAAATTAACAAATGAATACCCTACCTTAAGAAGTTGTTTACAAACTGTTTTATTAAAACTGAATTTGAAAATACCTCACCTAGTGCAACAGACAAAAATAAAGCAATAGCTAGTTGGTTGAATGGCAATAAAGTTTAAGAACAGTCAACAGTGTTAAATATTTTGTAACCAAAACAATACAATGTAGCCTTAGCTAAACGATTGTGCGGATACTAATTGTATTTAATTTAACGAGGACTTGAATCCCCAGTTAGTCCGGATTAATAAGAGTTTACTGAATTGATAATTTATACGTGCATAGACAAGGTCTTTATTTAATTTTTTTAAACTGTGGGATTATTATTTTTTTTTAATTTATAGTTTTTAAAGCAATTGAGTTTTTGATTTCTTTTGTACTTTGTCTTCAGGGACAAGCTTCAAGACAAGACTATTAAATAGTCAAACTTGCAATCATTGTTTCTTAAAATCATGAACTTTCTGTATAAAAGAGCAGGTATTAAGAGGCGGTCGGACAGAGATTCTCGGCTGCCGACACTGGCCGTCACTTTAACATGGAGCGCATATAATAATTCCTCGTTTTCTGGTCTATCCGTGTTCCAAAAAATATTTCCCACACTCAAAACATTGTAAATGTATGTAGGATTAAGACTGTACAATATAAAAATCATAATGTTTAATTATAAGCCGGATATAAAATAAATCATTTCTTACATTTCCCATAAGGAATTGCAATACTTTCTGCTAAAATATAAAATGACTGGCACTATGAATAATTCTGGTTCAAACGCCATATTGAAGAGCATATATTCATTAGTGTATTGAGTGTGACAGATATTTATTTTTCGATGGTTAACATTAAGTTTTGTATTTTTTTGTAAACGCTTGCAAAAAAGCCTTGCTTGCCGACTGAGTACTAGTTCGACGATGTCCCGGCCGATGGCAGCACAGTCGATTGTGGACTACAGAGCACGTTTTCAAACCGCGCCAAATAAAATGCATTTAAACTGGCCACAGATCTGTTTAAATAAATAAATAACGTTATGTTGTTACATCCCTGATGTATTATAATGCCAAGGAAATGATGATATTGAATTCACAGGAATCTAAGAATCTAATATTTTCGGACTGTGTATTTACCGTAGGTATGTATTAAAATATTACTGTCATCAGAGATAAAAGTAGTTTTACAACACCCGGTTTGATACAAACCATTCATCAATATAAAACAAGTTCCGTTAGAATAAACGTCTCTTTTGGTCATACTTAGTACGTTGATTAAGGACTTAGCTGTATAAAGATAGCTGCTGCAATTTACACGATTTGATACAAACTATTTGTCAGTAAGAAAACAAGGTCCAGTGGAACAAAAGCATTTTCTGACATACGTGGTATATACGATTAAGGTTTTCCAGGAACCAAATCCACCCTCCGGACCAGCACTGCGTCGTAGCCAAGCCGGCTTCTGACTCACGGATTATCTTGGAATTGCGATGTCCCGTTTTAGGTCTATAATATTCGAGCTAAGATAAAACCCCAAGTGCCCATCCGAAATCCTTTTTATATATTAGAGGCACAGGATAAGGCAAAATCTAGAAAAAAACATCAAGAGCAAGATTGCAACTTCAAATGGCTTTGAAACGTAAAAATACGACACATAGGACCTACTGTTTTTATTTTTTATATTTTTTTTATTTAAATCGTTCCATATATCTATATAAATAAAATACAGTTTTGTCTGTAGGCCTACATTGCTTAGAATCATGCAGTTTCTGGTTACATTAGGTTTCATAGCCTAAGAAAGCCGAAACGAGTCTTATCTCAATTTCTGTCTGTCTGTCCATTCTTTCATTCTGTCAGTGACACCAAAATGTCATTTTACGCGGCCTACTCCTAGAAAACTAGATTTTGATCAAGGTTCAAATCATTTTCTGTATTTACTGGATTAGTGAGTTTCTTTGGCTATAAAAACATGGCCCCGCTTCTTTGAAAACAAAATAACAAACCATCAAAAACCCAATTTTGTTCGATTTTTGTCAAATTTTCTTCCAATGTTTACTATTAAATTTTATGAAATAACGATCAGCTATTTGGATTAGTTCTGACTTCTAGCTGTCACATATGATATGTTTACATTAAATACTGTTTACAAATACCGCAACCATTTCCGATCAAGTTTTGTAAGCACATCCAAACCAAGTGGGATTAAAAACGTTGTGCCTTACTTAGCCGGTTTAATTAATCGCAAGTACAACGATTGTTCTTGAGTTTTGATAACCGGGGAAAAGGCCGTGAATCAGTGTTGTATAGTGCTCAGTGCTGGGAATATACCGATCATCGTTTAGAGATTACGTAATCTTTCAAATAAGAACCCTTTGTTTGGATAAGGGTTTTTTCTTCAAACTGTCATTAATATGTTAACATTAAAAGCTGCTTACAAATAATGCTATTAATGGGAAATAACTTTGATTTTCGAAAAAAAAATCCAAAACCAAGGTAGATTAATAACTTCGATACTGTTTGAATAGGTGAAACATGTTGTGAGTTCTACTTACTACAATTGAACTGTTGACGTACGTAAAGGTGCGTACCTCATATTAGTCTAATTAAACAGTTCAGGGGCTACATCATGAATTTTAATTTTACTTCGATACTGATACCAAGATACCACATCAAGTGAAAGATTTTTTGGACAAACCATAATGAATTTTTAAAGCGTTACGTTGTCAACGTATCAATGTTTTGTGGACTGTGTATTTATTTACTTATTTATATATTTGCCAACGGATGTACACCAATTTTACAGTTTGATTAGGATTAGGCCTAAATACGATTATCATAAAACTTGATGACACTATAACAACTTTTAAATAAATATCCCCTAATTCAAGTCTGTATTTTTGTGAGTATGTCTGTTGATAACGCATTAATGTCCTTAATTCTCAGTGTTTCGTGGAAAAGACAAGAGCACCTTTGTAAATGAAAATTTCAACCTGAATAAAGTGTGCAGTAGTGAGGTTGATGTAGTATGTAACTATTTTAAACCAGTGTGAAAGGTGAATTTCAATTACAGGCCTACGTTAGGGCTATGCCTCATAGATCTAAAAGAAATTCCTTCTATCATTAGATATAAAATATGGACTAAGACGATCAGGTGACATTATATTGCGAAGCATTCGTATATTCAGTCTTTTGTAAACCATGTTCAGTATTTTTCATAGGTATTTTAATGTAGTTTAATTAGGGACAATATTTGTAGTTTTTTATATAGGTTTGAGCATATACTTTAAAGGTTTTATTTATGCTATTTTAATGTATTATACATTTTTTTAACGTTCAACACGAGAAATTGGGAAATTTTGTGTTTAGTTAGAGGGTCAAAAATTTAGAAAAAACAATTTTTACCCGATAAAACCCCGTTCCCATGGTCCGATCATGCTGGTTCGCGAACTCATTCAAGTTTATCCCGCCTCACACCTTCAAACAAAATTTCATCAAAATCGGACAAAAATTACTCAAGTTATCGTGTTCACGGACACACATATATATACAAATTTGAACGAATGGTGTTTTTGGCCTCTGGGGACATCAAAATGAAAAAGTAAATCGGTTCCGGGCGTAGGTCTTACCATGCCACTTATGGTAATAGCTACCTCATTACAGGGAAATTCGATAAAATGTATGGGATAGGCCAAGTAGTTACATTATTTAGCCCAGTAGCACTAGTATATTATTTATAATTGAATACATTATCATGTATTTTGATAAGTGTATAAATCAAAATGTCTTACTGAAAGTGCTATTTGTATCTCCAAAACATTTTTTGTGTGGAAAATGAGCATATTGTGCGGTGACGAACTGAGACCTGCTCCGGCACGTAATCGCTGAGACGCAAAGGGTGGGTGAGCGAAGGTAGCAAACCAGTGAAAGTGAAACATGCGGTGGGACAATAGACAAGGGCTAGGACACAGGCTGAGGGTAGTCGAGTTGATGCTTTCAAGTTTCTAGGTAACACAGGGTTGTCAACCATCTCAGATCCCGTTATGCGACAGCCACGAAACTGGTGGCCAAGGGTGGTACTATTACAAAAGTCTGTTTTGGGAGGACTGTGTTGTTGCTCGTGACGCCTGCAAAATATGGGATACGGGGCTCTATCCGACCGCCTCTTAATACTAAAATTCATGGTCAGTGTATGAATATATCTATTATACAAAACAACACAAAGTTATTTTCCTTTGGCAAATACATCAAGAAATTTCCCAAAAATCAAAGTGGAGTATGATTGACACTTACTCTTTTCTCCAATGTCCCCTCGTGTAGAATCCTTCGGAGCATATCAAATATACCCATAATGCCTTTATTGGATACTTCAGTCAACTTCATACCACACTCCTTCAGAAAGGCTATTGCAACCTCCACGGAATCGTCGGTGGGTGTTTCAATCAACAGCGTTAAAATTTCTAACGCCAAGATTTCATGGGCCTAAAAAAAATTGGATTATTAGCAGAAAGGTTATAGGCCTATATTTACATATGGTAGAGGTGTAAAATAAGTTGACAAACTAATATAGCCTACTTAGACCTATTCAAAGTGTGTGTAAACACCCTGTACATTCTTTGAGGTGTATGAATGAATATCTTAGGTCAAGAAAATATTAAAAACCTACATTAGGATTGTAATAGTATATTTAGTATACAGTAGAAATACTTTATGTTAACCTAACCCAAATCGTAATGACTGTGAACAATACATTACCAATATATTACATCTAGTACTTGTACTAGATGTAAAGCAGGCTGCTTATTTTTTCCCTCTCTTGGTTAATGGCTACTAACTGTAGGCCTAATGATGTAAACTCTTTTAGAAATTTGTTAATACTCACATACCCCAGTTGTCTATGTAATATAAAATGTATTATTTTTCACCTTCAGATTAAAATGTTCAAAGTTAATTCAGAGTACAGTTGATGCTCCAAATTTAGAATGGAACAAAGGAGCATTCAATACTGCTAAAGGTTGAGTTGTTACTTCCCTAGTTTCAAGATGGTGGCTAATAAAGCCTCTCAAACTTTTTTTTTTTTTAAGAGGTTGGCGGCCTCTTTTAACCTTGCATTTGCCCGTCCACATAGACTACAGATCTGTGCGTGGAACGTATCCAGCAAAGCAAGGGGTGAGCCGGTACAGTACAAAGGTGAACTGTACTGATAAAAGTTTGTGGCAGTGACCAGGATCCGAACCCACGACACTTCTGCCTTGGGCCCAAAGTCCGTGACGCTACCAACTGAGCCACCGACTCACCAACTTATGTAATTTAACAAAAAACTGTAATAAAACATATTAATACAATTAGTTAATACTTTAATGCAGCATTTTAGATAGTAGATAACAACACAGGGATTGTCTAAATTAATTAGACAGAAATGTCAAAAAACCCAATACATAGTTCAAAGAATTTTAACCTTTATTATTATTGTGTGTTAAAAAAAAACTTCTAATAAAATAAAATACTAACCACTTCTTGATTGACCAAATGTGCAATGAATGTAGCAGCAGTGATGCAAATGGTTTTATCATTTCGTTTAAATCCTCGTCTGAACTGAACAACCAATCTCTTCAACAAGAGCTCTCCGATCTTTGGAAACTGTCAATCAAAAATATAAAACATAATTGAGTGTCGAAATTGAAACTGTGTCCAAAGAATAGCTTAATAAGTCGATTTGTGTAAAAATCAAATATCAATAATAATAACAGCAGAGGAATTTCCGAAGCTTTCTAGAGGAGGACTTCCAAGCTTATCTCTGTAATATAATCTCACTACACCATCCAATAGGCAAATACAACTAACAGCTAGTTCATGTAAAATAGATTTCCTAATTTACATAAATTGGCGTTCAAACATAGTCAAAATATTGGCCTAGTTATTTTAATTTTTGTGAAAGTTGGTCTCCGAATTAGGGTGATGACATTTACCACATGGCGAACTGTCATCGGTGATCGGGAATATTTGAACCTGAATCTTTAGGATAGAAGGTCAACACTTCAACTTTGACTAGACAAATCCCGAGATAACGTTTATGTTTATATGATTGTAAATTACCACATTGTCCTTTTTGGTTTACTTTAGAATATTTTACTGCCTATAGGATACTTGCAAGTATTTCCGAAACAGTATAATGTTTGATGAGAAATGTTATGCACAGTGCACTAAGGTAATTCCAAACAAAAACCGCTGAACCGCTTAAAGTTGTGAGTTGTTCAATATCTTCCCACCAGCAATATTTGTTTACCTAATGCCCTGTAAATTGTTGTTTACATAAACTTTTGTTTTCATACCCATCAAAGGTATTTTGTGGGATGCACTGTATTGCAGCACACATGACTATTCGTGAAAAAACGAAAAACTGAATTATCAGGCTACACAAACAATGATTCTCAACAATGATTGTACAAACTGATGAAAGGCAAGTAGTTTGAACAAAGACACTACTTTAAGTAAAGCTAAGTCACTTCACTTGTAAGTTTACGGTTAGCCTCCTAACAAAACATTTGTTTGAAAAGTCTTGCGTCAAGAAATAGCCTAAGCTTACCCTAGCGTTCAACGCAGCCACCATGGCTGCATACACATTGGTGAACGTAGGAGAAGCAGCTTGCGCTTGGATGAGCGCTCGACACAAAAGTCCTTTGCCTCTGACTATATTCTCTTTCTGTACAGCTTTCAACACTCCTATAATGTTGCCGACGTTCACTTTGTTTACGTGTCCTTGAATAGATTTCTTCAAAGCTTCCCAAGCAAGACGTTGATATGCAGCGCTAAAAAAAGTGAAAGCTTAACATATTAGTTAAGTAAGATTAGATGGCCTAATTAAGATGTAAAGTCAATTGAAAGCGGAGGACTCTTGTAACTTACACTTAACAATAGGAAATGTCCATCCATTTGAACCTAAATTAACTAGCCTTTGCAATCATGGACTTTAAAGACAGAATAATATAATGTTGCATGTGCATGGGTTTAGAGTGTTTATAAGAATAGAGTACATGTAAATTATACGGTACAGTGTTCAAACTAATACAATATTAAAATTATCTGTACCTAAGCATAAATAGCCTAAAATATAAAGCTTGTGATGGGATTCCGATAGAAATTATAAAAGCAATGAAATAGTTGGAAAAGCGTAGTATACCGTTGACAACAAAAGGCTCAACCATTATAGTTTAACTCCATGACACCACACTATCAAGGTTTCTTACCTCAAAACCCATCTTGATTTGATCCTAAATTGTTAAATATTTAATTTGTCTTTTATTCAAAGAGACATTTACTTTTAAGATGATATTAGGCTCACTTGTTTGGATTAGAAAAAACTACATGAAATGAAAAAAATACAGTTATTAAGCTAAAGTAAACTCTCACCTTCCCTTGTCAGTAATACTCTCTTGCATCATTTTCAGTCTCGCCGGAGGTATGTAAGCTCCTCCCGTACGCGAAGTTAAAAGGTCAAGATTTTTGTTCCGTGTAGGCGCAGCTTTCTTTTCATCTACATTTTCTCCTGGTGTGTTTTTCTCTTTCTCATCGGTGCGCTTATCTTCATCAACTTGTTTTTCACCTCTGTCTCGTCTTTCTCTCCTCAGCTGATCGCCTGCACTGTAGTAGCGAGGACCGACTTCAACATTAGCATTAGACTTCTTGATACGATCGTTACTCTTGCTCCAATAAGTAGTACTATTTTCCCTGGTTGGTCTATGACTAGACCAATATCTCTGAGGAATATCATTACTACTTTGGTACTTGTCTTCATCTTCGTCCCTTTCATTGTAATTCTCCTCTTCGATCACATCATACCTATGACTTTGAGATTTATCAATAGCATCCTCAGATTTATCATATCGAGACCTGCTTTTCTTGCGTTTTTCGTCATAGTTTTCTTTGGATTTTGAATCAACTTTCTTATAAGTTGGGTCTAAATCTTCACCTTCTTTAATTCTAGAACTTCCTTTCTTAAGTCTTTTCTCATCAAACCCCTCATATTTAGAACTACTTTTTGATTTTTTTGCTTGAATTTCCTCACCTAGATCTTTTCTTTCTCTGGTAGGTTTATCTTCAACTTTATCTTTAAACTTATGTGTATCAATTTTCTCACTTCTCCGTTCTTTGTTTTTAGACTCATTTTTACTATGTTTATTTTCTTTTCTATATTCATCTTCTATTGGGCTACTTTTTCGATTCTTTTCTCTGCTTTTTTTGTCAGATGTGCTGGAATATTTCTTTCTGTCTTTATCTTTTTTCTTATATTCTCTCTCTTCATCAGTTTCAATTTCAGTGTCACTCTTATGCTTCTTCTTCTCTTTGGTAAGTTTTTCAAAACCATCCCTGTCGTAACTTCTTGATCTTTTTCGCTTTTTCTGTCTGTCATCTGCGTATTTACTCTTTTTGCGTTGATGTTTCTTGGAAGATTCATTTATGTCCTCATGATCTGTAACATATTTATATGTTTATATTAAGTTAATCTAATGATTTAAAATAACAAGGACATTAGCTGAAAAATATCTTGAAAGGTCAGTTGTAAAATTCATAAAATTTACTAGTAGGTGGCTAACTAAAATCTCAATTGTTGTTAATTTATTAAAAATTAAAATATATGAAACTCCCTGTGGATTAACGTCCGCACTAGTGAGTAGGCCTACTATGACTTTCCGCAGTACTATCCTGATAATTAGGCCAATTCGTTAATACCAAGGCAATAATGTGGTTCGGATTCCACTATAAACTGTAGGTCCCTTAGTTGCCATTAGCTGTCACGTATGGGCTATTGATTAACAGCTATGTCTAAGGAACATGTCGGCCTTAGTCACTAACAAGACTACAAGATCGCGCCACTCATCCTACACTCATCTCAATTCATGATTAATTGATTGGCTTAAAATACCTACTTTGTATGGTCGCCATTTCAATGAAAAGTATAAAGTAAAGTATAAAGATTAACAAGGCTTTGAAGTTACATTCAACATTTTTTAGTCGGCCACCCAGTGATAGGCTATATGGTTGATTAAGCATGGTAAGAGAGTAGTTATAGAGGACATCAGGGATGAAATTTGTAGTTATTTATCGTACGCAATAGTTGACTTGTACATATAAGTATCTCTAGTGAGTTGATTAAAATTGTTTAGCCTACAAAAATTAAATTTAGTAACATAACGTACACAAAGAGAGCGCAGCCATGGAGAGAGCAGGAAAGGGCTGCACTTTACTTTACATCCTACACTCTTTTGAAAGAAAATATTGATCGATATATCAATTAGAATTCAATTGTTTAATTCGATAGTAGGCTATATCGTTTGGTTAGTTAGGTAAGGTTAACCAACCTAATGATAGGTATATCGAATGAAACCATCAAATAATTGATATTTTCATTGGGTTGAGTTCATTTAAATGAGTGTAGGACGTAAAGTGCAGCCCAGGAAAGTGGCACCTTGATACCGTGAAACATCTGGTTACTGCTCAAGCACCTGCCAGTCTGTCTGAAGAGAAGGCGGATAAACATTATCCGCTTCCCGTCCGGAACTTCAAAAACCATAGCCTAAGCGGATATATCCGCCACCCGTCCTTTGTCACCAAAGACTTAGGAAGATATTTTTCATGTTCTAGTTGTTTTTCTAGGCCACTTCATGCAAATCAAAATAAGAAAGGGGTCTGTAGGAAAGGACGAACTATGACAACTTTGGAAAATTATGAAATATATAAAGCAACAAAAATTCGCCCTAATGATTTATTAAATGATAAAAGCTTTTTCCAGTCTAATATATTATTTGAAACATTAATAGGATTAGACAGAGACAGAAAGAAATGATAAAGGAAGCCGGGGGTACAAAGTACAACTACTAGGACAAGATAACCTCCAGTTGAGACTCGACATTGAAAATGCATGCATTGCTTCACTTTTGTCTCTCGTTTTTAATTAGTAGGCCTACTGTAAATAGTTTTTCGTGTTTAAATGTTTTGTAACTGTGTTTTTAAAACTGTGACGTGACATCATGAGTCAAAAAACTTCAAGTTTGTATATGTATCTGACGATGGTATAACAAATACCGAAACGCGTAATCCTGTTGGATATTTAAGGACCACTAAAGGCAGTCTGCAGGTATTGTAACCTTCTTATTTAGGGAGATATATCCGTCACCCGTCCGTAAAGGGTTAATTACGCAAAGGGTAAACACAAATTTTTCAATAAATACATTAGTGGCAAGTTAGGCCTAACTTAAAACTTACATGATAACTGAGTATTATAATTAACAAATAGACAAAAGACAGTATAGGCCTAATCGAATCGAGATTTTCAATCAATTAAGTTATAGGGCTGCACTTTACTTGACGTCCTACACTCATTCGATTGTTTTTTTGATTCGATATTTTCATTCGATATATCGTTTGGTTAGTTAGATTAGGTTAACCTTACCTAACTAACCAAACGATATATCGAATGAAGCAATCGATTAATCGATATATCGATCGATATTTTCATTCGAATGAGTGTAGGACGTCAAGTAAAGTGCAGCCAGTTATAGGGTACCCCAGGCGGATGCAGTTTCTTAACTGGGCTACGCTAATATTGATTGAAACTATTGATTCAATTAGTAAACCTTAATGCGATTTTTTCACCATCAGCAAGTTTGGATGGTTAGGTTAGCCTAGGTTATGATAGTTTAATTTTATAAAAGATATATTTTAAAAAGTCGATTAATAATCAATATTTTCAATTCGATAGTTTCAATCAATATTAGCGTAGCCCAGTTAAGAAACTGTACCCAGCCCAGGCAAGAAACTGTAGGCCTACCCAAAATTTGACTTCATTGTTTGCCAAGGCCTAAAATCTAGCCTAGCCTAAATGTGGCAATCCGTAGGAACTAACCTGAGTCAGACATGTTGATAGATGGTTGGATAACAGTTAAATTCAATTAATTTGATATATAAACAATAGTTAAGTTGGTTTCTGTATTTGTAAACAATAAACACTTTTCACATAGGCCTAGGCCCTAGATTTTAGATTATATTATGGACTGGACTCTGCAAAATACATAACCAAAAACAAAAACTAATACTGATTCCTTTCCTCGATTCCTAACTGTCGAGTGCGTCGCTGTCGGTCGATTCCGTGTTCCATTTCCATGGCCATCCGAATGATTCCCTAATCCCTGATTTTCTACCACGGCCGCCTTTATTAACCAATAGCCATGGCCTTCAAAGTGGCAACGTTGCAAGTAGGGTTAGGGTTGTAACAGTTTTCTTTTTTTTTGGAAGGAAGCAGGTAATGGTATTAACCTACAGTTACCTAACAATGTACTAGTTCTCTCACTGATTTGAGAAAGCAAAGTGGCCAATTTGCTCATCAGTGAGACAATGTTAACATTGTCTCACTCTAATTACTTTGTCTCACTCCAGATTTGCAACGTGAAGGCACGAAATAGTGAGCGCGTAACATGCAGGCAACGTCGTATGCGCGCGAAATACGTTGGCAGCACTGGCTGTAAATCAGCTGGTCAGCTGTTGTACTGTTGTAATTGTCACTTCACATTAAATGTTATATTGAAAGTTCACTTCTGTGTAAAAATAGGTTATGTTTCTTCACAAATTTATTTGTTTTATGGTAACTGTAGGAAAAGTATAATGTGCAACTCGAGTTCAAAGTACAATTGCCTCACTCGAGAAACCATTCCTCACTCGCCTACGGCTCGTGAGTAAGGATTTCTCTCGAGTGAGTCAATTGCTCACTTTTCTCACTAGTTGCACAAATAACTATTCTGGGTTAAAATATGTTACTTTTCCTACAGTTACCTAACAATATACATGTTCTTTCACTGATTTGAGAAAGCAAAGTGGCCAATTCGCTCATCAGTGATACAATGTTAACATTGTTATGTTAACATTGTCTCACTCTAATTACTTTGTCTCACTCCAGATTTGCAACGTGAAGGCACGAAATAGTGAGCGCGTAACATGCAGGCAACATCGTATGCGCGCGAAATACGTTGGCAACACTGGCTGTAAATCAGCTGGTCAGCTGTTGTACTGTTGTATTTGTCACTTCACATTAAATGTTATATTAAAAGTTCTCTTCTGTGTAAAAATAGGTATGTTTGAAGAAACATAAGACCAATGTATTTGTTTTATGGTAACTGTAGGAAAAGTATAATCATAGATAAAACATACTCCCTGTGTTGGTTAGTCTATGGTATAATGTGCAACTCGAGTTCAAAGTACAATTGCCTCACTCGAGAAACCGTTCCTCACTCACCTTCGGCTCGTGAGTAAGGATTTCTCTCGAGTGAGTCAATTGTTCACTTTTCTCACTAGTTGCACAAACAACTATTTCTTTACCAATTTATTTGTTTTATGGTATCTGTAGGAAAAATATAATGTGCAACTCGAGTGCAAAGCTCAATTGCTCACTTGTTGCACAAATAACTATATTTGTGTATTTACGAAAGCTTGGTTACTGGACTATGAAAATATTGACTACGCTTTAAATGTACACTTCTGTATAGATTTTCAATTCATATTGTTTTGGTTTTCAATTCTGTATGTTTTGTTTTCAATATTTTAATAAATTGATGTTCATAAATTTAAATTTAAACCATTAAAGTGCGAATTAATGAGCTGATGTCACCTGTCTGCCATGTCATCTTATGGGACGTCTGTCACTTAACAACACCACCAATTCTACAAGGCCGTGGCCTGTAGTTAAGAGTGGCCGTGGTTGGAGTGTACGTACACGTATAGTTGCACGGCCACGTTTAACTCCGATCGACCCCTATTATTCGTAAAGCAGTAAAGCTATAAAGCACGTCATTCAGTCAGGTTTACTGCAGATTGGTTTTTCTCATTTTAGCGAATTTCCCATATAGGGAATAAGCTATTACCGTAGTACTCATGGTAAGACCTGGACCCGGGACCGATTTATTTTTTCGTTTTGAGGTCCCTAGAGGCCAAAAACACCATCCGTTCAAATTCATATATATATATATATATATATATATGTGTGTGTGTCCGTCAGCACGATAACTCGAGCAAAAATGATCCGATTTTGATGAAATTTGGTACAAACGTGTAAACCTACATTTATTCGAACGAGTTCGCGAACCAGCATGATCGGACTATGGGAACGGGGGTTTATGGGGGGTTTTATGGGGTAAAAATAGGTTTTTCCCATTTTTGACCCTAAAAACACAAAATTTTACAATTTATTTCCATACCATTTTGTAGAGCTTAAAAAAACAAATAATTTAGTATATTGAAGCGTTATTGTGCGCCTAATGGTTACAGAGAAAATTCCAAAAAATTTTAAATTTAAAATCCCTATGTTATTCTTATGGAGAATAAGTACACTGTTGTAGATTACTTGTTTATGAACATATTTTGATTGAGTTTGGAAAATACATTCATTTCTTACTAAACTATTAACATAAAAAACACCTTTTTACCCTCCCTGTTGCAGCAAACCTAAGTACTCGTTAAACTAATTCTATTTAAATAGGGAATAAATATGATATTTTTAAGGAGGCATTTTAATGTGAAATCCTATCAGGCTAATGGAAATTCGCTTAGTCTGCAGGTTTGCTGCGGCGGGGGTATTTTACCCTAAAACATGAAATATCCCGATTTTCATGGCCATGTATCTGGTCCCTAAATGATTAGTGGCCAAATTCACTACAATTATGGTCTGATCCATCCACAAATCTACATGCACTTAAAAAGTTTAAAAAAGTACATGCACAAAAGTTTGACAGCGACTTCATGGTACGATTTCACAAAATTATGCCAGAATTTAATCAATTAAAGTGCATAAATACCTACTCTTGTGTTTCAATACCTTTAATGTTGATAATCCAAGTGGTTGTGTAACAACTAGTTTTGGCTCACAATTGAGCCTTCTTCAGGTGTTCCCAATGATATCGTTGCTTCTTCTGAAGGTTGTCAAAGTTCATAAATATTTATGAACATTTGACGACCTTCAACACGAATTGTGGAAATTTATAGGCATGCGCTGTGGATGCAATACTCCCTGGTGTGGACTAAAATTCGCACTAGTGAGCACTACGACTATCCGCGGTACTATCCTGATAATTATACCAATTCATGAATACCAAGGCAAAAATGTGGTTCAGATTCAACAATAAACTGTATAGGTCCTTAGTTGCCATTAGCTGTATGGACTATTAATTTACGGCTGTGTTTAAGGAACATGACGGCCTTAGTCACTAACAAGACTTAGTCTACAAGATCGCGCCATTCATCCAACACTCATCTCCATTCATACTTGGCTTAAAATACCTACTTTGTATGGTCACAATTTCAATTAAAAGTATCGAAGTAAAAATAAAGACGTAGCAAGAGAAGGTATCAAAATTGCACAGCGTAGACCTCTTCAAAGTAAGAATGTTACTGCTTTCTAGAGAAACACTCACTTTCATCAAATACAACAAATATTTAACTACGTTTTATAACGTACTTAATCGTCTTAATTATGTTTACCCTCCAATCCTCGCTTGGTTCAACTAAGATTTTAATAACTTTACTCTATCCATTGCAGTTAGCTGAATTTGCGTGAAACCTCAAGAGTAGGCCTAACCGGCGATTTCGACGGGTTTCACCAGTGGTTTCACCTCATAAATTCAGCCAAATGGAAATTAACTAAGTCCGTGGGTTGGGTTTGCTGTGGTGGGGGTATTGTTCTTGTTAAATGTTTACCGTACAATATTAGCCATCCTGAGTTTTGTACTTTTTGATTTGTTTTGTATAGTTGTAAAATGGAGATGTCTGTTGAGATACATAAATATATAAACATATTTGTCTCACGGGACGGGGCCGGAGGCTCAACACGCTCGTCCACAGTCGAGATTTCAAGGGCTTAGCACACCCATTCCCATCAGGTCCCGACCGATTTCTATAATATTTCCAACAGCTATCAAGAATCATATCATTAATACCGCACATACCTACTGTACTTACTTTCCGTGTCCAAAAATCAGACTTCGCTTTTCCAAAAAACTAGCTACCGATATGGCTTCGTCATTCGCTTGTAAAAAGGAGATCATCTAATGTGCAAGACTGGTCTAAGGGTGGACTGATCAGCAGATGGCCAGGATAATTGCGGAAGGGTGGCCTGTGACTTCTTTTAATTTCTTGTAGGTATCGGAAATTTGCTGTTGGTGGGTCAAATAAATTAATAACTAAATAATTACAAAATAGTCGTAAGTTTTCGGTTTCGTTGACAAGCTCAACTATAAACAATGAACATAGACTAAGCACGGCCACCTTTTCTTTTCCCTCGTGTTTATTTCTGGAACAAATCTGGACCGAGTGGAAAGGGACCGAAAACGAAACCAGAACCAGAACAGAACGCCGAACGCCGCGAATCGCGATCGCGGATTGTTGCGCCCGGGTTGCGGCGGTGAAGAAGAAGCGTGAACGAACGCGAACGTGGTGTGGTGGTGAACGAATCTGAGCTGATCTGCTGGTGTGCTACTACTACCGCGTAAATGCGTTATTGCAAGCTGTAATGGAATAAAGAAGCATCTCAGTTTCATAAATATTTTCAAGATTTTAAAGGAAATCTCAATAAACTAACAAAATGGTAAGAACATTCATTAAACTACGACCTTCCAACTCAAAATTCAAAAACATAGTTGTAACTTGAATAATTTTCTGTAGCATTGGCGGTTTTCCGTCCTAACTCAATTGTTTGCCGGCAGTCATTATACATAAATCGTTATAAGTATATTTTTTAAATTTTCGTTGAAGGTAAAGTTGGTCTAGGCTGTAAAAAGACCTACTAACAAAAGTAACTAGGCCTAGGTACAAACATTTCCATAGTTTGTGCTTAGGTCTAGACGGCCTCTGAGGCTTAACCCTGCCTAGGCCTATCACTTATTAGCGAATTTCCATTAGGCCTAGGCTATTACTGTAGGTCTCATGGTGAAACCTGGACCTGGGACCGATTTGTTTTTTTGGTTTCGAGGTCCAAAAACTAAATTATCTGTCAAATTAATTTCTAGACATTAGGCCTGGGCTAGGCTAATTAACCCTAGGCTGCACTTTACTTTAGGTCCTACACTCATCCGAATGACAATATCAATATATCGATTAATCGATTGTTTCATTCGATATATCGTTTGGCTAGTTAGGTAAGGTTAATCGATTTTTTTCTTTCAAATGACTGTAGGCCTAGGACCTAAAGTAAAGTGCAGCCTAACCCTACCCTATATTTCGCCACAGAACAGTTGTTTGTGAATATAAGGAAGTAGCCTAACTTAACCCTCCCAGTGTTACTTGACGAAAATTCGACAAGAAGCACACTTTGTGTAGTGTTACTTGTCGATTTTTCGACACGCAGACATCGTTTACGGCGAAGGCTCTATGACTGACTGAATCGGATTGAACTGGATCGAGTTAGGTATCATTCTTTCCGTAATATTCTAAGCTTTCTCCAGAGGTCTGTCTCTAAGCGCTATTCATTTTAGTTCCGAAAATATTGTAGCAGACAGCTGACGTGCGTGTATTTGTAAACAGCTAGGTTCCCCCGGACCGATGACTGATGTGTTTTATTACGATTATCATTGTTTTAGTGTTAAAAATCAAAAGTAGTGATATACGTGGTGCATTATAAGAAGATTTAAGTGGTTTTGAAGTGCTGGTTGATGATCCTGAAGAAGTAGGTAGTGATATTGATGTAAATTATCAGCCAGATTCCTAGCTATGGTTAGGCTATGCATTCTTAGCTAAACGCTATGTACTGAAATCAGTTTTTTGCCCATAACTTATTTATTTGCAAATCTACTTCCTTATATTATTATATATTTGTAATCCTCTTAAAATTTAGAACAAAGTGGCTATTTTCAAATATTTATAGGCCTATAATTTATACAATTTCATTGAGCGCGAACTTATTTTTTTTTTGAAAATTTTCGAAATTATATTTTTTTTACCTAAAATTTTTTTTTTTTTTTAAATGTTCCTTATGTTTTATATATAATATTGAAGCCCATGATTTTCCAAACAAAATGGTATATAGAACATTAGAATTAACATTGTTTTAAGCTTCTCAGATCCGTTTTAATAAAACCTTGCAAATGCGCCAAAAATAGGTGGACATTAAGGCCTAAACTATGGACACTTGGAGGGTTAAGTTGCTTACACATATAACTTAATATTAGCAAAACAATTGCAAATTTTTGGACTATGCAAACTAAGTTAGAAATTTCAAAAGCAACCAACAAGAGAATCACGAAATATATTTTTTTTAAGTACGGTAGGCTACACATTTTAGCGAATTTCCCATATAGGGAATAAGTTATAGCCTACCCTATACCCTATTATTGTAAGGTCTCATGGTAAGACCTAGACCCGGGACTGATTTACTTTTTCGTTTTGAGGTCCCCAGAGGCCAAAAACACACTTGTGTGAACCTGGCAATAACTCCAGCAATAAGTAGTGAGCGTGCCCGATAAAATCTATTGCTGGTTGTTTTACAGAAAAATACGGCCGTGAAGGTTATTACCGAGAGTGTCAACAGATAGAGGACACATTTACGGATAAGACAGTATCAATATCATGTACCTGGGGGGTAAGTTAGGGGGGGGGGTAAAGTCGGCAAAAAGTAGTGCTCGCGCCCGATAAAATCTATTGCTGGCCATTTTACGGAAAAATACGGCCGCGAAGGTTATTACCGAGAGTGTCACCAGATAGAGGACACCTTTGAGTTACGGACACGACAGTACCTATCAATATCATGTACCTGGGGGGTAAGTTAGGGGGGGGGGGAGTCGGCAAAAAGTAGTGCTCGCGCCCGAAAAAATCTACTGCTGGCCATTTTACGGAAAAATACGGCCGCGAAGGTTATTACCGAGAGTTTCACCAGATAGAAGACACATTAACAGACACGACTGTATCAATATCATGTACCGGGGGGGTAAAGTTGGCAAAAATCTTTGAAACATACCAATGCCTAGATTAGTTTCGAATTATTTAGGCCTACTATTTCAATAACATGTTTAGTAGACGAGTAGCAATAGATTTTATCGACTTATTGCTCACTTTACCCCCCCTAACTTACCCCCCAGGTACATGATGTTGATACTGTCGTGTCCGTTAATGTGTCCTCTATCAGCTGACACTCTCGGTAATAACCTACGCGGCCGTATTTTTTTCCTAAACGGCCAGCAATAGATTTTATCGACTTATTGCTGACTTTACCCTCCTAACTTATCCCCCAGGTACATGATATTGATACTGTCGTGTCCGTAAAGGTGTCCTCTATCTGGTGATACTCTCGGCAATAACCTTCGCGGCCGTATTTTTTTCCTAAACGGCCAGCAATAGATTTTATCGACTTATTGCTGACTTTACCCCCCTAACTTATCCCCCAGGTACATGATATTGATACTGTCGTGTCCGTAAAGGTGTCCTCTATCTGGTGATACTCTCGGTAATAACCTTCGCGGCCGTATTTTTCCGTAAAATGGCCAGCAATAGATTTTATCGGGCGCGAGCACTACTTTTTGCCGACTTTACCCCCCTTAACTTACCCCCCAGGTACATGATATTGATACTGTCGTGTCCGTAAAGGTGTCCTCTATCTGGTGACACTCTTGGTAATAACCTTCGCTGCCGTATTTTTCCGTAAAATGGCCATTAATAGATTTTATAGGGCGCGCGCACTACTTATTGCCGGAGTTATTGCCAGGTTCACACAAGTCAAAAACCCCCTCTGTTCAAATTCATATGTAGGCTATATTTAAGTTTATGTGTCCGTTAGCGCGATTACTTTCTGAGCAAAAACTAAGTACCTAATTTTAATGAAATTTGGTACAAACCTGTACATCTACATTTATTCAAACAAGTTCGCAAACCAGCATGATCGGACTACTTATAAGAACGGTTTTTATGGGGTAAAAATAGGTTTTTCCCATTTTCGACCCTAAAAATACAAAATTTCACAATTTCTTTCCAAACTATTTTGTAGAGCTTAAAGAAACAAATAATTTAGTATTGAAGCGTTATTTTGCACCTTATGCTTGGAGAGACTTCCAAAAAATTGTAAATTTAAAATTCTCATGTTATTCTTATGGAGAATAAGTAAACTGCTGTAGTTTGCTTGTTTATGAACATATTTTGATCGAATTTGGAATACTTCGAATACTTTCATTTCTTAATAACTAACATTTTACAAACAAAATACCGTAACACTTTTTTACCCTCCCTGTTGCAGCAAACCTAAGTACTCGTTAAACTAATTCTATTTAAATAGGGAATAAATGTGATATTTTTAAGGAGGCATTTTAGTGTAAATCCAATCAGGCTAATGGAAATTCGCTTAGTCTGCAGGTTTGCTGCGGCGGGGGTATTAATTATTGCGATATGATCCAGTAGGGCCTAAGTTACAGTAATAGTAGGGCCTGGGCCTAAATGTTAGATGTCACCTTTACCCTTTAACCTACCTAATATAAAAGTTAATAGGCTAAAGTAGCCTACGTAAAATTACAAATTAGTTAGCCTACCTACCTAAACTAAACTAGGCCTGTAATCAATCATGCATTTTTATCATTTCCAGACTATCGGAAAGAATAATAAGATGCAACAGCATCTCAACTTTAGAGTTAAGATCACACTTCAAGACTCTAGGACGTTTATAGGAACGTTTAAAGGTATGTTACATTGGTACTTTAATGAATTCTTATGTTACTTTTTAAGTTAAATTTATTTGGTCTCTAGGGTTTTAAGTTTGTTGAACAAAATAATAGCCTAGTAGGTAGGCATAAGTTATTTAGACCTACTAACTTAACTGCATGATAATTTTAAAGTCACCGTGATTGTAATTTCCTTATTGCGCAATTCTAAAACTAAACTAAAAGGAATTTTTTGTCCCTCAATGTTTTCTACCAAAAAAACTAATTTTTATTAACTTGATATTTTTTATAAATAGGCTAAAGCAATCGTGTATTCAAGAGATCCCAATGTTAACTTTTTTTATCAAAATAATTTTACTTAACTTATGAGATCAAATTCGGAAAGAATCTTAAATGTAACCACCATGGAATGTGCCCACACATGTTTTACACTGTTAAGTGATTTCTGAAAACAAATCATTGAATTATAGCCTATACTGTAAGTAGGTAACAAATTCTCGATAACTTACTACTTGCTGTTAATAAACCGGATTTCCTTTCTCGCATTATACTGTATATAATATAGCATATTAACTTATATTCATTCTTGGCCTCTAAAAAGGGTGTACCTATATGTATATTAGTTTGTTATTAGTCTTTATCCGTAAAAGTGGCGAATCGACAAAAAAATGTCGATTTCAAAATGTGCTGCTGGAGTGGCGGGCGACAAAATTTGTCGATTAGCGTAACTTTTTTCCGTTGCATGTTACGCACAATTATAGTCGGTGAAATGACATTAGCCTAAATCTTATACCAATGGAAAGATGAGATTCTGAAGTTTCATTTTATTATCGCTAACTTGCAAACACCATGTTTTGTTGCACAATCATTACAAAGGATGAGTCATTTCAAAAAATCATAGCAGACATAATTTTTGTTTCTAACAAAAACAAGTAGTACCACCGCAACAAGCCTGAAGTAAACTTTCATTCTGTATAAGGTGTAATGTCATTTAATACATTCCAACAGCTGATGAACAATTTTTGTAAATAGCCAATTTTTACGTATTTCTCATGTGGCGAATCGACAAAAATTTTGGATTTCTAAATCAAAATCGCATATATATATATAGCCTAATGTGAAATGTACAAAAACGTTGTTTTATATATGCTCTTATAGACGAAGGACAGTAGAATTCAATGTTGTCAGGCTGGTCACACAAATAGAAGCTTTGGATCTTTCAAGCTGAAAGAACAGAACACTTGTCATCGTTTAACCTAAAATGGCGGCGTCGTTGTGAGTTTTTGTCCGATAATAAGACGAAGTGTGGGGTTTATCTGTAATTTTATAGTGTAATGTGTGCATTTTAGTTAAGTGTTTTGTATTAGGCCTAGGTGTAATATTTATGCATTATTTCGCATAAATATTTATACATGTGTGATCCATAATATGATAAACAGTCAGTAAATTTTTGTGGCCTATAACAGCGAATCAATTGTTTTATTTGGACATGTTTGCTTGTGAAAACAAACGATTCTTATCTTATTTAGTTATTATTATTTAGAATTATATTAGGCCTATTGGCTTCAAAAACTGTATGGTTTTATGATATTGATTTATTAGAAGGCATTTTTGGATCAATCAAAGTGTAGTTGTAAAAATTTACGTTTTCCAATTTTTCCGTATCATTGTTATTAAATCTACAAAAATTATTCTTTTGTGTATACTGTGATAAATCTATGTAGAAAAATAAATTCTGTACAATTAGCATATTTTGAATTGTGCAATACAAAATTTATGTTACATGTGACAAGTTTTTGCTTTTGAAATAAAATTTAAAAAATATATATTTTTGTAAGTTAACTTTTTTCTAAAAATCCACCTTTCTATATTTGCTTTGTACTACTACCATTTTTGAATACTACTGTCTAGCCTATAACAAACAAAATGAATATACGGTTCAATAGTTAAACCCCCTTACAAAATCACCAAAATAAGCATGCCACTCCACAAAGCACATACTGAAAATTTGTCTTGCCACTCCTAGGGTTACCATAACACATTTATCACTGTGATAAAATTACTCTGAGGGTGTGAACTTGTATAACTTACAGAAAATGGTTTGTTCCAGCATTCGACAAGCATATGAATGTTATAATTGGAGATTGTGAGGAATTCAGAACTTTAAAAAGCAAAGGAAACAAGGACAAGGAGGTAAGTTAGGCCTATTATGTTCAATAATGTTGTACACAAATAACACGCTAATAAACCATAAAATATTATTCTGTTGATAAGTCCAACTCTAATAGCTGGGATTTTAATATTATTATCAGTATTTTATACCTTGTTTGAGCGTAGGCCAATTGAAATGCTGATTGTATTGTGTTGTGATAGGAGCGTCGGATGCTGGGCTTTGTTCTGTTGAGAGGAGAGAACGTAGTATCGCTGAGTGTGGAGGGTCCACCCACACCTGAGGAAGGACCGAGAGTGCCCATACCGGGAGCTGCCCCTGGGCCGGGCATAGCCAGAGCGGCTGGTCGAGGCATACCTGCAGGCGGCGGCGGAGTACCAGCCGGTGAGTATGTCTCCGAGACAATCAACTGGTTATGGTCCTGGCTTAAGAACCAGTATTCAATCTCAGTTTTGTTCAAGGAAAGGTTCAAGGAAAGGCTCTAGGCCAGGATTTTGATCTGTAGAATAAAGGAGGTAGCATGGGCTTACCTTAGAATAAGTGCAGGTAGGCCAAAGAACTCACAGTAGACACATAACACACAATATATTTTTTGTCAAGTTAAGCTAAAGACAGTTCACAAAATTGATAATTCACTAAGTATTCAATGTCCTCTGTGTATTGTCAGTACGTTTTCTAAGGTTAGCTAGCTGCTGTCCCTTTATTTTTCAAATTAAAAGTACAAAGTCAGCATTATTCATCTGACAATTGTGTTGATGTTTAGCAACGCTAGTATTGTTGTAATTGTTGCAGGACTCCAAGGGCCAGTACGAGGTGTCGGAGGTCCCTCACAGCAGGTGATGACACCTGGCGGACGAGGTATGGGGATGGTAGGACCACCTCAAGTACGAGGACCTGGCATGCCTCACATGATGCCACCTCCCGGCATGATAGGTGAGTCATTACTTGTAACTTGAGGCCGTATGTGGGTACTAATCCATAGTATCTTCAGGGGGTTGTTCTAATAAAAAAATTAAGTGATTTTATCTTGAAATAAAATAAAATGATGATTTTTACTTAAAAACCATTTTTATTTTTGATGTATGTTTTTCATAAAAATGGCCAACAATTATGGTTGAAATTTAATTTTCCCATCAAATTAATCATTTTCTATTTCAATGGCAAGCTAATGAGAGAGAATGTGCCAGTTTCCTGGTACTGTTTATTTTTCACTGTGTAGCTCTAATTAAGGTATGATCAATTTTGCAATTTTATCAGTTGTGAAAAATAATGGTCGCCTATAAAGTATTCTCCTACTTCACCCTAATTTATATTTGCTCATCCGGTACCGGGTAGATTGTGGAAGCCTATCAGAATCAGAATATTTTATTCTTGAACATAGAGTACAGAATTAATAGGCGTCAACCATTACAGAGATTTGAACAAAATACAGTCCACTCTTGGTAATTCAAACACTTGATAATTCAAAATGAAGGCTCAGTCCCTAGAGAATCTCTCAATATTTCAAATTTTTACCATGCATTTTGATACACTCGGTATTTCAAAGTCCAAATAGAGGACAGGTCAATTTGTAACACGCAGTAATTCGAAGTTTCGTCGAAAAAACACTCTATAATTCGAAGTAACTCAGTAATTCAAAGTTTCGTCGGTTACCACTCTTTAATTCGAAGTCATGCTGTAATTCGAAGTTTCGTCGAAAAAACACTAAATCAAAGTCACGCAGTAATTCGAAGTTTAGTCGGCAAAACACTTTATAATTCGAAGTGATCTCTTCCTGTTATAACAGGAAACTATACAGTACTGTACATCCTGTTCCCATGGTAGGCTAGTGTTGGACGTTTTGATGTTTTTTAGTTAGAGCAGTAGTCTGAGTTAGTTCGCTGACTTGTTTTTCTAAGTTGGCAATCCGATCTCTAGATTGCACGACATCTCCTTGAGCACAAACGTAGTTGTCGACAGCCGATAGTTCAGCTATTGGCGAAATATATAGCGCTAAATAACAGATTTCTTTGCAACTACAGTAACTGAAAAATAAGCCGTTGATTGTTTAAAAGTGTACTAAAATACGGTATGATGTTTTATTGTAACGTGCTGTACCTTTCTATGTATTAAACAAACAAACTCTCTGTAATTCGAATGGTTTATTTTTCTCCCGATAAATCAAACTCTTGATAATTAAAAACTCTTGATAATTCAAATTGATATGCTTGGCCCACCAATTTCGAATTATCAAGAGTCTACTGTATGTATAAAATGTGTTGAGTCCTGGAAATCCAAATCAATTATAGTTTAAAAAAAGTTTTCTAGTTTTTATGTGGAGGATTAATGTTGAAACCTAAGAATGGTGTGGTTGTTGTGCGATTGATACCAGCTGAGTGGCTAAAAGTATTGAATACTAATTAGTATCAACTTGAGCTTTAAAGTAATAGCATATAGGGTGAATGTGGGTAATTGTGAACTAGGGCTGTAATTTCTTAGTGTATTGTTGATTTGAGTAGAAATCAATGTTTTATGTTTATTTGGTTTGTTTTCTATACAGGACAAAAATTCTAGAAAGTTAAGAGCCGCTTAACATTTTTTTTTTGTTGAAAAAAAAGTTGCGTTTTTTGTTGACATACAAGTTGCGTTTTTTGTTGACATACAAGTTGCGTTTTTTGTTGACATACAAGTTGCGTAGACCTTATCAAATATTTTTTTTGTGAAAAAAGTAAAAGTCAGATTGACATGAAAACCAGTAATTATGAAAGAATTTCAAATGTATAATGCAATATATATCCTCATATCCATCCTGTAAGCAATTTTCTTTTTATTTTATCAAATTCACAATTACCCTCAATATTTTACTATGTGGGGGTAATTGTGAACCTAATCTTGGGGCAATTGTGAACGCTGTTCACTTTTACCCCGCCTGTAAAAGAAACACATTTTTGGTTCTCATTAAAGATTATTCTTCAAACCAATTATGCTGCCAACCCCAGAAACACTGTATAAAAAATACAGATTACTTACAAGTTTCCAGGTTGTGTTCCAGTTTTTGAGATGTAGGCGGACAGGACAGTTAGTTAATGATTTGATTTCTAAATAGATTTTTTTTAAAGGTTTTTCAAGATAAAAAAACATTTTTAGTACCGGTACAAGTAATAAAATTTTGTATAGCCTAAAAGGAAAGTGCCCAATTATTCTATCTAACCAATGTAATTTAGTTTTCTTTTCTAATTGTTGATTGCTATTACAGTACGATTTCAATAATTGTATAAAACAAATTTGTGCTCTCGTTTGGTTAAGTGAGATTATTTTGTCATTTCCTTTAAATTTTTGCTCTACTGTATCAATCAAATAACTACCTACTCTATATTATTTTCTCTTGTATATGAATACTATTTTACCCATTAAATACATTAATTTTAAATATTCTGACCATTTTTTGTTATTTTTACATCTAACTGATTTTCTAACTATTTCAAAGTACCACGGAAAAATCTCATTTGCACGCTTATTTTTTGTCACATGCCATTGAAAAAGGGGAATTTGTGAACAGTTTGAATTAGGCTTTAATCACAATTCCCCTCCTATGCTGTAGTATGTAACTTAATATTTTTCTCAACTGAGTTCACATTTACCCCAAAATTGTCGGCAATTGTGAATGCCGTTCGGGCAATTGTGAATGCTGAATAACTCCTTCACTAAATAGGGTATGAAATCGCCTTATATGAAATACTAGCTGGCCCGACAGAAGTCGTCCTGTCCTAATGTGGTTTTATGTCAAATGCTCGTTCATTTTCAAGATGAGCTCGTTCGCATGGCTCAATCACGTCCTGGTTAAAGTTCGTTTGCTATGCTCACTCACCTTTAGGTGGACTAGGTAGGTCGCTGCGCTCACGTGCCTTCAGGTTAGCTCGTTCGCTACGCTAACTCGCCTCCAGGTTGAAGTTCATTCGCTACGCTCACTCACCTTTTGGTTGCAAATTGGCTGTTGTCATAAATAATAAAAAAAAAATAATAGTGCTGCACCCTGATGGTAAACCTATTCACTTTTTAATGCTATTGGACATCACAGAATCAAATAGTTTAATTGAACCAGCTGTTAAGATTCTTTAGTTCAATTTAAATATGAGTACTCATAAGGTTAACATGAGAAACTCCAGAGCCACTGGGGCGGAGCCCTTTGGACGGATCTGCACCAAACTTCACACAAACCATCCTTGAATAATGCTTAATAATGCCTGAAAGTTTCATTACAATCTGTCTAGCAGTTTCGGAGTCCATAAAGGACAAACAAACAAACAAAAAAACATACATTGGATTTTATATATAGGTATAGATTAAGCCAGTTACAGTTTTTTTGTAAATTGCGTTTATCTGAAAAATTCGTCATTGGCGTTCACAATTACCCGCGTTGACCCTAACTGTGTTTGTGTCTCAACCATTACTAGATGAAATTTCTTGAGTTCTGAATACGTTTACCGTTAAGATTAAAATTGGTGGAACTGTTAAAGAAATATCAGGTTGGATCATTCGCTATTTGCTTGAATATTATTTTATTCTGGAGTATGCTGTACAAAACTGTATCTGCTTCTAGAGTAACAGGTGCAACCTCCATATCAAATCAAATCATTTTTATTCAATTAAGAGTAAGTTACATGTGTTGAATAGAGTCAAGTATACAATTTTGATGAATATATACAAATATTACAAAAAGAAAGCTAGAAATACAGATTTAATGTCAATAAATGATAAAAACATGGAAATTTCTTACTGAAAAAATGTAGGATGAAGAAGAGACAACATTATTTCCATCACAGTTACATTAGAAAATGTATACAAGTCACCGGGCTATAAAAATACCCTCGTCGCAGCAAACCTGCAGACTAAGCGAATTTCCATTTGACTGATTAGATTTACACTGAAATGTCTACTTAAAAATATAACATTTATTCCCGATTTAAATAGAATTAGTTTAACAAGTACTTAGGTTTGCTGCATCAGGGAGGGTAAAACTGTTTTTTTTTTTTAAATGTTAGTAGTTAGTAAGAAATAAAAACATTTTCCAAATTTGATCAAAATATGTTCATAAACAAGCAAACTACAACAGTTTACTTATTCTCCATAAGAATAACATGGGAATTTTAAATTTACAATTTTTTTAAATTTTCTCCGTAGCCATTAGGCGCATAATAACGCTTCAATATACTAAATTATTTGTTTTTTTAAGCTCAACAAAATGGTTTGGAAAGAAATTGCTAAATTTTATGTTTTTGGGGTCAAAAATGGGAAAACCTATTTTCACCCCATAAAACCCCCCATAAACCCCCGTTCCCATGGTCCGATCATGCTGGATCGCGAACTCGTTCAAATAAACGTAGGTGTACACGTTTGTACCAAATTTCATCAAAATCGGATCATTTTTGCTCGAGTTATCGTGCTAACGGACACACACATATATATATATATATATATATATATGCTTGCTTTTTTAAGATTTGAAACTTTCTGTGACTTCATTTGATGAGTTTTTCAGTTCCACAACTTGTGAACGTCCCGTTAGGTAGCTTTTGAACCATTCTAGCGCAGAGTTTCTTATACCGAGTCTTTCGAGTTTCTTGCATATCAGGTCGTGGCCCAGGCAGTCAAAAGCTTTACTGTAATCAAGGAAGATGGCGGAAATGTATTGTTCGTTTTCTATCTGGTCTAGGACGTACTCAATTAGTGCTGTTATAGCTGAGGATGTAGATTTATTCTTCCGAAAGCCATGTTGGCTGTCAGTTAAGAGTTTGTTATCTTACCATGAGTACTACGGTAATAGCTTATTCCCTATATGGGAAATTCGCTAAAATAAAAAAAATTATTTCCAAACACAGTGAAGATTTAAAAAAGTTCCCCTAGTTACATAATGTAATTAAAATGTAATGTAATGGCTGATTTTTGTGCTTAAAAAGTGTTCTATAGAATAAAAAGGATATTGAATTAAAAATCTTGGTGTGTGTTGAATTTATTTATATTTTCTTCCCTCTTTCTTTTCCTCTCTTTGGTAGGTACTTACTGCTTACTGCCATGGCCACTTGTACCCTAGCTGGTACTTGGCCTCGCCAACACGCTGTCGCCAATAGTCTCGGTCCCATGCATCTTCCTCTACAAGCCTCATCCTTTCCAAATCTTTTCGTACTTGACCCCACCACCTGGCTTTCGGTCTACCTATTGGTCTTCTTCCCCTCGGATTTCCTCTGAGTGCTATCTTCAGTAGACTCTCCTCCTTTCTCCTTAGGATATGGCCAACCCACCTTAATCTTCTACTCTTAACTTCTCCAATGATATCAGGGTCTTGAAATAATTCTCTTAGCTCCCGGTTGTGGCGGATTCTCCATACTCCATCTTCACATACTGGCCCATATATAGTTCTCAAAACTTTGTTCTCAAAAGTTATTATTTTCTTTTCTGAGTTCTTGCTCAGGACCCAATTTTCCCCTCCATATAAAAGTACAGGTCTTACTATAGTTTTGTAGATTCTAATTTTTGTCTTTCTCGTTAAAAGTTTTGATTTCATTAGTTTACTGCATGCGTACCAACTCTTATTTGCTAAATTTATCCTATTCTGAATTTCCATGTCTTCCGTATTTTTGTCAGATAGTAGAACGCCTAGATAGGTGAAATTATTTACTCTTTGGAATTCATGGTTGTTGACTTGAAAAAACTCTTCATTATTTCCAGCTTCTCCTCTTGTTACTATCATGAATTTGGTTTTTGCATCATTTATTTTTAGCCCTACATACTCAGTTTCATTTATTAGTGTCTCCGTTAAAACCCTAAGATCTTCTTTTTTTTCAGCCATCAGTACTACGTCATCTGCAAAAGCTAATATATTAATATTCGTTCCTAGTTTTAGTCCTATGTGTGCATTTTGTATTGTTTGTAGGGCTTCCTCTAGAGCAATGTTGAATAGGAGGGGGGAGAGTCCATCCCCCTGTCTCACCCCCGTATTCACATTAAATTTAGTTGTGGTTTCTCCATCTATCTTCACTTTACAACTAGAGTTTGAGACACATGTGGTTACTAATTTAATAAGCTTATCTGGTATTCCGAATTTTTCCATTTTCTCCCATATCTTTGCTCTGAATAGGCTATCATACGCTTTTTTGAAGTCTATAAATAAACAATAGCATTCCTTGTTGAACTCCCAGTACTTTGCTAAGCATTCCTTAAGTATAAAAATCTGATCCACAGTGGACCTGCCTTTGGTGAATCCAGCCTGCTGTTCACCGACAAAGGAATCCGTATATACTTCAAGTCTTCTTTGAATAATTTTGGACAGAATCTTATATGTAACATTTAAAAGAGATATTCCTCTATAGTTATTACATTCTTGTTTATCCCCTTTTTTATGGATGGGCACTATTAAAGCTTCTTGCCACTCTGTAGGAATAGTCTCTTTATCCCATATTTCATTAATTAACCTATGTACTTTGTCTATTATTATCTGGCCTCCTGCTTTCAGCATCTCTGCTGTCACCCCATCTTCTCCGGGTGCCTTATTGTTTTTGAGGTCGTTTATTGCACCCTTTACTTCTTCTATGGACGGATTTGGTACAAAAGGTTGTACATTCTGAAATGTAGCTCGTTCTGTGTGATTTGTATCCTCTTCACCATTTAATAGGTCGCAGAAATATTCTCTCCATACTTCTAGACCCTCGGCTTTCTGTATAATTACTTGCCCTGCTTTGTTTTTTATGCCATATGCATTAGGTTTGAATCCTTTTTTGAACCATCTAATTCTTCGATAGAATTCTCTAGAGTTGTTAGCTGTTTGGTCCTCTTCCGTCTTTTCCAGCAATCTATTTATCCATTCTCTTTTCTTCCGTCTGAGAATTTTTACTGTTTCTTTTGCTTTAATCTCATAGTTCCTTCTGTCAATCTCTCTTCCATGTTTCAACAAAACGTCTTTAGCTTGTTTCCTTTCATTTATCATTGTTCTACAATCTTCATCAAACCAGGGTTTGTTTTTGCTTCGTTTTTTCTTCCCGCAAACTTCCTCAGCACATTTTTGTATTGTGTTTCGTAGTGACGTCCATCTCTCCTCAATAGTGAGTTCGTCATTTTGTTCTTGTTCCTCCAAGATTTGAAATCTATTGGATAGTTTAATCTTGAACTCCTTAGCTGTGTCCTTTTCTCTCAACTTTTCAACTGCAATGCTTTCGTGAATTTCTTGTCCCTTCCTTTTTTCAATGCAGATTCTTTGTTTCACCTTAACTAATACTAGGTAGTGGTCTGAACCACATTCAGCTCCTCGTATGGTGCGTACATTTGTAATATGACTAGAGTGTCTTCTATCAATTAGTACATGGTCTATTTGGTTTTTGGAGTGACCATCCGGTGATACCCATGTTGCCTTGTAGATGTCCTGCCTTGGGAAAAACGTGCTCATAACCCTCATGTCACAGCCAACTGCCAGACTCAACAATCTCATTCCATTGTCATTGCTTTCTTTATGGAGGCTATTCCCTCCCGCTGTACCTTTCCATACTGGTTCCTGTCCAATCTTCCCATTAGCATCACCTAACATTATCTTGGTGTCATAGCTTGGTAGCTTCCTCCATTCTGCTTCTAACATTTCGTAAAATCTGTCCTTTTCTTCGTCTTCTGCATCTTCTGTCGGTGCATAAAAACTTATCACAGACATATTTTTGAACTTGCCCTTAATCCTAATATTGCACATCCTTTCACCAGTAGCTTCAAAATGTATCACGGCACTTTGTATTCGTTTGCTCACAGCAAAACCTACTCCTCTTCGATAATGTCCATCATCGTTCCCACTATAATAGATCACATAATCTTTGGTATTTATTTTGCCTGCCAGAGGCCACCTGACTTCTTGCAGAGCGACTAGATCCATATTATATCTACATAATTCTTCTGATAAAATATCTACAGCTCCTGGCACAGCCAGTGTTCTTAGGTTCCATGTTCCAAAACGCAGAGTCCTGGGTGGTAGCCGAAGTCTGTTCCAATGTTCCCGTCCGAGTTCCGAGGCTTTTCCGTGTTGGTGTTTCGTAACAATTGGGTTTTCCAAGGTGGGTTGCCGGCCCGACGCTTAACCCCCAGTTAACCTCTGGAGGACCAGGTTCGGGTTGTCTGGCTCTAGCCTACCTCATCAGTCCCAAGCCAACCGAAGAGGCGTTTCCCCCCTTGCACTACTGGGAAGTACCAGAATCAACCCTTCCTGACACCTTCACTTCCACACCACTGGGGCTGGCAGTTTAGTGTTTCCATTACTTAGCAGAGAAGAGGACTCTGCCTGGTGTCAGGCTTTGACAAGGGCTCTTTGGTAGGTGTAAGTAAAAAAAGTTAACGACGAATTTTATAATCTTCTTTATTGTAGTGTTCTTTTTAAAACATTCCCAACCAAGCTGGGGTAGGACTATTTTACAAACCTAAGCTCTAACAAAATACAATGTTACATGGAAATAATGTCTAAAAAAATTGGATTTGTATTTGACATGTGTTGTATGTTGCAGCTATGCAGCCAGGCATGCAGGGAATGCCACCCATGGGACGTGGTGGTCCTCCCCCCATGCAGGGACCCCCTCCTGGCATGATGAGAGGAGGTCAGTGTTTAGTACCTATATTGTACTTTGAATATTGATTATTTAGATCAGTTTGAGGTTAAGGATGTGACATAGAGCACAATGGCCTAGGTTTGAGTGGGGTATGAGTCCAAACTGGCCTGGTACATAAAACTTTACGTTTACACTATTCACAAACATTAGTATATTATATTTCACTGTCACTGACAGCATTTTCAACCAAGGAAGATGAGTTGAAGAGAAGGTTTTGGTATTAGTTATACTTTCATTCCGTGCTGTATAGTGGTAAAATGAAGGCAGAGTCTGAGTAGATAGGTACCGGTATTGTTTGAATGGTATAATTTTTTTCGGTATTTAACGTGTAGTTTAACTTATTACTTATTTGGTTTTAAGTTGATTTTCAAAAATTTCCTTATTTATTCTGATAGAAATTTTGAAAAAAAGTTTTACATAGTTTTTTTGGTTCCTTGGGTGCTGGATTTAGGTACTAAGATATTGGCTGTTGAATTGATATTTAAGATATCTAGTCTTATTAAAAAAAAGATTCTATAAGATCCAGCATTATTGACTTAATAATACAGAAGGGTTATATGAAATCTGACACCAGCACTATGTTTTTACCTCCACCACTGCTTCCCCCCCCCCTCCCAATGTGTGACTATTAGTCTCATTGTAGCCAATAAATGAAGAGAAGTAGACGCTCCTGCTTTGTATGAATAGGTTGTGATCAGATTTCTGTGTGATCAAGGGGCCAATACCTATCAAAGTGTGTTGTGAACTGTTTGTATGCTATCAACTGCCTGTTATGTATCAACTCCTTCCTCATTAATGAAAACACGACAATTTTTGTTTTAGACTAATCAAACTTCAATTGTCTTTATAGAGCAAATCTAATATAGCATTTAAATAACTATAGTTTAAATTAAACGAACATTTTTCAATAATTTTACAAATATGTGTTGTGCTTTTCAGGCCCACCTCCAAGGCCGTACTAAGTTTGACACTCGTGGGAAGCAATTGGACTGCCATTTTACTCTAGCAATCCTTCTTGAATTATTCTTGTATTACGTTATTTCACACAATTTCTTTTACTGTATACTCTAATGTAAATATTTTCAACTCAATAAGTTTATTTGTTCTGTTCAGTGTTCCAATCTATTTGTAATCTACAACTTTTAAAATAATAAACTTTTCTAGATAATATTTATTATTGTTACAATTTCTCCAGTAGTTGAGATCTGGTATATGACGTTGCCTGTGTGGGATATTCATTTAACCAGGGTAGTTTTGCTATCAGCAGTTGCCCTAATAACAAGTTTTAAAGCTAGTAATATAAGAGAAACTATGATTAAAGTGTTTTAATTTACACTGTTTCTACCAGAGCAAATATTTTTAAATGCTGTAGATAGGCCTACATGTATAAGATATGAATGGAAACACACAGAGTTGGAGGACAGAGAAAATTCTTCATAAAGCTAAAATTTATTTGCTAAAAAATATGGTCATACAAGTCATAAATAATCAAGTATATTCTGTGCTGTACTATTTTCCGATGGAACTCTGGACTTTTTCAGTTGTTTTTTATTGATTGGTAATAATCTATATAGTATAGAAGTAGGTGTAGAAAGACGAAGCAAAAGGTAAGTTAGCTGGAGCCACAACAAACGGAGTTACAGGGAAAGACTTTTCTACTTCCGAGAATTCTACTGGCTTGGTGTTGGCTGGGCTGATTACATCTGTTACTTCTTTTGCTTCATTTACTTTAAACTGAAATGAAAAAAAAGTTAATCAATCAAGGGAAACAATTATGACGCCAAGGAGGGCTGACTAAAATTTTGTTATTACTATCATCATGATCGGATGCTAGAAGAATTAAAAAAAAAACTTACAGTGATCTACTGAATTTAATTAAATATTATTAGGTATTGATTTCAAGTTTAAATACCTCATAAATTTGCAGAAACAACTAGCCACAGCTCCCACATAAAGCCATTTGGCGGCACAAGGAGGTTATGTTTTCACATGAATATCGTAAAGATTAAAAACAAGTAAAAATAAACATTTAAACAAGACGTAGACACATTTACAGATGAGTTAATAACGGACAATGCTAACCTGGCAGAGTTTGAGTCCAGAAAGAGATGACTTGTCTACAGTAACTTTCTGTACAAATTGGAAAGATTATTTAAACTTTTACCTTGAGAGAAGTTGGTGTGATGGTATACAGAGCTGGCAGTAAAACAGACCTTCTCCGTCGCTCCTTGGATTCTGAAGTGTCCGTCTCTGATGGTTCTTCGGCTGCTTTGGCTGCTAGTTCATTGTAAATCTTCTCAAACTTTGCTCTGGCAGCTGCCACCTAACAGCAAAGTAATTGTGACAGAAAGTCTCTGCAATACAGGAGCGTGTTGATGTTGCGTTTCCTTTTGGAAGGCGTTTTTTTATTCCTGTCTCAAAAAAATCTCAGCAAAGTCAATCTTGCACAAACAAGATTATAAAAATTCGAGACTCGTCCATCCCTACACTTAAGCTGTTGTATCTGCATCTTTGTCTTTTCTTGGATTGAGCCATATATTTTCTGCAGAACTTCATTTTGAAAAGTCACCAGTCGTTAAGCTGACTTTTTGCCCAATGATCCATACAACAATGCAGTTCTAGGTATATTTTTGTAAACTCAATTTATTATTGTAGGATAGTAGTCTATATAATTAATACGCTACATAAAACTTTGTCGGTTGAACTCCTCCGCCATTTCTTAACCGATTTTATCCATTGACGTCTCATTGGAAAGAGTGTGTCGCCTAGATTTGCAAACTGGCCTTACGTTTTTGAAAAAGTTCCTTGGGCTCTGCCCCAGTGGCTTTGAAAGTTCCCATGTTATCCTTATGAAGAACATAATTGTTTACATTTTGATCAGCTGTATAATTTAATTGCTGTTATTTATTTTTCAATAATTCAATAAAACGCATTGAGTGCATTTATTTACTGAGTTTATGTAAACATAACCCCCAAGACGGATTGTGTTAGTATGGTTGTATCTTAAATTTGTGTATTTATCGTTGTTTTGTGTCGCTATGACGGATCGTGTTAGCATGATTGTAACTTAAATTTGTGCATTTATCGTTGTTTTGTGTAGCTATAATTTGTTTATTTGTTGTTGTTTTTTTCTTTTAAATGCCTCCGACGTGACAACAACGAAACATAGACAGGAGGCCTAATCGTGATAACGACCGCAGCTACAGAACAGTGGCGCGTAATAGGCTTAACTCATCACAGTCAGCACCTGACCCTGGACAATCTCAACTATTAGGCTACAAATGCGCCCTAGCACTACCCCAAAACGACTTTTCGTTCTCAATTGGCCCTCTATCAATGACCTGTGTTGCCTGTACATCAGCAAGGCATTTTGAGAAGGAGAAAACCGGCTGGAATGCTTTCGGTTTATCAATAACGAAGCTAAACATGGTCTGAGTTACACACCTTTAATCTTTGAGTTTCGACTCTTTTAAACTCATTGTAAATATGACTGTTATTCGTTTTGAAATAACTTCTGTAATACTTTGCAATTGCTCGAATTCGAGCAACATGTACACTAGTTAGAACTTAAATGTTGTTACATGCATGAAAACATTTAATCTACTATAATTATTTATTCCATAGACATGGTGTTGTTACTAACATCAATCTATTGTTTGGTAGCATAAATGACATCTAGTTCTCGTGATCTCGCTTATGATCAAACCACAATGACCTTCACATTTAAAGGCAAGGACTTTAACCACTCGGCTACCCAGACAATTAAATTAGGTGTAAATAATGAGACAAAACCCAATGGTGTACCGATACCTCAGGTGTGTAGTCCACAGGGCTCGGGCTTACTAGAGGCGCAGGTGCTGAAGGTACTGTAGGCAAGTTGTTTCCACTTAATACTCTGTAGCCATCAGAATCAGCGATGTAAGTCACATGAATCACTTTGTTGGTCGGGTCCACGTAGCTGTAGGCCCCTCGGACAACCCCATCTATCAATCGGCTCTCTACTCTAACCTGAACAATGTATTTTGAATGGTTGGTAACATATTGAAAACCCAGCACCCATTCATCTTCACTAAAACACAACCAGTTGCGTCTAAATATATAATCGTCTGTTCTGTATGAATACATTTTGGGTTATGTGGATTTTTATTTTTCTTCCCCGAATTTGGGTGTTTCATTGACTACAACATTTCTTTGTTGGGGGAAAATATATTATTTTTTTAAATTTGCTATAGACATCAATATTTGTTACCAAGGGGTTTCAATAGAGAACAAATTAGCTATGATTTTCTTGAGCTCTAATAGAAAACTTGAGGTCTTTTATAACAAGTACTGTAGGCTATTAACATCTTGTTTTTAGATTTTGCCCAATCCGATGATTTCGAGGTGTATGTCTAAACCGAGGATTATGAACACCTTACTATGCCCAGTGGTTGTAGTATATCGCTACAAACACACAGGTCACCAATTATTTGCCACACAGGACGGGAATCGAACCAGAGCAGACGAATGCCACTGGCCAAGTGACACACGCCCTAGCCTTCTCGGCTATCTGTGCTTGAAGACTGGGGAGTCAAAAACCGGTATTTAAGCTGACGCCACCGATTGCGAACAGATAGCGCTACAGATGGTTGTTCAATGCGTTACTAGATGATATTTTTCAGTTGAAACACAACAGTGATCATAAATGTGTTCCTGAGACTTTGCTGCAAAACATTATTTTCCCTAAAATGGCTATATTACGATAACCTTGTTGAACTAAATCAAAGTTAAATTCAATATTACATTGTAAACTATATGCCTTTTGATTTTATAAGATTTTGATTTCAAACAATGCTATCAGAACATAAAATTTATAGGAAAACCAGGAAAATTACAACAAAAACTAAGTTTTATTTAGTGTTTACTACAAATACCGGGATTTATCTTTGTTATATATTTTCTTATTGTCTTATTATTCAAAATTAGCCTAATTAATAAAATAGTGACAACATTACAGTTAATATTCAACAACAGGTAATGGAATTGAAAGGCAAACAAAAAAATCTTGCGAAATACGAATTATTGGCCTAGCACTGAAAGGGTTAAGGATTTGAATCGATTGATTTGATTTAATCCAGTAACGTTTTCTAGTTTCTTACAGGATTTTCAACAAATATATTTTGCCTGGGTAGAGTACTACAGCAGACCCCTTCTTAACCGACCTCAGATTATCTGCCCTCGCTCGTAAAATATTACAGTTGGTTTTAACCGACCTTGTTTTGAGAGCAATTCGGCCGCTTTCTATGAATCTCGGCACTTCCACTCCCCTGCTCGGCGATAGGAACAATAAGCTGAACTCTACAGGTTATAAATAAACATCCTGTCTTGTAAGTAAATCGTTGCTTGTATCTTGAATTTCGACAATAGGTTCTGTACTGTATTACATAGATTTGGAAAGAATCAATTACTAAAAGTATTAAAATAAGAATTTGTATTGACTCTTGCCAGCGACTATAATTTATTCCACTGTAAGTATTTGACTTTACAATGTTTTGGGTTTATTTGTGACTTTTCTATCGTTAATCCTTAAGGAAAAAGGAGATAAGTGTAATTTATTTTGTAAATAATACACACAAGAATAATGTTTATATAGTTCCAAATGAATAGCATTTTATTGTTTAAAGTTTTTAGGGATAACCCGTTTTAACCGACCTTTTGAGTCATCTGACCTAGGTCCGGTCCGGTTAGGGTCGATTAAGAGGGGTTACTGTATCAAAATACAACGCTTACTGTGTATTTACCGACCTTTTGTTTTGATTGAACGTCCATATGAACTAATGATATCATATTCTGCAACTGTGCAAAAGCTCAAATTTTACATGACAAAACTTCCAATCTTAACGCCACCAATTACCTGGTTGTCCCCTGCGAATCCAAAGTTAAACTGGCCAAGTTCATCTTGTGAATGGAACTGTGCAGCAGTGATGGGGTGGAGATAAGGCAGGGGATATACTGGCATCAACAGCTGAGGAGATGCCTTGGCTATCAGCAGCAAACCAACCAGGAGCTGAAATAAACTGTTTTATGCAAAAACAGCTGTTCTAGATATTTATTATTTAAACCTGTTAACTGTGTCTTGTTTTAATGGAATAAAACAGGTTAACATTATCAAGCTACAGATGTGGTTTCTAAAACAAAGAGCTGACTTTTGCAATGTTCTAAACATGTAAAATAAACGGTATCAGCATTCTGACACATACTTTCTCCCATAAGTTTGTCAACAACCTTTCTCATGTGTAAGCGGTAAGTGTAAATATACGGAAATGGGATTTGTAAAATTTTCTTCAGAATTTAAAGGACTATAACATATTAAATTTTTATCAAAATTGTTCTAGCCAATTTTGGGAAAATCCGATTTTCCGTTATTTTATAGGGATTTTTATGGGAAAATAACATAATCCACCATAACTTTTGAACCGTAATTTTTACAGAAATGGGATTTGTACCATTTTGTTCAGAATATAAAGGACTATAACATACTAAATTTTTATCAAAATCGTTCGGGCCATTTTTGAGAAAATCCTATTTTTCCAGTTTTTTATGGGGTTTTATGGGAAAATCCCCATTAAAAATATCATTTTCTAAAAAATGACGAAAACTATCAAAATTGAAAGGATCATAACATACTCTGTTAAATCAAAACCGGATTTTTGTCTAAAATCCTATTTTTTGTTATTTTATGGGGTTTTTATGGGAAAATAACATAATTTACCATAACTTTTGAACCATAATTTTTACAGAAATGGGATTTGTACCATTTTGTTCAGACTTTAAAGGGCTACAACATACTAAATTTTTATCAAAATCGTTCGGGCCATTTTTGAGAAAATCCGATTTTTCCAGTTTTTTATGGGTTTTTATGGGAAAATCCCCATAAAAAATCAAAATTTCAAAAAAATGAAAAAAACACCTGGAGATACCACGGATTAGAACCTACATACCAAATTTCATTGAAATCGGACCACAGGTGTAGTCCCTAGCTCTGTACACATCCAGACACACAGACACACACACACACACACACACACACACAGACACACACACACACACACACACACACAGACATCACTTCGAAAACCACTTTTTTGGGTCCAGGGGGACCCAAAACGAATATATCCACTCAAAACTCAAACTCGAAAATTTTGACGAAAACAATACTTTCTCCATATACTATGGTATAGGGGGAGAAAGTAAAAGGGATGAAAATAATATGATAAATAAAAATATAGAAGGAAACCCCTTGTATCAATAAAGAGGTAAAGTAGCCACAAAGACACAAAAAATTGAAATAAAATAAAGAAGAGAAGAGACGAGACTACATTATTGGTGGAGCAAGAGTAGGATTTTAGTCTATTTAAAATATAGCCACATCATAGGCATCATTACAATTTTTTTGTCAATATTAGTATAAATAAAAGAAAAATTCACTTACTTTGGACTAACTACAAACACTAATTTTAAAAACTTGCTTTTAACAAATTAATGTTAGAAATTAATTTTGTGATTTTAAAAAGATAAATGAATCGAAGCTATTTTATTGTAAGAATAATAGTCCTTCAAAAAACTCAAAGTAATGTTGGGGACATACAAAATATGAGGAAATTTGAGAGCATTTGTTATTTAATAAAAAAACTTTAGATGGCTAAAAAATCATAAAATAAACATTTTACTTACCAGAGCAGACATGGCAGAAGATTGCAGTCAACTAAGAGATGATGAGACTTATATAGTTTTTCACCACCACAGCTTGTCCTTGCAATGGAGTATCGGAAAACAGAGACTTTGCACAAAAAAGGCATGGATTCATAATACTTTAATTCCTTTTTTAGGCTCTATATTTATCCTCTGTTCGATGAGTAAAAAAAAACTTCTATCCATTCGAGTATCTAGTCTTGGGGACTGGAATATAATTTAGTGAAACATGTAATTAATACTGCTAATAAAACACACACTCTATCAAGCATTGTTAAACAGAAATAACAATGAAGTCTTCAACAGAATTTTCAACAATGAAATTTTAATGACTTCTAAGGTACATTCATATTTGGGTTAAAATATGCACATAGGTCCCCATCTCAATGATAATTGATAAATATCACTCCAAAAAGTTAAACTGTTTCTTTTATAATTTTTAATTTACGATGCTATATTTATACTATATTCAATTGTCTACATTAGTAAATAAAATTAATTATTAATGAAGAATAGTTAGATTATAGATTATAATAATAAAGAAACTATTAGCAATTAACTGTTTAATAGTTTCTATGTACAGTATATATAATTTTTTTTATATAAACAAATTTTTGACAGTAGCGTTATAAGAATACAAAATCAGAATGACAAAAATTCTAACTTTGAAATGAGTTAAGGTACATTTACTAATTTGGATACAACATTTTGCGATCAAATTTGATAAGCACCATTAAACAAGACTGATGTAGAAAAAAACTTTAAAATGTAACATAAAATTGAAAAATTTTTGGCAGCATTTATCTTTGTAGCATACATTCATTTTGAGCTTATCATTTTTTTCGGCCAGGTTGGTAGGAATGCAGTGTCAGATAACCACCACACCTTTTCATGGTCAGTGTTAAAGATGTGGCCATAGAGCGGATAACAGCTGTTGGTTGTAACATAAAATTGAAAAATTTTTGGCAGCATTTATCTTTGTAGCATACATTCATTTTGAGCTTATCATTTTTTTTCGGTCAGGTTGGTAGGAATGCAGTGTCAGATAACCACCACACCTTTTCATGGTCAGGGTTAAAGATGTGGTCATAGAGCGGATAACAGCTGTTGGTTATGTAATTGGTAACATTATACAGTTGTCTTGTAATGTTTGATAAGTTTTTTTTTTGTTACTTCTATCAAAGATTACATATGCTACGCAAAATAAAAAGATTACATACATACGCGTAGCATATGTAATCTTTGCTACTATGAACTAATGCCAATAACATTTCTATCATATTCTTGGTTCTTCTCCTGTGATTATACATATGCGGTTTAACTCTATATTTAATGTAATTTAGCTGTTAAACCCGACACAATCAATTTTGATTCTTTTCTTTGGGCTAGTGAAAACTTGAAAGAAAGACTGATCCAAAGTTTCAGTATATTATTTTTATTTTTATTTTGACTTAGTGTATTAAATATTACACACAGGTTTTATACTCAATCAGTGTCCTTGCAATGTTATTTTCTGTCAACAGCAAATTGAAAAAAGTTACTGAATCTTTAAATTCACTGTAAAGTGTTTATAATACAGCTGGGTTAAAGTGCTCGGCTGGTAATCAAAAGACCAAAGATTCAATTTTAAGAAAACAGCAGCTTTTTGATGGTTAGAAACTGGACAAGTTGCCCCTTGGTTCTGGCTAAGAAAAAGCTGGGTTTAGTCAGTAAAAAATCCACACAGATCATCTCACTCCATTTTAAACTAATTCTGCATTCGTATTCAGTTTAATATGCGTACCAAAGTGTGCCTCGCTGTCTTCAAGAATTGAATTGAATCAGAAAAAAATACTAGGATGTATAAAGTAGTCTTTTACAATTATCAAATTTAATTTTATCTTAAGATGTTAAGATGACTGTACAAAACAACAATTAATAACATGAAAATGCACACAATGTAAGAAATGAAATATAATACAATATGGTGCTGTTGGAGTTATAATTTTATTGTTTTGCCCTTTGTACGTCTACTGGCTTGGCAGTTTTTCGAACCCAGAATTCCCTGATGTTTTTGACGACTGATGCCCTGAAAAAGTCAAATGTAAACACTCACAGTTTTATCATTCAGCTGATAGCCAATCTAGTCATGTTTATTTTTACCTACTTTAAAACTATAAATTGCAAAATCCACCTCCAAAATTCTTAAACAATGTTCCTGGAGCACTGGCTTTTAATATTGGTGAAGCAACTGAAAATATGATGCTATGTCGAAGGCTTCCCAAAGATGTATTGGATGGAGCCTAAAGACAACTGAACATGTTTATCATTATCTAAATTGACTATAGGTTACAGGGTGTCTCAGGTTTTAGCGAACCTGCAGTGGTTATATAGGTATTCATATTGTTATTTTTTGTTCATAATTTTGTTAAAATGTCTGTAAATAATATTCTTGTACATTGAACCAAAAATAAAATGATTATAATCAAACAGAACCATCTATTTCTTAACTATCTGATGGTCTTTTGACATAACCAACCACAGAGTAAATAAATAACACACTTTAAAATCCACAAAAGTATGTACTCAACAGCAGTGAACGTAACCAGACATGAGACTTCTAAACCTGCTTCAGGTTTTACAATATAATGAGAAGTAAGTCTACTTGCACTATTCAAAGTCAAATAATACAGTAATATTATCATGCTAAATAACAAATCACTATCAGACGAAATAGATAAAACATTGAATTTTTTTTTTACTTGTAGTGAACCAAATGGATATTTAAAATTCTGAATGTATGGTAGTAATTGAACAATCCTGGTGTTTTGCACGAAGAAATTCAAATATTCGATAATTAAATTGAAATACTTCTAGACTCTAATAATATGATCAAATCAACACATTAGTTACGTACTTGTGAACCTCTATTTTTTTTTATTAGCCATTTAATTCTAACATTTCAATTTCATTACTGTTTTAAATGCTCTCAATACTTACGTAAAGAAGACTCTTCCAGAATAATCATTGTCTGGTACCCATCGCAAAACCACTTCTTCTTTAGCGCTGTTGTCTATGTGAGTTGCTGTATTCTGTAATACAGACTAAAAGTTATTTTTGAAAAAAATAATCACTGTATTTGGATTAGACGTATGACTAATGTAGGCTACACATATTTTATCTTGGAAGCTTAATAATAGTTATACAAAACTCACCTTATTAAAAACTTGTACTGTGCATTGTCATTGTCACTAACTATTCGGTTTTTACTTTCACCTCCTGTACAGCACGTGACATCTAAGCTGGCACTTGGCCGGTCGCTACTAGTACCTAGTTCAAAAACATTATGTCCTGTCATGCGGGTTGCATCAACTGTCTTTGCGACCCATATGAAGGCGCTCAAGTACATAATACAAGACAAATACAAGGGGAGTCAACCCCGTGAGGCAGTGGAAATGTTTGCAGTCCGGTCTTTTCCCTGCCTCCACACTCCTCCCGCCTACACTGCCCGCACTAGCCCAAGTGCCAGCTTAGGCCCAATTCACACCGAACGGACGTCGGGCGGAGACGTGGCACGGACGTGGCGAGGACATATGTCCGTTCCTCGCCTCCCCATGTAAACAAATTGGTCAATGCACACGCAAGTGACGTGGCGCGGGCGGTCGCCCTCCCGCCACCGCCACGTCGTTTCGGCGTCCCTCGTGGCGTATCGGAAGTGGCATGTCCGTAGCGCGCCCGTTGTTCGGACTGCAAATATTGTACTGTACTTACCAACCTTCTTGTGTATAGTGTGCTTGTACTTACCAACCTTGTTGTGTAGAGTTGTTTTTGTGTGTAGATTGTGAGTTGTTTCTTCAATATGCGAGACGACATTGAATTTAATATCAAATTTTGTGGGGAAGTAGAACAATTCCCTTGTGTGTACTAATTAAGTTGACAGAAATTAACTAACACCATTGACATTAATAGAAATAAGCAAAAAACAAAGCGTCTAGTCTACACACAGGTTGTCTCGCCACTGTACCGTCCCTTCACCGTCCCTTCGGTGTGCATTGAACACGCCACGTCACTGCCACGTCTGTGCCTCGTCCGTGCCACGTCTCCGCCCGACGTCCGTTCGGTGTGAATTGGGCCTTAGATGTCACGAGCTGTACCTAGTTTATCGAGAAAGGTTTTTGTCAAAGTGTTTGAGTTTTGCTGGAAATATCCGTTCTGGGCCCCCCTGAACCCAAAAAAGTGGTTTTTGAAATGTTGTCTGTGTGAGAGGGTGATTTTGATGAAATTTGTATGTGGGTAATCCATCTCCAGGTGTTTTATTTTCAATTTTTTGGAAATTCAGATTTTCTTATTAATTCTACCATAAAATAACAGAAAAATGGGATTTTAAAAAAAATGGCGCAAATGATTTTGATTGAAATTCAGTATGTTATGGTCCTTTTAAATTTAATCAAAGTGGTACAAACCCCAATGCTGTAAAAATTACAGTTTAAAAGTAAATAGTAATTGCAACTTTTGCGATCTTCCGAGTTAGTTGCACGCTTGATTGTTGTTGACAAGCAAATTGGAGAAAGACAATAATATTTAGAAGCAAGTAAATCTATTTAAAAACCAAAAGTTGTTCTATAAGATGAAGATAGGAGCAGACTCAGTGGACTCGCTGCAAACTGAAAGTTTACAATTTAATCGTGTCACAAAAATAATGTATTTAGATTTAACATTTTAAAAGTTTAGTAAATGTATGGTTTAGTTGTCTGAATTGTATTGAAAACCCACACACCCAATCTTGATTATTTAATTTCACTACTTACGTCGGGTTTGCCGAAGCACTCCATAGTCTTAACGTCGTCCATGTCTGTGAAAGTTCCGACAGGTTTTCCCTCTCTTTCTCCAATCACCTGAACCATGAAGCCCTGGAAGGTGGCTGGGGGCTTTGCCCTGATCCTGAAGAACACGTGGCCGTTGCTGTCTACCTTCCTGACATCCGTCATCAAGTGGTAAGGCAACGCAGTTTTCATAGGCTTACCTCCGTGTCCGGCCGAGGGATCCAGAGTCTCACAAACATCTGGAGGAGCTCCTGAGGGATAACTCCGGACAGACAGGAACAGGAGACTGAGCAGGGCTTGAAAATAGCAATGGTTTACGCCTTAGTCCTTTAAGTTTTTGTGACAGCTAGTGAAATAAATTAATACTAATATGGATGAAAAATATTCATAGTTAGTAAGGACTGTTTATTTAAATACTTGTTTGACTTTACTAAGCATGAGTGTTTGACTCTGAAATTTTTTTATGTAATATTCTTACAATGTTTAATGCAGCTTATGAAACAAACATTTTATTGACATGTTGTGCGAAGTCGAAGAGAAAATCAATGAAGACCTCCTTCTTAATTTCCTCTTTCGATTGGCTCAGTATTTACAAAAAAATACAGTGTGGTTAAAAATGTTACAAAGACTTTTTTGATTCTTAACTACATTACTAAAATTGTTCTTAGCTGACTTTGAATTTCAAATTTTATTAAAGAAAAATTCACATTTTACCTTGATCAACTGTTAAACAAATCAATGATAAAAATTAAACTTCAATAGATCAAATATTGAACTACATTTAATTCATATTATGAAAAAAAACATAGTTGATTATTGTTTTTAGTTGTTCCTAGAAAACTTTCAGTTTGTTTGGTGACAGGCAACATTGTCATATATCACACAAATTTATTGCTATCTCTTACCTAAGAAAATCCTAGGAAAAACCATATGTTCCAGAAAAAACTCAACTTGTCGGTCAACTTCACTAAAAATAAATCTCTGAGATCGTAAAGATAAACCTGGAAACACTATTGCATAACTTATGTGGCATCACAGCTTCTACTATGACTAATAATTTATTTATTGTGTATTCCCCAACAAATGATTTTGCTATAATTTGTTTGTAACATATATTCTATACTTTTTCTTTTCTAGAAGGTATTTTTTATAGAAGAAAATTATTTCAGAAATATTTTTCACTAAAACAATATATTTCTCAACTGTTATAATGAGTGTAGGCCTACATTGAATTTTTATATTAAAGCTTTTTTTTTAGTACATTGAATACATTTTTTCGATTAGCAAAATATTTAACCATATCTGAAATAATTGTTTTTCATCTTGATTAATTGCTTCCAATTCAAATTTTTTAAATCACACACAAGAATAAGGCATGTAATTATTTAGTATAATTTGTTGCAATGTGAGGTGGATCTAGTATCTAGTAGTAGGAATACTGTATATGTTACATCCATGTCAAAAGGGAGCAAGGTATAAAAAGAACACTTTAATACAAAATTTATTATACATTTCAAGTAAATACAACGAGAGACAATATTACTAAGAAGCCGAGAGAGAAGGAAATGAGTTGTGCGAGGCCAGCGTAAGGCCGAGACTGATGTTCCCATCTGGAGCGCTCTCTAGGTAACACCTCACTAACTGTGACATAGAGTAGCGAGCCTGCGGCTAGAGCCTGAGAGAGAGGAATTATACCAATATATAAGAAGGTATCTAGTGTTGTAGAAGGTAATAGCACAAGAGATAGTGTGGTCGATAGTATGTAGAGATAGAGGTAACTGAGTAATCATAGAGCTCTCCTAGTGATCAGAAGTTAGCATGTTTGATTTGAGGAGTTACACTTTTTGATGGTTCAAAACTGAACCCAGCTGTTCATAATTTTTGGGCTTTCAACAATTGTTGGGTCTTGCTAAAGAAAAATGTACAACAGTAGCATTTTGTTCTTGTCTAAATATGTTGATATTTTTTCATACATTTATTTTACGGGATAAACAGAGCATAATCTTTGACTGTTGGCTGTAGCCAGTTTTGCAATGAAAACAGAAGTAGCTTTTTTGAACATTGAGCCTACATAAGACTATGACTATACTGATGTCAATTACTGATTTATGTTGAACATGCAAATTTGTCAACCAAGCCAAATGTAAAAGTGGTCATATCATATAGATGGGATGTTTACTTCAACATAACCAATGCTATAGTATATACATACAAAACTTTTACTTTTAAAATCTTACAACTACAGGTGGGTTACCTGCAAAACTGGGATGGAAACTTTGCTCTTACTCTTCTTCTGGTCAATGAGCATTCCCAGAACAATGCCCAAAGACGAGCCGAGCGAATAGATCAACATAGACCGGCTGAGTGATAAAAACGATCTCCCATCGCTTGCCAACTCTGCTCCTAGACAGAATGCAACCACCAGCTTGTGAGAAGACACTGCGCCCAGGAGAAGCAACACCTAGGACAGAGTGAATAGATCAACATAGACCGGCTGAGTGATAAAAACGATCTGCCATCGCTTGCCAACTCTGCTCCTAGACAGAATGCAACCACCAGCTTGTGAGAAGACACTGCGCCCAGGAGAAGCAACACCTAGGACAGAGTGAATAGATCAACATAGACCGGCTGAGTGATAAAAACGATCTCCCATCGCTTGCCAACTCTGCTCCTAGACAGAATGCAACCACCAGCTTGTGAGAAGACACTGCGCCCAGGAGAAGCAACACCTAGGACAGAGTGAATAGATCAACATAGACCGGCTGAGTGATAAAAACGATCTGCCATCGCTTGCCAACTCTGCTCCTAGACAGAATGCAACCACCAGCTTGTGAGAAGACACTGCACCCAGGAGAAGCAACACCTAGGACAGAGTGAGTAGATCAGCTGAGTTAAAACATTCTAAAATGTTCTGTCTCAGTGCTAACAGCAACTGCTCAATATGTAAACAGTCAAACAATGTATATGTAATTTTTGCTCAAAACACACACTCAAAAGTTAAATAAATTTTTACCAAAAATAATGTTGTGAAACTGAGATACTGTACTATAAATTTATGCTGTATTGCATGAACTGCGGCAAATGGCATCTTTTGAGGCGAAACACGACTGGACAAGAGGGAGCTACTTTACAATGACACTCTATATTAAAAATATACGTCGTAAAAGTTCAAATGCTTTGTCATCTTCATAGTGATTTTACCTTGGCAGGGACGGGCTGCACGCCAATCACTAAGCCCTCGATGATAGAATGTACCGAGAACGCCACTAGTAGGCCAATTCTGTTGTTTTTCTTTGTATCAACTTTAACGGTCATCTCAGGTTCCTCTCGTGCTAGTTCTTCATCCTGGAAAATTACAGAGTTGCAAGATAAATTTTAAGTAAGTGTGTTGTGGGTAAAAGCAATGAATACAACCCCTTTAAGAAGCAAAATGCTGATGGAGAATAGTCAAGACTGGAATTTTGCCGGTGAAATGAGATTCGCGCAGCTGCAGCTAAAATCTATCGCGCAGCGAACGCGCTACTCTATCTCTCTGTTCTTCTAAGCCGAATCTTTGTCTCGCTCTCTCTCATTCAGTCAGCTGACTTGGTGGCACGCTCGTGATAGTCTTTCTAGCGGCGGCTGCAGGAACTAACCAAAATTCAAATTCCAAAACTGAATTTTTAACATAGGCATTGTGTTTCTTAAAGGGTTTGTATTCATTGGTAAAAGCACATTTTTCCTTGACATTATGTTTTCATAAAGTGAGAACAGAGTAAATTCTTACTTGATTTTCTTGATGTTCATGTTCACAAACACTTCCATATCTGTGATGAATGGTCCTGTCCAGAAGCCCTTCCACTGAAAATTTGGAAAAATAATTTGTTACTTTACAAAACCATTCATCTTATTAACCTAAGAATTATCAAGCCTATTTTGCTAAAATAATTTGGTTTTTTAACAAATATTATATTTTCTAGAGAAAAAATATTAGGTGAATTTTATACTAGATGAAATACTTTACATGTCATAATGGTTTTCACCAGTAAGTAAAAAGGATTATCAATTTGCCAATTGTTGGTCTTGTTTTAGATGGTGGTGGATATGTAGGCCTATAGAACCAAAATATTAATTTATGTAAATATTTTTTTGTCAAAGTTTGCAGATTGTGAGTGGCTCTTGTATACCTTTAAAGTTTAACATTAAACATTTAAAAATAAGTTTTGGGGCAGAAAGAAAGTATTCTGATCTCCAAGTAGTACTACTATGCCAAAAACACTCTCGTAACACTAACCTTCCAATTTACAATTGCTCTTTTCCTCTCCTTCGCAGAGCTTTATCAGTTCATCGATTACATAGAGGAGAACAAATCCTAGACAGAAAATAGAGTCGGCTTCGTCAGGAAGTTCTGATCTTGCTTCCGGCAGCACATGAATAATGGAGGTGGCAAAAAGAACTCCTGGGATGAACAAAAAATTAATTTTGCATGGTTTTTATTCCAAAAAAAATATCCTGTGTGGTGAATTTTCCAAATGGTTGGCTCTTGAAATATACTAATTAAAAATACAGGGTTAGTAAAAAGTGTGGAGACCCCCTGTTATTTTTTTAACAGCCCATACTAGAAAAGCTAAAATCGGCACACCTTTATGACATGCTATGAAGTACTTTTTGGGCATAACCGTCACTTGGTGTACGTCCCCAAAATGGGGGATTTTGGGGGAAACTCAAACATTTCAAATACAAAGACCCATCGAGTGACCCTTCATTTCGAAGGTCCTGGTAAAAGAAAACCAACAACGCAAACTAGAGGTCTTTATCTCAATCCAGTAAAAAATGGCAGATGATTGAAATTCTCAGAAGTTAAATTTAACATACAGCTTTCCAAGTCTGGAGACCCCCTGTAAATTTTGTAGCGGCTCACTATAGGATAACTAAACTCTACACACCTTTTTGGTATGTTATGAAGTACTTTTTAAGCCTAATACCCACTTGCTTACCAAACCCAAAATGGGGGATTTTGGGGGAAACTCAAAAGTTTTAAATGATAAGCCCCATCGAGTGACCCCTCATTTTGAATGTCCTGGTAAAAGAAAACTTACAACGAAAACTAGAGGTTTCTATCTCAATCCAGTAAAAAATGGAAGCTGATTAAAATCTTTAGAAATCGGAAATAACTTGCAATTTTATATTCAACTAGCTGTGTGCCCGTTCTACGCACGGGGATCTTATTGTAGTCAGTTATTGAAACCTTTTATTAAGAACAGAATTTGGTTTGCATATTTTCAGATATGCTGGCAAAACTATTATATATAAACCTTCGCAAATACAGTATCTGACAGTTTCAAGCCAAAACAAATGCTTCGAAATTAAATGTAACCTGGGTCGTGTTGGTCCATATGTTAAATCCAATGATTAAACTAAAAAATGCTTTATAGATCTATGAGGCATAGCCCTAATGTAGGCCTATAATTGAAAGTTACCTTCCACAATGGTTAAAAGTATTTAAGGTACTACCTCAACCTCCCAATTTAACACTTTATTCGTGTTGACATATTTTCATTATAAAGGTACTTTTGTCCTTTCCGTGAAACACTGAGAAATAAGGACATTAATGCTTTACTAACAGACATACACACAAAAATACAGAACTTAATTAGGGGATTTGCTACGCTTTAAGCATAACAAAGTACTTGTAAAATTAGTATCTGAAATATTTTGTTAATGTCATCAAATTTCATCATAACAATGTATATTTGCTTGGACCGATGATGACCCGAAATGACGGCTTACTATATGAAATGAAGTACTATAGACGATTGGTAATTTATAGTAAATATTACCAAAATAGGCCACGAACTATTGATACATAAACAACGTAAAGCGTTTAAACAATTCATTATGGTTTGCTGAATAAATGTTTTACTAAAATGTGTTATCGTTTTCTTAGCATAAACTAACATTTTGGAATCAAGAAAGAAAAAGCAAAAATTGTACAGTTAAGACATCAATTAAATTGAATACGCCTGTAATAATAAATAAGGTGCAACACCAACGATAACTAATTTGTAAAGTACAGTGATGAGTTGGTACTTAAAAATGATTCTTGCTACTACCAACCGGTACCAAAAACCAACGTTCACAGTTGAGAACTATAGTACAGCCGACCAATTATATGAGTAGTTAATCAAGTCCCGAGGTTATTGATCTCTTGGTTTTGGATTTTCTCGTAAAACGTTTTAAAACGGCAATCAAAGTTATTTCCCATTAATTGCTTTATTTGTAAACAACTTTTAATGTAAACTTATCGGTGTCAGTTTGAAAAAAGAAAACAACCTCATACAAACAACTTTTTGTTATTTAATAGATTACGTACCTATTCTCTAAACAATGATTGGCAAAGGCTATCTAATAACATTAGAAGGAAATGTGACAAAAATCACACAACGATGGGTTTTTGGACGTTTGTAATTTTATTTCTTAAGTAGGTAGGCCGTGTATTCTAGGGAAAAGTACCAGTATCAAGGATCGTCGTCGAACAGTTTGTTATGAATAATTGGGTAGGCGTACGTACCCAAGCAAGAGATGGGCTATGGGCCTATTGGTTGTATGGTCCAGCGATTGCATCACACGGTGAGTAGGTACTATTGACTATATATATATAGTCAATGGTAGGAACAGAAAATAACACATTAGAAAAGCGAGTTTAGCATCATCCGTAAACCTCTGTTACAATCACCCACTGCAGTTGTGATTTTTTACTTTACACTTTACACAACCGCCATTGAAGCGCCGTGTCAATGAGTGGAAACCATATTTCTAAGCCATTGGCGACGATCATTATTAAATTTAAAGTTTCCCAGCCGTATACAACACTGATTCAAGGTCTTCTTTCTGGTTATCAAAACTCAAGAACAATTTATACACAAAGAATCTCTGGTTCCTGAACTGGATGATGCCTAGTTATTTAATTTCATTTACACGGTTACACTATTACACTATATTATTGCACTTTCGATTAATTAAATCCGTTATGTAAGAAATACGTTTTTAATCACTTGGGATTTACATTCAAAACGTGATTGAAAAAGGTTGCGGTATTTGTAAACAACATTTGTAAACATATCAGTGACAGCTAGGAAAAATAATCTTGATCCGAACAGCTGTTCGTTATTTCATAGATGATTATGCAATACAAATTGGACGAAAACTTGACATAAATCGCACAAAACTACATTTTTGAACGTTTGTAATATTATTTACAAAGTAGTGAGGCCATATTTTAATGGCTAAAGACAATCTCGCCAATCCAGTGAATACATTAAAATGACTTGGATCTTGATAGGTACTCTCGTTTTCCAGGAGAAGATAGCGTAAAATGCCATCTTGAGTGTTACAGACAAAGGGAAAGACAGACAGACAGACAGACAGAAATTGAGATAAGACTCGTTTCTGCTTATTTAATATATAAGACGTAAAAATAACCTAAAAATATATAATTCTGAGCAATGTACAGACAAAACTCCAATTTTATTTATATAGATTGGCTGCCATATTTTACTGTGTTAAGATAGATACCTATAGTTTGTGTTATTCGTTTTATTTTATTGACCTTCAAAATGAGGGGTCACTCGATGGGGCTTATCATTTAAAATTTTTGAGTTTCACCCAAAATCCCCCATTTTGGGTTTGGGAACTTATGAGAATTTCAATTGGCTACCATTTTGTACTGAACTGAGATAGAGACCTCTAATTATCCAAAAAATAATCCAAATAATCCAAATCCAATGAAACTTACTACTAGTTGTTTACCTCCGCCAAAACACAGCACCAGCGACAGCAGTAGAGACTGACCGCAAGCTTGTCCGAGACCAAGCCATCGAGGTAGAGCTCCAGACACATAGCTACTGGAGGCAAGAGAGACTGCGGCCAACGACTTTAGTATCACTCCTGATATTACCATGGCCTGTGGTACATGTGAATTATTTAAAACTACAACCTGTTATATATTTTACATACTGAATCGTTTATATTTTCAACCGTTAGTCAAATGAGTTCGCCTCAATAAAGAAGGATTTTCATTTCATTTCAAATGACGAGTGCAAAAAATATACTCCGTTGATTTTGGTCGCCAATATTTTTATTAAATAATAGGAAGAATCTAAGGAAAGAAGAGAATCTTTGGACATTTTTAAGGTCTCTGATATTCAGGACAAGCAGTGGGATTGTAGAAAAACTATGGAAAAACCAACAAAAGTAGAAAAGTGAATAGGTATAAAATAGTCAAATCAACAAGATTAATCTACTGCAACAAATTCAAGAGTATGTTGTATGTTAAAAATACAAAGAGGAAATTTTAAAAATGGTGTTCTATTATCTGTCTTAAAATTTTAAAACAAATTTCTGTCTTCTTGCAAATAAGTCATTACTTACTGTTATAACGTACCTTCAATTTTGTTGGCAAAACTTTGTCCTGTTACAAATGGAAAATTTACTAAAGCATCCTCCCTTTCAGATCAAAAATTTAAAGTTTTCAATCACAAACAAATCCTCTTAAAACACAAAATCCTAAATTATTAACAGAATTTTCAACAACTAAATAATCCATCAACTAGGAGTTAAATTTTCTTCACAAACAAAAAATCGTCTTGTAAAATCATGCAGATTTTCACGCTCGATCATTAAGAGTAAATTAACTGACATAGATTTATATAGAGTTGACAACAGTAAATAGATCAAGTTCACCAAGCCACTGTGACAAGAAGAGACAAAGATTTCATTCAAGTATCACCCCTCCCTCCCTCCTTCCCCCCTCGCCATTCCAATGATAACAGTGGAGCAGTCACTTCAATATCTGTCATGATGATACAAACAATTATAGATCCATCAGATGTTTATGTACCCAAACAAATATAGTACAAGTTAATTTAATAGGCATATACATATAAATATGAATAAAACTTGTCTGTTTTCATTTTATGACGTTAGAGAAATATTGTGATTTACGATTTTAATTTTATTGCGATTCTCAAGTAACAACTCTAGATTATGAAATGAAATTGTGCTTTATTGTACAATTTAGAACATAAATACATTTTTACACAGACACATAGATACTGATTTAGATTATATGATCTGTTAAGGAAATACCACCCAGAGTCTTTTCTTTTGTAATAGGTGCAGTACTCTTTGTTGTTTCCAAATAGATTTTCTTACGGTAAGCCCTTAACTACTGGGATTCAGCATTGTCCCGTAAGAAATTAACTTTTGTGATTGGTATACTTTGAACCAAACCAAGGTATCAAAAACGGAATCTAAACAACCACAACTACATCCTTTTTGTAAATTTGATACACTGAAAAAACTTAGAATACTAATTTATTATGGAGTAGAAATATTTACATCAATATAACTGAAATAGAATTTTGGGACATACAGGATATGACCAATTTTGCAGGAAGGTTGACTTATTTAAGAACTTGAATGTATGCTAAAAAACTAACCTATAAAACATAAATTGTTTTTGTTTATGTAGTCTAATGTTTTACATTCTGACTTCAGTCTGAGTGTAGAAGGGCGAATCACCGACATGTAAGAACACAAACAAGTGAGTTGTATAAAAAAATACTACCAGCAGATAGTCAGACCAACTGGCTTTGTGTAAAGTAAACGCGGCTGAGAAGAATCAATCCAAACGATGATTTTAAAATTTTTACTTAATTGTTAACATTTTTCATACGGAACCTTGAAAAAACGCATTTAAAATAATAAAAAAAAACAACCAGTTAAAGAAAAATTCTTTGAAAACTCACTCTGTATGAGCTATACATGTATATCAATTGTATTGTATATCAATCAATCAAATCATGAGCTATAGTACTTGATATCCTTTGGAACCCATTTTCAACCATCTAAACTTCAATAACAAAGGTCAAATCAAACACAATATATACAAAATTCACATTTTATTATAAAAACTTATCGTACGGATCTAACTAGGACTTGTATGTTAGGAAGATACAGTGCTGAGTCGGGGAAACGGGTCTGTCTTGCTGAGGACTAGCTTTTGATGCTGCAGAGATATGTAGCCTTTTACCTGCAAAATTACACTTTCTTACTTCTGTAATAAACAACAATGTTAAGCAGATTTTTGAACATAACCATACAAAATTAAATCCTTAAGCACTGTTAGTAATGTATTTTCACAATCAAGTCAAGTAGAATATTGGATGCAACTATTTGAGTATTGAGTTGGGTTGGAAGTGGGTCGACAATATTCAACCAATTGGAAAAGTATTAATTTTCCCGATAATATTAATATTAATTAATTAATAATTAATTATTAATTAATAATAATAATAAATAAATAAATTAATATTAATATTAAATATTAATATTAATTCCCGAAGGACTCTCAATTGTTTTGGGCACATTGTTGTAAACAGCTGTTGGCTTTTTGATTAATCAAATGAGTTTTCATTAGGTACTTTTTTTATTATTATTATTTCTTTGTCATGAGAGCCGAAGCCCCCTGACTGCGTACCCGGTACCTATCGTGAGACATACCCGGGCCCCATGATGTAGGCCGAAGCTTACGCATCAACCTTTAGCACATCATGGGCGGATGACTTAAGGTCATCAGGCTCGCCGGCTGCCGAAGCAGACCCTTCGGAAAGAGGGTTGCCCCTCAATCCTAACCAGGGATTCCGGCTGCTTGTTTAAGCGTCACTCCACCTGGGTTCCCCCAGGTACAAGCCCTAGAGGACCATAATGGAGCGCCCCGACGCATTTAGTGCAAGCAACACTCGGGACCTATCTAATCCCTGACAGGCAGAACCCGCCATCATAGCCAGAAGGAAGGGGACCGTCAGCAACCCCAACCTCCCATTTACACCACTACCCGATCGAGGCCTTACCCAGTTGCTGGGAAACCAGAGATAACCAGAGCGATAGATCCCCAGATACCCCTGGCGGGCTCGGACCCAGCACCCGATCTACTTCGTTTGCCCGTCAGACCCAACATCACTGCCAGGCCATCAGGGTTTCCCAAAAGGAGGCAGGTATAGAAGTGGGACCCACCCGGATGAACCTATCCACCAGAGGTGGCGACACCCTTGACTCAATTGAGGTTCCGGGAAGGACCCCCCACACTCAAGATAACCATACCGTCCGTGCTCAGAGACAGGGATTGGTTTGCATAAGTGCCTACAAACCGTTACCCTCACACTGCGGAAAGTTACGTTGCCCTTGAGTGTCCCCGTGAGCTACGGGTACTTGCCCGTTTTCACCTCCAGGAAAGGTTACTTCCAAAGTCGAGGATTTGCCACACTGAATGCTGGTCGCACACAACAAGCAGGCCGAAACCCAAAGAACCACAGACACAGGTAGGTTAGAGAATATGATGCACTTCCATCTCTCCTAGAGCTAAACACCCCTCCATCCTGGATAAAGGAATGTCACTGGGACCCAATGCCCAGTCGTCCATGTCTGTGGCCTACTTGAAAATGCCGATACCAACACCGAGCAGTTACCTCCCCTTTGGGGGCAGAATTAGGTACTAATGTATGGTAATAAATTTTACGCCACACTACATTATTTTAACGAACTTTCCACGCAAGGATTTAGTCCAGAAAACAGCTGTTTGCCGTCAGCTTATTCAAATGGGGTTTCATTGCGTACTACTGTACTGTAATGAGTTTTGCCGGACACCAATCAGCTGATTATACTATATTTAGGTAGCAATGAATGGTTATAAACAAAACATAACCTCTCTTAGAGGTTAATTATGACTAGTGATTTTTAGTCCATGTTCTGTGGCATGTCGGTGAAAATATATTAGGATTTGTACAGATTTAGTAGTATGGCGTAAACTATCGTACGTAACTCGTCCAAAATGTGTGTACCGGACTCGTACGACCACACTCGTCCGGTAAACACTTATTTTCAGGACTAGTAACGTAATATACTATTCCTGGACACCAGCTGATAAAATTAGCAATGAGTGGTTGTAAACAAAAACATAACCTCTCTTAAAAGTTATCAGAAGTGATTGTTAAGTTCTTTAGTCCATGGGAATATAACAAATTTGTACAATTTTTTTTAGAGTGGTATGGCAAAAAATATCGCACGTCAGTTGTCCAAAATGTGTTTACCGTAATCGTGTTTACTATAATCTCTTACCTGTTTTCCGAAATTGTAATATACTATTTATTATTTATTTATATATTATTTATTTAACACCAAGCTTCCACTGCTAAAGGCTCTGTTGATTGATTAGGATTAGATGGTACAGATTTCCTTCCAATCAAATTTAAATTGCTTTTTTTGTTTTCATAAAGTAGGAGAAGATTTTAATTGTTCATTACATTTTCTTTCTCTATAAAAATAGTTAGTATGTTTAAACAATCAATTTTTACAGTAGCAAAATCATATACATCACCCACAATGGTGAAAACATAATTGTCCGTCCATTGTGGCAAAATTTAGAGCATTTCCAGCGAGCATTCTCCATCATCGTACCCGATCGCGGTGAAATTATTGCGTAGGAACCAATAACCGACATAAAATACAAAACATTCTAACTGACAAATGACTTAAAAAACCAACCCATTTAACGAAATAACCATAAATGTGTTGATGATGACACTTACCTTGCCCTCGTGTATGAGGTTGGCCAGTATACAGTGAGCCTCTTCCAGCTCCACCCCCTCCCCTTCCATCATCTGTAGAGCTACGAGCAGGCTGTGGATGGGCAACTGATGTGTCTTGTCTGACAGGAACCACCTGTTATCAACACACCACAACCATCTGTCAAGGAATGGGTACACAACCGACTTACACAATAAAAACGTTCCAGCTAGTTGGTTAATGTCACACAAAAGTGTCTTTTCACTATTACTTTTGTATCCTTTCAAGTCGGTGCCTTCAGGAGGAAGTATTTAGTTAGAAGAATTCTTATGAACCACTATACAGTAGACTCCCTCTTATCCGGACTCCTCGGACCGAGGCCAGCCCGCATAACGAGTTTTCCGGTTAAACCCATGTCCCCAAACACTCTTAACGAATATCACAGTAAACAGTACGTTTTAACAACGGACTGTTTACTGTGATATTCAACTTAAATTTAGGAGAGCATTGTATTTAGACATGTAATCACTGGTCTCAAATCTTACCCACGACAACAGTTGTTTCAGTACCTCCCACTTTCTGCCGATCTAGTCCGGTTAAACCAATGTGCTGATAAAAATTGCCCGGTTAAAGAGGTGTCATTTCCGCCAAGTGTAGTCTGGTTAAACCGATGTCCTGTTAGAAGGTGTCCGGATAAGAGGGAGTCTACTGTACTTCCTTCCAAAAAAGCTGCATTGAAAGGAAGTAGAAAATTAATGTTGTTGATAACTTTTGCATGCTAACAGCTAACGACCTGGAACTCTTTTCATCTGTAAGTTACTTAATGAATTCTTAACCTAGTGATCTTTCCACCAATAGCAGGAGAATAATTTATCACGCAACCTATATTATTTGGTCTACCATAATTACTGTACATTTTTTTTTAATGTATACTGCATTTCACTAATGTAATGTGACATCTGTGATAAATTCAGGAGTCTCACACTACAGGCTGGCTACCTGTGTGCGTAAAAGCATTTTCCCTCCTCTCCCTTAAAAAAAAAAAAAAAAAAAAAAATACTGCATTTCCACTAGAAATACTATTGCACGATTCAATTACAAATCTTATTTAACAGACCCAAAGTAAATCTGGAAGAAAACAATATTAAAACATATCTGAGACCCAGCAAAAATGATTTGTCACAACACTCATCATTGGAAAAACTGGGAATTTTGTTGCTTTTTTATGACAATGGACTACAAATGACTCCGGTTGAAAGTTAAGTTATTAAGTAAGTTTCTATATTCTTTCTGTTACAAACTTAGTATTTTAAATATCATTTTAAACCACATAGGCCTACATAAACTTAATAATCATGAGCTAAAGCAGTCAGGAGCAATAAATGTCATATTGTGGCAATACTTTCTTTGATATAACACTGTTGCATATCTTCCGGCATGTTAAAAATTATAACAGTTTTAAGAAAAAAACTGACGTTTTTTACACAACTAAAATATCTTGTACTTACACTTTCTTGAAAAGGTTTCTGTACGTAATGATCTTGAGTTTCTCGATGATGAGGTAGATACCGGACTTGATGAAAAACGCTTGATGTTGCTGCATGACGTTTGACAGTTCTGATATGCAGCCTTTCTTGACAGCAAGAACCACTTCCCACAGCTGCAGTAAGTCGTACTTCTCCAGCACTGCCTTGGTTGGCATGTAGCCCTAAAATCAGAATCCTTTTGAAGTACAACATTTTAACCATTTTGGAATATAACAAAAATTTCCACTCTTTGCAAAGGCATCATATTATAAATGCTAACCAGATAATGAAATTGTTTAGTTAAAGGTAAATATATCCCCTTTACTTTCTTATTCAAAGTGGTGGCTTAAAAGTTGATTCAAACTGAATGTATTTGCAATCTGTTTCAATGCCTTACAAAAAATATCAAGGCCTGATATAACTTTACAAAAAACATTTCATAGAGTCATCTAAACAATAGAGGAACGTGATTGCCGAATTTAAGCTACATAGATCATACAGTTATCGTGATATCTTGTTGTGGGTTTTACATATTAATTAAATGAGACATCTTGGCTGGTTACAATATATATACTAGGTGAACTGTTATGCAAACATTTAGTTTTAAATTCTGTACTGGTACTTACCAAAAGCATTTTGACAGGAACCAGATTCAAGAGGATTAGGCGTTTGTTTTTCTTTGATTGTTTGTGACAATGAACAAAAGCAAACGTCAGATACTCGTTTGCTGAAAACAAAAGCAAGGAAACATAAGTTACAACTGTTGCATAGTTTTAAAATTTATTTTGAAATGAGTTACCGATTTTTTTTAGTACACCATATTCCCAGATCAGGGCTCCTTTAGTCAAAAGTTTCATGGTTTGTTGCGGGTATGGAAGCGAAAAATTCCCCCGTGAGGAAGGGATAGGGGGCTCAGTTATTTTTTCGGCCCATAGCGCATCACATGCAAACCGCAAACCTGTCTCAGATAAGATATTCTTACAATTTATGACCATCAGTTTATTTAGATTAGAATAGGCTAATCTTGATTGTGTAAAAACCAGTTTCATGAAAAAATTCTTTCATGTTTTCCTGGAAACATAGCCTATACGGAACAAACTTATCTCAACTCAATATTTTTTTACAAAAAAGAAATATTGGGTTTGTGTGTTATTTGTTAGTGTGTTATCTACGCCAATGGCATTTGTTAACGTTTTGAAAGGTAACTTGTTACCATCTAACGTCGATATTTTTGCGTCATTAATTCATAGTCAGACAAACAGTGGAAGTTTTTGAATAATTAACCAATAAACAGATACATAATAAGTAGTTTGATTTTACTAAAGGTGACAAGTGGACTAGTCGTCCAATGGGGTGTGAATGGAACGTTTGTCTTGGAGGTAAAAATGCTGCCAAACACCAATGGTGATTTCTTATGTTATGATGACTTGAATTTGATCTTCCGAGCCTGCCTTAAAGCTTTAGCACGACTTATCAAGTAAGAAGATAAGTGACTTATTACAGTCTGTATTTCAGGTCTCCCACCCCAAAATGCAATACAATAACAAAGCAATACCTGTGGCGTAGTCACTGTAGAACATTGCCTTTCGACCAATGAAGTACTTGTAAGTGATCCGCTGGCCAAGGGGGAACCTGTCTTTGTATGGAGACTGTTCGATCGCCCGACTGAGCGGTTTCATCAGGTGAAGCTTGTTGATGCGGAAGTAAATCTTGAACAGCTGATTGATCAGTGACATCATCCCCATCCTCTTGCTGTCTCGCTCTGAGGCTCGGCTGAAATAAAAAAAAATGCTGTAAATAACTACTATCCCTAACTCAATGGTTGAATAGTTTTAAACATATTTGAGGGATTATTAAATATTGTGACATGTTCCATCACGATTAGAAAAAAAATGTTTTTACAATGCTTTGGGATCTCGAATCTGATTCTATTCGGTGGGAAAGTATGTGACACATAAAAAAATAAATACACAATCACAACCAAAAAATAAAGATTAACAATTATTATAATTTTACGGCGCCAATACACCAGTGTTTTTATTTTAAAGTGGAGATAAACATTAAAATAAAACAACATTGTCCTACAGTCACCCGACAAAGTGGGCTTCCTTGCACAGATTACAGTACAGAAAGAAACTTTGATGCACAGTTTTTACTTTGGTGCACAGTTTGTACTTTGGCGCACACCAGTATTCCAAAACAGCGTGCTTTTATTATGCACGTAATCCTTGAACGCTTGAAAAAAAAGGTGGCAACAATTAAAGATATTACGACTACGATCAGCTGCTGCAGCGTTTCCCATTTCTTTCAATATTTGGTTTTAACCTAACCTAAAAAACGTGTTGTACAGTATTTGTTATTTATATGATTAACTGTAACTGTAGGAAAAATCAAAAATATAATGTGTAACAAGAGTGCAAACTGCCTTTGCTGCACTCGAGAAACTTTTCACACTTGCCTACGGCTTGTGCATAAACATTTCTCTCGTGTGCAGCAAAGTGCCACTTTCCCCACTACACACACATAACACATAACACATATAACTATTGTTCGCTAACTAATTTCAGGTTGATCGGTTTAACACAGCCTACTTTACTGACGAAAATAGATGAATATACACAAATAAAATAAACACATAAATACTCAGAATCTTCGGAGCTACTAGCTCGTTCTTTAGTACCTCTGCACTTCCTATCCAAAACAAAATGAAACCTGACTAGATGTGAAGTGAATCTCCGTGTGACTCACTATTACTCTATACTGTATTTAGAATTGAAATTTGTCCAAAGGCCATTGAGACTAACTTGTCAGCTGCACAGATGCGAAAGCAGCTCATGAGCGTTTCTGCTGCCGTCTCCAGAGCTTTTGTTCCGACACCAGGAACATTGAGGAGTTTCAGTGCAATGAGTCGCAGGTCCAAAAACGCAGTCTTGACCACAGGCAACAACCAGTTCTCATCTGCCAAACTCTGGAGCACCTTGGTCACCCCAGACGTCACCATCAGCTGATAGTCAAATGCTGTTTTGTACGATCGTCTGCTCAGCTCTTTTATGCATCTGAATGAACATTGGGTAGAATGAGTCAGCTGTTTCACAACTATATCTCATGCTGTAAGATGTGTCAGGTTCACATAGATTAAACATATTCCCTTACAGATTGATTCCTATGGAACACCTGAAGACAGTTTTATGGTGTTTCAGTCAGGCGTGTCAGAGTGTGTAATTGTTTACTATTTTTGTTCCTTATTTGTATAACCAGCTTTTTTACTAAAATCCTCTTTGTAAACTATTGCTAGTCCTCTGGTAATATAACCAAAGAGTCAAGATAAAAGAAAAACATATAATAGAAATTTGTAACCAACATGAAACACGTCAAAGATTTGGATTTTACACTAGAGGGTAAGCCATCTATTTGTACCGTTCAGTCAAACTTGTTTCTCAAAAACTTTGCATTCTTAGAATAGTCAAGTTCTATGTGAAAATTTACTTCTAGATTGATACCATGTTTAGAAACTCTGAAAGCTGCAGCATGAAATAATGACATTACCTCCTTCATCTTTTGCTCAAAATGGGTTAGATTGCGTCACGGTGACACATTGACTTCATGCAGTTTAAAATCAATAAAAATCAATAACTATGGCAATTGTGTATTTATATCGGTGTTTATAAAACAGTTTTCAAGGGATAAAAAAAAGAGTGTAGACCTATAGCGGACAAGTTTTCCGTTTTCCCTAATCATGTAAATTCAGAATTTCATTGACAATGGTAAGCGAAAAGTAGGACCATTGGGTCATTAAATATGTAGCAAATTAGAGAGGTATTTACTATTTAAAATAATGAAAAATTACCAGAAAATATTATAATATTTTGGACAATTGTGACACTAACCTGAGGTGAGCCCCAACAATATCATCTACTGGAGAGTCCAAGAAATCCGCACAATCGGCTTCTGGGTTGTCTACGTACAGTCTTGAGTTCAGAGCGTGACCATGACGACATGACAAGCATTCCTGAATACGACAACAAACTTAGAAACCCATTGCTAAAAGACAAATAATAATAACAAATAATTCTTTTCCTAAAGCATGGAATAAACAACATTTTATAACAAAAAAATGCAAGCTTGTGTGACTAAAGCATGCATTTTAAATTCAATAAACTACGTACCTCTTTAAACCTAATGTTAACAGAATAGACGAGAAGATATTAATCGCCCCTAATGGTAATTAATTGAGGATGGTGCTTTGCTCAACTTAAGTCTGTTCATCATTTTGTAGAATATTAAAAGTACTTAATAGGCTTATATAAAACTTTTAAACAGTAAATTATGTAGGCCTAATTAAAGTTTTACACAATTAGGCCTAGCCTAAGAGACCTATATTACATTTGTTACGATGAGTAACATACTCACAGATAATCTTTCTCCATTCTTGTTTCTCCATGAATTGTTGATCTGCAATAAGAAATTATATTTAGGTTTAAGATTGTAAAATGTTAATTAATTAGGCTATGTGGTCTTTATTGCTACTAAAACTATCATTAAGTTATGCTACCTACTCTAAATATAAATAGTTTTAAAACCAGATGGTTTTAACCAAAGTCTGCTGCGTAGTGTTTACAGAGTCATTTATTGCGGAAGTCAATCAAGAATTTATAAATGGTTGGTATGTTTAACACAGGATAGGTATTTGGTACCGTATGAAAATAACAGCTGTCCCTACCCTTTAAAGTTAGGCCTAATGAATAAGCAAATTCGAACCATACCACAGTAAAAGTTCCATGACCTGCTAATAGCTTAGTGTCAAGTAACTTAATAGGCTATCTAAAATAGATGTTTGGAAAGGAAATTGACAATGAAGATAAACCGGCATAGTTTGGCTATGATATGAGCCATTACGGAAGTTGCTGGCCTAGATGTAATTGTCAAAATTCAAAATTGACTACAGTAGGGTCTAATTAAATTAAACTCAAAGCTTGGTTTCATTATTTTGACAATAATCGTCTGATTACCGCAGAGTTTGGCCAATGAAAGGTCTAATGAAGGCCACTGGTCCGATTCCAAGGGAAATCAATTCTAGACACAGATGCCATTTTTTAACAGGCTATCAAATAATGATGCTCCAGACAAAGGTTAAATCTCAGCACAGGTTAGGATATAGACATAAGTATAGTCAATGACATAAGTTACTTATTGTATCAATTTATCAAAAATTGCCAATTAATCGTAGCCTGTAGACAGCACATTAGGGTGATTTGTCTCATTGGAATTCAATTGATGATTGATGCCTGGCTGGCTACAAATTCTGCCAATTGGAACTTGTGAATCTAGGCCTAAGTTGTGCAATTATCGCACCGATTTCACCAAGTGGTCTGTTGTTACTTGTCTGTTGTCGTTGCTTTCTTTAACATTGCGTTGATATTTTATTAGCGCTTAAAGGTTGTATCAACGTTTTTTTCTTGGTTGACTTTGTTTGTTGTGGCAGACTGTTGTAAAGTTCGGTCACCACAACGACCTTAAAGGACATTATAGCAGACATCTTAATTAGACAAACTCCTCAAGATTTTATAATTGAATTTATTGAACTTTACCTACGGAAGTTACCCCTGTTTGAGGCTCGTATGGACTTTTTCACCCTTCTCGCTAAGCAAACGATGTACGACATTAAGACTACTTCCTCCATTGTGAATTCGTTTCTGGGGTCGATTGCGGTCAACAGCAGAATATTGATATTTTTTACGACGAATGTTTACAATTGATCAAAGGGTATAGATCGGTCTAAAATCTCTAAATTTAATAGAGCAATAAAATGGCCAATCAGATTCAGATAGTCACAATTTCTCGTCTAGTGTGTAATAGACCTAGTCCCTTGGATTGTAAAAAGACCAAGATTTGAACCATCCTTTTACAAAACATTTACTAATTGCTTTGGAACACAAATACCAAGAAAAAAATTGAAGAACACGGTCTAATTTTAAATTATATTAATTCCGAATTAAAATAAGCATTGAAACAGAAAACAAATTGAATTTCAAATCAAGATAACCTTAAAAGTGACTTACCATGTGAAAATAAGAAGTCAGTGATATGGACATGGTTGTGAATTAGTTCAACGCTTTATGTCTAAATATCTCACTTAATAGGTAAATCAAACTAATGTAAACTATTCATAACATAATTAAAATATTTAATAGAAGTTTAGCTGTCAGATCAAACCTATTTTCTATTTTGTTTTGTTTGAAAACGAAAACAACAAAGTACGTCACACGAAAATCTAAATTCGTCTGGCGTCTGTTAAATTATCATCCTAATTTTCATAAACATGTAACTGCAAAGTCAACTGAACTCTGGCATTGATTATAGAATATTTGCCATCATGTGCCCTTAACTGTGATATTATTTGAAGAATAAGTCACACCACCTAGGCAGGCGTATTTTTAAAATGAATTTGGTACAGTAATATGTATGAAAATAATCCAGAATAATACCAAAACTGTTCATTATCAATATTAGTAAATTTTTGTTCGGAATCACTAAAAATCTAATGATAAAAGTAATTACTTATAATATTAATAACATCGATAAAATAATTGAATGAATATTTATTCCAGTACAATATTACAAGAAACGTACAAAATTTATTTGATGAACAAATTATAAATGCGTCTAATTATAAATTAGACAAACAAATATAATTCAACGTCAAATCTATAACTAAATTAGTACAAAGATTTACGGAATAAGCTGACATGGACATTGCGTGAGCATCTACGCGCTTACTGGAGTCCGTCAACAAAATTACAATGCAACTTTAAAGAAAAAGATTAGGAGATAGTTAATCATTGACTTAGACTATTCCTGTTGACACATTTATAGTTTGTAAAATAAAGAGAAATGGCTTACTAGGCTTGAATATCTAACTGAATTAAAAGCTATAAACTTTTATCAAATTAAGTGGGTACAAATTGTTGTTAAACTTAGTTTTTAATGGCAGATGTGTATAGCTATATTATGAAACAGATGTATCGAACGAATTTTTCTCTTTCTCGCTCACTCTTCCCGTTGCAAAGCATGGGCACAGGAGCCATGGTAAACCACAAAGCCGTGACGGCATCGGCTTTCTTTTGATAATACCAAAAATACTAAAGGGGAGTATGTTTTTCCTACAGTTACCTAACAATGTACATGTTCTCTCACTGATTTGAGAAAGCAAAGTGGCCAATTCGCTCATCAGTGAGACAATGTTAACATTGTCTCACTCTAATTACTTTGTCTCACTCCAGATTTGCAACGTGAAGGCACGAAATATTGAGCGCGCAACATGCAGGCAACGTCGTATGCGCGCGAAATACGTTGGCAGCACTGGCTGTAAATCAGCTGGTCTGCTGGTCAGCTGTTGTACTGTTGTATTTGTCACTTCAAGTTAAATGTTATGTTAAAAGTTCACTTCTGTGTAAAAATAGGTTATGTTTCTTCAGCAATTTATTTGTTTTATGGTAACTGTAGGAAAAGTATAATGTGCAACTCGAGTTCAAAGTACAATTGCCTCACTCGAGAAACCATTCCTCACTCGCCTACGGCTCGTGAGTAAGGATTTCTCTCGAGTGAGTCAATTGCTCACTTTTCTCACTAGTTGCACAAATAACTATTATCTATGATACTATGTTTGTTTGTCTCCCTAGCAAGTGAAACTCAGTTTTAACCCTAGGACTGCCGTGAAATGTGTGCGCTAAAGCTAAACGCTTATTACGCAATGAAAATTATCCAGAAGCGTAATAATTTTGATACCGTAGGAAAGAGGAGATTCTTAACTTTTATTTTCATATATAAACGAACGTCGTAGCACTAACAGATCAATATAATAGCTATTATAATTTTAACAATATTTTGCACGCGTGACATTTTCGAGCACGAATGTCCCACGATCGACAAAATCTCGTACTGTAAAACATGTTTTCTTGAAAGAAATCTACAAGTCTTAAATGCCCGTGTGATGAACTATATTTTTCGTCATATTGCACTATTATTTGAATAAATCAAGTTACGAAACTAAATAGTTTTAATTTAAAGTAACCTCAAAAACCTACTTTTCTAACTTGCTTTCAATTGAATTTGATAATGGAAACAAGCATCAGCTGTTTAGTAAGTGATTCAATTGCTTGGTCGATTGTGTTGTTGTACATTATTATACTATCGATACGCCAAACTATTTACAATAAGGCAATAATTTACAATAAGGCAACAATAAACTACAATCGATACATATACTTTCGTTGAAATTTACAACTGAGTTAACATTCGCTGATTTTTACTACCTAGGGCACTGAGCTAAAATTCTATAATTTTTTTGCTCAGTGACCTAGGGGCTAAAAACGGAGTTTATCCCTAAAGAGTAAAAATGCCACTTAGACCCGAAACGCATTCATTAAGGTGGTTCTACGGCAGCCTGAATTTCAATTAAATATGGCGGATTATAATGGATTAAACTATAGTTCGGGATTGAACACGACTGTATTGTAAAAGCTATCACAATTCTAAAACTGATTTGTTTCCAATGATTATATGCTTTTGTGTTCCATATCAGAGCTTGCAATGGGTGGGGAAAGATTAATTTTTAACTACTATTTAGAAGTTAAAATCACATGTGAAAAAGACTAATTTACGGATTTTCAAAATTATTTTTTAAATACTTAAAGAAACAATTACGAAGTTTTAGTTCATACAGTGCATAGTTTGGATCTTTGTGAATATTTTAGAGTTTATTTCAACTCAATAAACACTTTTATTATGCCAAGAGGTTCTTTTTAAAACCCTCTTAAAAACGGATGTTTTTGCTGCAGTATGATGAAAAATAATTTTTAGTTTAGACCAAGCTGCAGTGACCTCAAAAGTACGCAATTTTTCATACATCTCTAAAAATTTTTTTATTTATTAGAAACAATACTTGAACAACAGGTGCCAAGATCTCAAGTTGTCCCCCCCCCCCCCCACTGCTTTGGACAATCATTACATTCAACACAGTATTGCTTCTTTTTTGCAGAAAGGGAGCTAGCTATAAACATACACATAAAACTAAGGATCTGCACGTATAACCGCCAGCGTAATCGTTTAACATCCCTCGACCGTGAAGGGAATTTCACGGCCAATCGGATGAAATTGATGACGCAAGTGGTACATGATTTCATTGCAATAATCAGCTTTGATTTGTAAGTTCCGAGTCACGATTAAACGTTCGCATCCGCCAATTACCAAGATGAAGAGGTAAGCCGATACGATCGCTTTGGCAAGTTGCGAGAACACGCTTTGATGCGCCGATCATCGCAATGTTGTTCTGGGTGTCGTCTGTTTCTACTAAACATTACAGCTTTATAACCAATGAATATAAAATCTACTTAGACGAAGATTATAATTTCCCCACAGGTCCTTGTCTTTCAAAACTGTAACTCTGATATTATGATTCCAGCTATCGCAAAAGTACCTAAGCAGTAACTATTTGTGAATAATTTAAGTCTTAAGCTTATAAAGTAAGTGCGATCGGTTTATGTAAGTTTGTGTCCAAATTTATCATCTGCATTAAATTTACTCTCAATCACACCTCTACCCTGTAGTTTGGGTAATTTTCAGGAAAGCCAATTTTCTACATCTCGCTCTCTCTCCGACTGCGACCGACTCACTCACTCCCCCCATTATTTCTGTAATTCTAGTCTATTTGAGACAATTGTGTTTTCGCTTTAAACTTGATTTAACAACTCCTTATAAAATAATAGCTACAGTAAGCGGTTCCCCGTCGGTTTCGCCCGACATAGCTTTGTGTTTTATGATTCCTAATACTATGAACCAGTTATGGGCTAAAATTACCTTTTGCGTTATTTACATCATTACATTACTATAAATTTTCAAGAGACTGTAGGAAAAGGACGCAACTTCATAGCCTCACAATGTTACAATGCGTTGCGTTAGACGTTAGACTTAGAGGAGGCTATGACGCAATCATTTGCAGAAGATAAATAAATAAATAGCATTTAAGCTCTTTTGACATGAACAAAAACGTATACAAAACATCTACTGATCAGTTGTGTTATGATTTTATCTCGGTCGTTGGGAATTGGCTTCTATAATTTATGTACCTGTATAAACGTTTAACGAAAATATAACTATCACTATTTTACAACAGTTTGGTTGATGGAAACAGCTAAAACTAAAATAAAGTTTTAGAATATATCATTTCCAATGTTTTTTCGAGGTTACGGGTTTTATTCGGTGCTTATTTCGGAACTAATACCACGAGCAATAACAAACATAAAGTTCGTACTTAAGGCGCTTGTACAATACTTTTTAACAGCTTTTCATTAATTTATGTATTTGATTATGTAACTGTGAAATTCAATTGGTTTCGACTCATTTAACTGCCATCTGCCTTCGAAATTAACAGTCATTCGCCTAAAAAAAAAACAAGCTAATCGGCAAATTAAAAGAGGAAAACAAAGCAGAGAATGATTCCTGGCTATAACTAGAGGTTTAAGCCCAAAGGGACCTTAAATGCATGTATTTTTTTTCAACACAAACATATAAATCATGCATATATTCATCCAAACTAAGTGCTGATAATAGAGGACACCGCAACTATAAATTGGCCATTCGATATTTGAGAAGTTATGTTTAAATTTAACCGATCTTAAAACCGATTCGATAATTTTTAAGCGGTGTATCGTTAGTGATAAAAGTAGTTTGCACTTTCCGAACAATAACTTTACTTGTTGCAAACAATAGCAATAAACAAACATATAATGTCAAGCATAATAATTCCACACTCAGTAAAGGCATTTAATAAAAATGGAAAACAGTAGGTATACTTGGCTTATGTGGGCCCTAAAACGAAAAGCTGTGCCTTCAACGAACAACAATATCCTTAAGAGCAACTTCCTTACAGGGAAATTCGCCCAAAACATCCTCATCCATCTCCATAATCTGATTTTATCACAAACATAACCTGGTTCCTTCTCAGAATCAGAAACGTGTGCGCACAAAACGCATAAATTCTTGATAATCGGTTTTATGTGACGACAAGACAATAACGTTATAAACAAGGGGGGAGGAAGAACAATAATTTTAATTTATGTGGATAACAGATCGTGATCGTGTTCCCTGTTGTAGAGGTTAGGTCAAGGTAGCCATTGTTGGTTTGTTAGCTTGGCTACGGTCAGCTGTGGTCAGTCAGTCCACGATGGCGAGTCGAGCTGTGCTGATCAGCTGTTTAGTTTCCCTCGCTGGCGCACAGTTTGTGCCGCCAGAAGCTATACTACAGGCTGGGTACCCTGCAGGTTTCCGTGCATTTATACCTGGTATGTTTGTGAATGTATAATATTTTGCACTCAGTTTTCAACCACTTGGAGATGTTTCTATTTGATGTGTGGGTGTTTTAATGTGCCTTTTTTAAAGAGTGTATAAACAGACCGAAAGACGATAATTATAAACAATGGGATACGATTTTTTTAATATTTAGAAATATTGAGATTTAAATTTGTGTTATTACTGGTAATCAAATTTATAATAAAAAGAATTCTTTGCAGTCAGTTTGGAATTGTAAATATTCTACAATTTATAAGCATATAAAAACAAAGGGATGCTGTACTTTTCTTACTGCTTAAAATAAGATAAAATAGATGACCTACTACATAAAATAATATTTTTGCACTATTGTGATGAACTCAAAATTTGACTGTAACTTAAACTGTTTACTTTTGAATTTGAAGGATCTTAACCGCCACTGAAGTTTTTGAGGAAACATGTAAATAAATTTGGAAAATGTAGAATACGGGGTAGACAACTAACATAAGCAATTCTCCTTGCAAAACCTGAATACAAAGCAAATTTCCAGTTGCCTTATTGAATTTTTAACCCTAACAAATACATTTATTCTTAGACCTACACAAATAATATGCCGCACATATAAATTTATTCTCAATGAGTATTTAGGTTTACTTCTACAAGGAATGCACAAAAGTGCATTTTTCATTATAATAAAAAAAAAAACGGAAAAATTAAAATTTGCTAATATTTATGAAAATCTATAAACTAGGAAATTAAGAAAGGTTGTAAGCCCAAACAGTTATGATAAACATAGAAATTTTTTAATTTTATTAGGGTTTTTATAATCAAATACATGAAATCTCTGGAATTTATTACAACTAAGATATTGTTGGCAACAATAATGTACACAGGTTCTACTGTAGAGACCCTATATTAACAGAGCCGTAAGTGTTCTGTGTTTATGTGCAATGATCAGATAATGTATATATATATATACTTACACCAGTATACATATATAAGTCGGAGGTTAAGGACTATTATATTACATGCTTTGCTCCGTTATACAATAATCAAACTGGTTAGCCTTGCAATACTTCCTGGATCAACACACCCACTACCCAGGGCTGCATTTAGGTTTTTAATGCTTGTCGGTATTTTTACCATTGATGCCCTTTCCTTGGCGTTTATTGTTATTTAAACATTTCCCCTAGCATTTTGCACCTTAAGGAGTACGATGTCTAAAGTGGGAAATTTGGTCCTAAAAATACATTCTCTCTGATTTAGGGTATACTTTTTACGGTTTTTGTTTGGTTATAAAATAATACTTTACTAGTTAACCGCCCGTGCTCCGCCACGGGAATATTGTCAGCAATAAAAGAAATAATAATTAACAAATACTGTTTATCTTTGTATTTTATTTAGGGGTTATTTAATTTTTTACATGAAATAGAACTGATAGTTTAAATGTATAAACTATTTTATGTTATTTAAACCGATATATTATTTTAACCAAATGAATGTTTTATATTAATTCGAGTTTCATTTGAAAAATAAATAGGCCTAGTATACGAACTGGGCAATGCTGATAACCTAATAAGCAGCTATTTATGCTATTTAGATAATTTGCTCAAGTATATTCCTATATTCGTCGTTTTTTTCATTACATTTGTTGTATGGAATAAAGATAGTCACTTAGCCTACATGTAAATCACGCATCAGCAGTTGGTCGCATTTCACGAATCTTTGACCCATACTGTGAGTAAAAGCTGTGTTTACGTCGTATATATAAAGTTGGGAATACTTCAATGTTAGAGGGTATTAACGGTCCAATTTGATGGAAAAGGAGTCGTGGATTTTAAAACTATGTAGACTACCACTACCAGAAATATGTTGATTCAAGTGCGACTTAGAATTGGCCATTTCAAATGCAGATTTGTATTATATTTTACTCAAATAGTTTTTTGTCTCTTTTGACCCTTAATACTTTTTTATAGTCGCTGTTGATAAGATTTTCCATAAACTCAAAATGTTGATAAGGAGTTCATTTTAGTGAGTCGGTGGCTCAGTCGGTAGCGTCGCGGACTTCGGGCCCAAGGCAGCGATGTCGTGGGTTCGGATCCTGGTCACTGCCGATAACACTTTATCAGTACAGTCCACCTTTGTACTGTACCGGCTCACTCCTTGCTTTGCTGTAAACGATCCACGCACGGGCGCTTAGTCTATGTGGACGGGCAAATGCAAGGTTAAAAGAGGCCGCCAACCTCTTTTTTTATAAAAAAATTTTACCTTCCCCTTGTGACAACACAAGGAAAAAATGTTTGTGTCCCAGTTAGTCTGTTCTGACTCAAAATTCATAGATTTGCAGTACTGACAAATCCAATCTAACGACCCCAATTCAAAAAAAAATTGTATTTTTTAGAAGGGACTTCCAGAGCACATTTAACACCATAACTGCTCTTTACCTTTTTAGTTCGATGGTTCTCTAGGCTACATGTTTTTTTTTCGTTCTGTATGTCTCTTTACGCCCGGTTGATGATTACCTTTTCTTTTTCTTTTTGTACTTTTCACATCCTGGGGTTAATGATGAAGTTTTATAACGCTATAATAACCCGAGTCATCATTGCCATTAAACATCAAGTCACATACTTCTTCGCCAGAACCGAAATCGTAAGTCACAGTTTCTCAAGCAACATACCTGTGTAGGCCTACTCGAAAAAATATAGTTAGGGTATAGTTCACTGATAAATTTTAGTTCCAAATATCCCAGCGTACTCCCCATCTCGAGAAGGTAATATTTGGACGTCGAACACTGATCTTGAGTAAGATTAATCAGTTACGATAAAATGTTTGTATGTTTCCCAATCATTAGCAATTATCTGTACAACTTGCAAGCGGATTTCCCTATGATTGTTCAGGTGGCTATAGAGAATAAATTATATTGATCAAAACAATAAGTTTCCGTCCCCTACTATGGGTATTATTTCACATTCCATACTCAAACTTAAACTCAATTACCACTTTCCTTCAGATAACTTTGCAGGAAAACTAAAACATTTTTGTGTGACAGTTAGTCTGTAGTTAGCTCTCAAGCAACTTCCCTGTGTACTTGAAAAAGAAATTCACTGATATATTGTAGTTCCACGTATCCCAGCGTTCTCGCCATCTCGAGAAGGTAAAGTTTGGTACCACTGAACGTCTAACACTGATCTTGAGTAAGATTCGTCACCTACGAACACAACTTGCAAGCGGATTTCCCCATGATTATTCTGGTGGCCGTAAAGAATAAATTATATTGATCAAAACAATAAGTTTCCATTCCCTACTATGGGTATTATTTCACATTCCATACCCAAACTTAAACTCAATTACCACTTTCCTTCAGATCACTTAGGAAAACTAAAACATTTCAAAAATAAGTTAACAAATACACTTTCCTTGATCAAAATCGTGTGTTTATAAACCGAAACTCCAAGTTTAATAATTGCATACTGAAAGTGAGGTTATGAAAATAATAACAAATGTCTGACAAACATTAATCAGCTGACGAATAATTTATAAACTATGTATTATATTCTTCAATAAGAATTGTATTGACTCGACCTTTAAAGGGCTGTAGGTCGTAGCCCTTAGAAAAAACGTAAATTCTAAGGAAGTTCGGCAAATCTACACACTATCCCCTTTAATTTGAAACATAAATCTTGTAGATCGGTCCAGTAATTACTGAGAAAACAGTGTTACAACTGCGTATTAAATATATAGATTTAAAGTCCCATCACCTCCATTATGTTTCAAACATTGAGAACTGTTAGAAAGTGTATTTACGATTTAAAAAAAGAGTAAATTATTTGGCTTCGTCTTATTTTACTTACATATAAAACACTATTTTAATTTTGTTTGTTCTTGTTTTTTCAATATAAATGATAATCCACTTTCAGCAAATCATTACAAACCTGTCAAATAAAAGAAAAAATATCCCGCCTGCAGACTACGCGAATTTCCATTTGACTGATTGGATTTACACTGAAATGTCTACTTAAAAATATAACATTTATTCTTGATTTAAATAGAATTAGTTTAACAAGTACTTAGGTTTGCTGCATCAGGGAGGGTAAAACTGTTTTTTTTTTGTAAAATGTGAATTGTTAGTAAGAAATAAAAACATTTTCCAAATTTTATCAAAATATGTTCACAAACAAGCAAACTACAACAGTTTACTTATTCTCCATAAGAATAACATGGGAATTTTAAATTTACAATTTTTTGGAATTTTCTCCGTAACCATTAGGCGCATAATAATATGTCGTTCGAATAAATGTACGTTTACACGTTTGTACCAAATTTCATCAAAATCGGATCATTTTTGCTCGAGTTATCGTGCTGACGGACACATATATATATATATATATGAATTTGAACGGATGGTGTTTTTGGCCTCTAGGGACCTCAAAACGAATAAAAATCGGTCCCGCGTCCAGGTCTTACCATGAGTACTACGGTAATAGCTTATTCCCTATATGGGAAATTCGCTAAAAAACACTCAACAATATTTAGATTAAGGTACATAAAAAAACTTGTACAGCAAATCTATGAAGCCAGTTATTTTTAAAGTAAAAAAAATGTGTTATATTGGTGAAACACTACTTTTTCATCTTACAATTGAACATATTATCCTTGCAAGTTTGCTAAGTGAATTGTAATGATAACATTAAAAAAATGTTTCATGGATAACACAATTTAATATATGCAGGTAACAATTCATTGCTATCATCTTGTTAACAATTAGTTATTAACTTATAACATTTAAATGTCCCAATCAGAAATTAACTTATGTTTTCTAGCATCAGGTTGGGGATATATACAGTGTAGTTAACAAGACCTTTAAGTTGTATAGTTTTAGATATACCTGGAGGTAGAATTTTTGCTAAACAAATTTCTATTAAAAGCCACTTAATGGCGAGGCTGTCATAAAATTAGTATAATGCAGTTTGGGCTCAAATATGTAATTTAATAAACATAGTTTGGGACAGATTTTTCACTAGTTTCAAAAAGCCACAGGCACGAAAAGACAAAACACAGAGAAAATAAATTCCTTCAGATCGGAAACATTTAATACTGTTGTCGCACAAAAGGCTGTCTAAAAAGTGGCTTGTTATTTAAGGACACCGGCCAGGTGGCAGGTTAGGCTAGGTCTACTTCTTATCTCAGTTTCGTTTGCATAATCAGAGCGACATGTGTCATATATAGCCTGGTCCTGTCTCTGGCAGGTCGCTGACTTGGGCAACATTCTTGGCTGCCAACAGACCAGTCTGGATACCTGAAAGTTATTGCTTGAGGAAATTCAAATAAATTAGAGAATTCAGTGTTTGCATATTTGTTTTACAATACTAATACAAATTTAGATTGACTTTTAGGGGTATGAAAAGTATAATACTTATTACAATCTACTAGGGCATAGGTATAGGAGCTAGGATTTTATTTTATGAGCAGAATTTTCAATTAAAATTACCTTTTAAAAAATTTTCATAGGAAGTTATTGGGAATAGCATTTTTGTTGGAATTTGACTCAAAATTAGGCCTATACTTTATTGTAAAAATTTTTAAAATTGTCAAATTGGGAAAAATATTAGTATTTCTTTTGTTTAGTGACTACAGGGAGGATAATAAGGTGTGTTTTTTAGTAAAATAATAATAGCCTAGTATAAAATAAATGAATTTGCCAGGTTTGGTCAAAATATATCCATAAGCACACTAGTCTAGTTTACTTATTCTCGGTTAACTGAATGGAACTATTGATTGCCCGCTCCCATCAATCAAGCTTTATTTTAGCTAGGGTCATTCTCAAAAGCCCAATGATCATGGACAACCAGGTTAAAGTTTATAAAACCATGAAAAAACCCTACTGACGTCTCAGGATCGAACCAATGACCTTTTGACTATGTGTAAAACCTCAGCTACCCTAGCTTAGATTAGCGCTAGACTGTCGGTAATTGAAACACTATTTTCGTTTCAGATTTCCCAGGATGTGAGATGTTTGCATTCCATGGTAAGTTGAACAGTCCGTTTGTGGCTGACGAGCCGGGAGATTTGTCCAATGAGATCCTGCGGCCCCAGGATGGCTTTTGGACATTCCAGGACCTCAACATAGTCCTGACCCCCGGAGACATCCTTCACTACTGGACTACCATAGTCAAGGACAAAATACCTTACCCCAGGAAAAACATGACTTGGAAAGTGCCAGGTAGGTAGGAACTAGAAACAGTTTGAAATTACAGTATAAAGCACGGGTTTGAAGGTAAATTCAAAGGTTTAAAAATAATGGAGTTAATTAATGATTTTATAATTTGGAAGCAAACTAGTTAAAAATATTAATGGTGGGAATGATTGGCTAAATGAGAAATATACAATGGAACATCCCACTCAATCGGATGGTTGCCAAACAAGACTAATTTGGTTATTTTATCCTGCTTCGGTAGAATTAGTGAATTAGTCTTTAAGAGCGATTTGGTGATTTGTTTATGAAACAATCTCTTGTAATGTAAAATAGTTTGAATAATGACACGGGTTTGAAATGCATGTAGCAGAAATATTATTGATATCCAACTTACTCGCTAAATACATACTGAATACATGTCTTTTATAACTAAGTTCATACATATAATTTCCTCTGAAAAAATTAATAAATATGTTTAGTAAATAATCATTAATAAATACATCTTATTGGATTGAATATCAATGGATTACATCTGAATCTATCTTGGCTTGCTAATTTTTAATATCTTAGCCAAGATTGTTCAAGGATGAAGTCTACAAACATTTTTATTTTATGATTAGATCCGGATGAGTCAGTGGACCTTTTGGCACCCATAACGCTAAAACCACCAAAGGCAAAGCCTACAAAGTCTCCGAAACCCGAAAGAATGAGAGAAACCGAGCCAACAACACCAGAAGACGAGCCCACAACGCCACCAACAGAAGAAACTGAACCAACTAGTGCAGAGCCTTCTGAGTCGCCCTCTACTTCAGCTAAAACAACTGAAGCAACAACAACACAGAAGCCAACTACAACAACAAAGAAACCCCCAACAACAACAACAAAGAAGCCAACCACTGAGAAACCCAAAACAAACAAACCTAAGAAGAGCACTCCGGTGCCGGTAGAGGCTCAAAGTGCAGAAGAGATTGAAGAATTGACAACTCCACCCTCGCCTTTTGACAAACCTATGGCAGGAGAGTTCCCTGAAGAACCCCCACTGTTCCCGTTCCCTTCCCTGTTTCCAAGGCCCTTTCCAAAACCAATGATGCCACCAATCGGACCTGGGTTTGAAATCTGCTCAAATCCGTGGAATTTTGAGGAAAGGCCTGGAGAATCGAGGGCTGAAAAACTTGAAAGACAGGTAATGGGATAACAAATTATTATAGTACAGTATACTTTTAAATTAATCTTATGGTTTTTGTGAATCCAATCATTGCTTTAAAATATCTCAAAGAGATAAAGACACACATTTGACTTTTAACCTTTAACTTTTGTTTAAGGGATGTAATAAGCTTCATATTATTATGTAAACTTAATAAAATAATATTAATAAGTAAAAAATAAAATAGTGTACAGTAGACTCCCACTTATCAGGACATCGATTTAACCGGACTACACTCAGCGAAAATGACATCTCTTAACCGGACAATTTTCATCAACACATCGGTTTAATCGGACTAGATCGACAGGAAGTGGACGGTACTGAAACGACTGTTTTCGAGGGAAAGATTTGAGACCAACAATCACGTGTTTAAATACAATACTCTCCTAAATTTAAGTCAAATATACAGTATGCATTTAAAAGTTCTGTTTTAACGAGTTTTTGGGAACGTCGATTTAACCGGAAAACCTGTAATCCGGACTGGCCTTGGTCCCGAGGAGTCCGGATAAGAGGGATTCCACTGTACGTAGACATGGGGCGAGTTTGTACAAAGTGATTCAAGAGTCAACATAGATCTGCACTCTTGGTGAAAACGCAAACATGCCTTCCTCTTTTTACTTGCTTAACACAATAGAGTCAATATTTCTCTTACAATCCATATTTTTATTCTACTTCTGTTTCTTCGTTCACTACAACCATCATTACTTTGAGACACCAACGCACATCTATGTGGGTATTTGAAGCTGAATATCAACACAAGGCAAGAGTGGAATGGAGTGTTTATTCTGTGTAGCTTTGAATAATGGATAAGATCAGCTGTTTCTTAATTTGCAACAATCAAGAACAGCTGAGTTCGGTTTCAAACCATCAAGCTACTGACTACTCTCAGTATTCAACTGACATAAATTGTCAGACATGCACTATAACCATTTAGTTATCCAGCAATATATCATCTTGTCGTCCTTCGTAGGCAAAACATTTACTCCTACCCACATTACATGATCCTTTTTGATATCACAGCCATTTCAAACTGCTGACACATTTTCAATTGACTTCTCATTTGGTTGAACGTGTAATTGCAAATCCAACTATTATTAGTATTTGGTTTTGTGTTGTTTATAATCCTTGACTATTCTCATCAAGCTATGCTGCTTGATGTAAATGTTTATGTGAAGTATAAATATTGAATTTCTGTTTCTAGGTGGCCAAACTGCAATGTGAACTTTCATTGTTTCAACGAGGTACCAACCAGCAAGCAAACCGAATTGAGAACGAACTGACAGATCTTAAGAAGCTCGTCTACGGAGCTGTGGCTAGAATGGCAAGACTAGAAAATCTGTTGCGCTCGGCTGCTTTTGGTTGATCATTGAAATTTAGTTGTTAACGTTATGAACTCTTGCAGGGTTATTGTTGTCAATAAACAACAAATTAAATAAGCTACACTGGTAAATTGTTAAGATCATGTAAACAATGTCTTGCATATTGCCCGGCAGATGTTTCAGTAGTTGAGTTTTTGTATAGGCCTAGTTGTCTAACTATTTAAAACTTTTTTGTATTGAACTGGAAAAATGTCAGTGTAGTACATATTGTATTTGCTGTATTTATTTAATTTATAAGATGAACAAATAAATGTTTTCCAACCATATTTTTACAAGTAAAACCATCTGTGGAGTAAAAACTTCAAAAGAGACCTATATCTCCTGTACTGTGTTTTGAACAAATATTTGAAACCTTTTCACAATATTATTAGGTTGCAGGTTGAGAGCATTTTTGGAAAATATTTTTTCAGTAATAAACATCAATCAAGTCCAAATGAAAGTTTTGAGTGTCGACATTAGTTGTCATTAATATTTGGTGAATTGAAATTTTAACTTCAAGTAGAAAATTTATCAAACCTAGCGTAACTCTCTATGTTTATCTGGAAAATTTCAATCAAAACATCAATAAATGAATCAATATTTTACAAAGAATTAAGATCCACCAACATAATTATTTTAAACCTGTAACACGTTGCTTGTACCAGGTCACACCACACCCCTTTGTATGAAGGACCTTGCGTCACCTTGTAGTGAATATGTTAAGTATTGATTCAGAAAAGGGTAAAAATAAACGTTTTTACTAAAACTACAAGAGTAGGTTTATTAAAAATACACAACAATAATAAAAATAATAACATCACGATATAAGGCTCCATAACAGTAAAATCCCTCAGAGGATGTATTACCATGTTACTTAAATTAAGGTAAATTTGTATCAATAACAATTAAGCGTTACAACCTGATTAACCCGAATAACTACACATTTGGAATGTAAAACAATGCAGAACAAAACGTACACATTGTATAACAGTTCACATTTTGTAGAATTATTTCTGATTTGATATAACAATAGAAAACATCACAAAATAATGCTGTACAAAGAGATGTATAAAATATAGGTAGAAAAAATGTAAATATTTTGGAAAAATAAATGTCAGGACTAGCTAAACAAAATCTTTCAACTTATTTTGTAAGATTATATTTCAAACTAAAATCTATTTACCCTTCAACATAAAAATGAGTACAGCTGAATCTGATAAATTTCATCATGATAAGTGACAGATAAAAAAATAGATGGTCTGATGATGTTTTCTGATACATTGTTACACACATAGCAGATTTTTTGGTAGGAACAAACTCTTTTATCAGAAAATATACTTAACAACTAATAGAGGGTTCTGAAAATATTATAAAAACACCTTAAGTACACTTCCCAACTGACCTAACCATCCGATACATGCATGAAAAAAATGGAACAACAGGGGATATTATATAAACATCAAAAATACCGAAATACACAAAGTTTTAAAAGAAGTTTCGCCCTAAATATTTGGATGTGCTAATATTTGGATAAAGCAATGGTTAAGGGTAAAAATGCCTTCTTAAAATTATATTCATTCAAGGTGCTGAAGTGTGCCTACAATTTAATATTTGAAAATAATAAACAACAATCATATATAACGGGGCATTGGTTTTTAACTGACAACATGGAACCAGTAATGCTGATCAAGCAATGCTTTGAGAATAATTTTTCTTTACCCTTCTGAGCACGTTTGGGCAAGTTTTAACAGAGATAATTTGCAATTGTTTAAATCTTGAGAACTAGATTTATAACTTTTAGGGAGTATAAGAAAAATTCTCTATTTCTTTTGTTTAAGTGCTATTTTTGCACCCTAACATTTTCAATAACCTGACACTGCTGAAGTACCGAACTTCTTGGTTTAGCAAGTGTTAACAATACAACTAGGGCTTAAACGAGTCTATAACAAAAAATCGACTAACTTTGTAAAGAATTTGACAGTTGAAAAAAGATTTTTGAAACTACTTACCTATCGCTGCGGTACACTGATTAGAAACAATTACTGTTAGAGTTGAGGCCAGTTAAGGAATGATACCAAAGGTTGTCATGAAGGAATGTGAGGAAAAATCAGGTACAAGTGAAGATCTTTTGATTCTTTGGCTCGTTAACTTTCCAGGGAACTGAAAAAAACCAATTCAGTGTTAGTTATGGGCCAAGATGCTTACAAAGAGTGTGGTTCCGTTTTACCAATAAACAGTAACAAGTTCATTGATATGAGTTTCACTTCACAGTTTTTCTTTATCTATGCTGTCCACGAGATAGAAATATGCCAGTGATATATATAAGGGTAGGGTACAATATGCAATAATTAGCCTCCTTGATAGGTAGTTTTAATAACCAAGAGATGGGAATAAAAAAAAAGAATTAATGAATTCATTCATTCATTAATTTAATGATTTTTAAAATGTCAACAATGGTGTTTCTGCTATCCATCCTTGACACGACCAATCTAGGTTAGATAATCGACTCTATTTACCCAAACAGTGGACATACCTGTATCAGTCGTCACCGTCCAGATAATACCCCAACTCCTCACTAGTGGCAGCCTTGAAAAACTCCGTTTTTGACTCTTCACTCTCACTGCTACTCCGACGGTCTTTGGTCTTCTCAACCATCTCAAGTTCTACGGAACAGGAAAGATAATTTTTTTTAAAGTGTTCACTCTCTTAATAGGCTATTAATTTAAGAGGGGTATAGAAAAGTTTACATGGCATCAGGACCCGGTTTGATAATAGAAGATCCATTACTTGTAGTGAATGATTGGTGATCAAACGCCTCATCGTTAGCTTAAATTACAAGCAATTTTGGTTAAACTGAAAACATTGACATAAAAAAAACCTAGATCTTGGGATTTTCCTTGGGAAAGTATTCAATTGAGTACATCGTCGTTTTTAATAAAAGAAAGGTTTCTGTGCATCACTAATTGGATGAGGAGTCATTTGATCATCTATCAATCAAAGTATAGGAAAAAATAAGTAAATTGTCAGTGAAGGTTAACAAGACAAGAGTGAATTAAAGCAATATAACAGACAAACACATTACACTATGAATCAAAGCAAATAAACAAAGGCTAGGTTTACGTGTGATTTTACACGTAGAATAGAAACTACAGTCTTAACAAGATTAAAAAGTATAGGGAGAACAGACAAAGAAGACATGAAAAAAGAAGAACCTTTCCCATCATAATAACAAAGGTGGTTTAGCATCGAATAAAGAAAAAAATATAACAAAATAAAAATCAAAATTGAATAAACAGATCAAGCACAATTAACCAACTTCACAAGTGTTAACTATTTTTTAGAGACAGGATTGTACGTTTGACAAGAACTAAAACTAAGTACCTAATGTACAAGACTTTCTTTTATTATCCTACACTAGTTCCCAAACATCCACAAAACATACGGATTTGGACCGTTAGCCGTAAAAGTGTTAATGCACAATGGCAAAAAAAAATATATATATGTTAAAGTAACAAGTTGCACAATGAGAAATAATTAAAGTATCTTAGATTAGGGGTTTTCTCTTACTGAATGTTGATGTTCGCTACTATAGTCAAAGCAAATAGAACTGGCGCGTTAAAGCAAGGCCCCACTAGAAAAACAGGCCATACTGCAGCGCGGGCAGCGCAATGCCAGTTCTATTTGATAATAGTTGAGCTAAACACATTATTTAGCAACTTTCCCCTGTGGAATTGCCTGGACCTTACCATATCAGAGAGGGTTTTAAGACCAAATTAAAATTTGAGTACTGTGAACAAACTGAAACCAAACTTAAGTGGTTTGTTGTACAATGGTTGTACCTTCAACATATCCTTGATTCCTTGATGCTGTTAATTCAGTGTTTCTTCTTCGATAAACTTTTTCTGAGAAAGATTTCTTGATGAAATCAATAAACATGAACTGACCTGGAACGAAATTTACATTGATGAATATAAAATATTTTTACAATAATTTAAGGTACATATTTAAAAGACTCGTCCCTTATGTTCAGTTCCTTTCTAAACAACTGGAAATATTTTACATTTTTGTAAGGTGATAATCTAAACCCTGGTTGTTTCTAATTCTAACCTTTTCTAACGCAGGTGATAAGAATTTTGGACACCTTAGGCTACAAAAAAGATAAAAATATTGATAAATTGTATGGTCTTAAGCTATTAAGTGATTTTCAAATAACCTAAACCTAAACCTCTTAAACATTAACATCTACCTCATGAAAGTGCAAAAAAATCACAGAAAGTAAATTATAAAAATATCAACTCTTAAATAAAATACTATCTTACCCTGCTCATTCTGGACATATAGATGATACCACGAGAGACTGAAAATGAAGGTAATTACAAAAAGATTCGACATGACTCCCAAAATGGCTGACAACAACGGCCAATGGAACATGAGATATCGTAGTCCACTAAGATGAGCTTGGATATGTATAGACGCTGAGTACAGCTCAATGAATCTTGATTGGATCTCTACGTAAATGTCTGTAACAGGATGACTCTGAAAAACACACAAACTGCATAACTTAAAAGAACATGGATAAAAAAACAATTCAAAGAATTATTCACCAACCCCCTGATTTGTAGTAGTTTTGACTATTCATAGAACAATACATTCCATTCCCATGTTGTTGCCAATTTTTTAATGAAAATACAATTTTGACATGGAAAAATAATAAAACATTTGTTATTTAAATTAATGAAAGGCTGGTACTCCAGCCCCATCTTCGAAATCTCTAAGGGTCCTCTACTTCTTCCTTGTCCTCCTTAGACACATGCTGCTGGCCCTTAACGTCGCACATATGGTTTTTACCCTTATCCAATTCATCACTAAACTGTAAGGTTTCTTCCATTTTTCTGTTACACGTTCTGCCATTGCTCTGAGCTGAGCAAGGTCTGAAACTCTTTGCCTAGCATTCCGTCCACAGACGTGAGTAGTGGGGTAAAAGAAGCATTTATCGTTTCTGTTATTGTTAAATATTTTCTCTTCTTCTCTCTTTCTGCATTCTCCAAAACTTTTTCGTATTAGAGTGTTTTGGTTCTCCTATTTTTGAATGAAAATTGAAGAAGTTGAATCAAGCCATTGATAGATTGCACGATAGTTACAGATTTTGGTAGAATTTGTCAACTTTTAACCGTGTCAAACTGATAGAAGCTAGGATATACCGTAGGTAGCATCTTTCATATCACATCAACTATTTCAGTAACAAAAAATGGTAGAAAAAAAGAGGTCTACTTCAGAATCCAAAGTCAATGATTGTAGGTTTGTTTTCATTAGAGATTTGATGTAGGCCTACAGTACAATATGTGAGATCTCGGTGATCCAGGGAAGGAGTTAAGTATCTGCTACCCCTCCCTCCTAATAGTTATGTCGTCCGAGGGCAGGACAGTAGAGAAAAAGGCATTGCCACTTCTACCCAATTCCAGCGATCTTCTTTATTCAACTAACCACTCTAATCTCCCTCTTTCATTTACACTTCTTTCTTAATAATATTCAACAAATTGTTCAGATATATTTAGTGTCAAATCAATGAAGAGTGTAAATTTAAACAAAAATCATAAAATATTAAACATTTAGATTACAAATATACATTGGAAAATGCAAAGTAAGCTTTTTTGGACCTTTTTCAGTTAATTCACTATCCCTATAAATTGTATGATACGAAGTCAAATTTAAATCTTGGTTACTGCCTACCCTAATACAACCTACAATAACTTAACCCTAAACAGTACCTATTTTGTTGATAATTATGCTAGTTCAACATAAAAAAATATTACCATATTATCAATTGAGATGGCAAGTGGATGCCACCTAGGTGTGTATTTTAACCCAAATATGAGTGAATGTTGAGTGTGTAATGAAGTAGACAGTTACAGTAGTGATATTAAATTGGAAAAAGTCCGCTTTTTGTTTGTTTTGGGTTTAAGGATTTAAAATTACTGTTCCACATTGAAAACATTCATCAATTAATTATTCACCTGGTGTTCCTCGAAATCTGAATAAAGTTCAATAGTAAGGAGTTGTTTTTCCTCCCTTGATCCAAATATCAGGAATGGTGAATTGGCGCAAACAAGAAGAAATTTGAGAAAAGGACTGCGATAGTGGATCATTGTGGATCTGCAAGAGTTTGAGACCAAGATTCCGTTTTGATCAACCATCCTTGTGCAGACCATGAACATTCCTATGAAACAAAGAATATTGTTGAAATAATTACAGAAAGAAATTTGGCTTCTAACTTTGTGTCATCGACTTTGAATAGGGTATTACAAAAGTAGACTTTTCACATCACTGATGCCTGTTTCAACAAGTCATTCTGTTGAGGTTTAAGGCCCAATTCACACCGAACGGACGTCGGGCGGAGACGTGGCACGGACGTGGCGAGGACATATGTCCGTTCCTCGCCTCCCCATGTAAACAAATTGGTCAATGCACACACAAGTGACGTGGCGCGGGCGGCCGCCCTCTCGCCACCGCCACGTCGCTTCGGCGTCCCTCGTGGCGTATCGGAAGTGGCATGTCCGTAGCGCGCCCGTTGTTCGGACTGCAAATATTGTACTATACTTACCAAACTTCTTGTGTATAGTGTGCTTGTACTTACCAACCTTGTTGTGTAGAGTTGTTTTTGTGTGTAGATTGTGAGTTGTTTCTTCAATATGTGAGACAACATTGAATTTAATATCAAATTTTGTGAGGAAGTAGAACAATTCCCTTGTTTGTACTAATTAAGTTGACATAAATTAACTAACACCATTGACATTAATATAAATAAGCAAAAACCAAAGCGTCTAGTCTACATACAGGTTGTCTCGCCACTGTACCGTCCCTTCACCGTCCCTTCGGTGTGCATTGAACACGCCACGTTACTGCCACGTCTGTGCCTCGTCCGTGCCACGTCTCCGCCCGACGTCCGTTCGGTGTGAATTGGGCCTTAGTGTGCTCTTTTAGACCAAATGCTTCTCTTTTACTTACAGTAGATCTTACCATTGTGATTACTCCTTTGGTTATACAGTAGAGCGTCAAAAATCCTAACCAATTGGGGCCGTAGGTACTGTACCTAGCTCTCTGTTTGGATTTTGAAACATAACTTAGAAATGCCTAATAGACACATAATTAAGCCTACAGTATTAAAAATACAGTTCTAGGATACAGTACCGGTACCTAAATGAAATAAAAACAATGGTTTTTGTACTTAGGTATTTTCTGTTCAATTCTGTAGGCTAATTCATTTCTTGAAAAATAATATGTAGAGTTTATACATTGGAAACGAACAAAACACTGACTGGCGAGGAATATTCACTCATTTCCCCACCGGACGCCGACTATTTGGCACGTGAAATTGTATAACATCTGTTGTCTCTGTGCTAATTCAATATTTTAAAACCCTCAGAAGCGGTTTGGATTTTTGACGTTATGATTTTTGATGTTCTACTGTACTACTAAAGGATATGCAATAGTTAGCAAATAAATTGCTATATTTAGTAAATATTAGTTAGGCTACGTATTAGTTATGATATTGATTAAAAATTCATTATTTTATCCTGAATCTTGTAAAAGAAACACTTAAAATTAAAAATATTAAGTATGCCCTATGCATTCACAGTTTCCTACAGTAAAAAATTTAATTTTCAATTTTGTGTACCGGTAGGTAGACTGTGGGAGCTTTCACTTCATAGTAAAATCTTTGATTTTACACTAAGCAAATAAAAACAATTCGTTTAAGTATTTATTTTGTTACTTATGATGTGCATTAACAGTAAGTTAATTGGATTTTGATTAATCTCTAAACTAAAAAAAAAACATTTATAAGTTAGTCATGGTTTTATCCAAAAGAACAAAAAAACGCTTAAGACCCCGAAAGAGAACAAATTTCATGGCTGAACACTTACTACCGTGTGTTAAAGATAGAGCATTGCACTAATTAAGAGTGATGATTAGGAATTATGGTAATTACAACCTCTGATAGCACTTATGTTTTTAGTTATTACTATGGTTAAAGGTTATCAGCTGTCTTATACAGCTGTATATTGATTAGGACTAAGGCCTAAATAAGAAACACTAATAATCAGCCTTTACAAATTGTATTGCTGTTTTATTAGAATTGTTTAGAAGACGTAAAACTGTGGCCCAATAAATGATGAAAATATACAAAGGTTGTCCGTAAGTTAAGGTTTCCGATAAGTTCTCGACACAACATAGCAAGCTAGCTCAAATCAAACACTAGTGTCGTGTTCTTTTAACACTATTATTCCAACTAGTTACCGATACTCACCCTTATGCGACAAAGGGTCTCGCTATATTATCCAAAAACCATTACAGTAGAGTCCCTCTTATCCGGACTCCTGGGGACCGAGGCCAGTCCGGATAACGGGTTTTCCGGTTAAACCGACGTCCTCAAAAACTTGTTATGTAACCCAAATAATTGACTTAAATTTAGGAGAGCATTGTATTTAGACACGTGATCACTGGTCTCAAATCTTTCCCACGAGAACAGTCGTTTCAGTACCGCCCACTTCCTGCCGATCTAGTCTGGTTAAACCAATGTGCTGATAAAAATTGTGCGGTTAAAGAGATGTCATTTCTGCCGGGTGTAGTCCGGCTAAACCGATGTCCGGTTAAAAGGTGTCCGGATAAGAGGAAGTCTACTGTATGAGGTTAGATTGATGATTACACCGATCAATTCATGGACAGCTGTCGCAACTATTACCATGATGTTAAATATTGATTGAAATAATTTTAGAGGGTAGAAACAATTATCGGACATAATTTATTAATAGCTCCATAATTATGATAGAATACTTGTCTAGCAAGTGTAACTGTCTGGTTAGTCATGACACCAACTTAAGTGGTTCACAGGAAACGTGTTAAGACATGTTTTATTCCTCATTGACTCATGTATCAAAGGTCTTACCTTCATTATTTAATGAACCATCTTCTACACTGACCCAGTTTGCGGATGATGTAACTGTTATGATAGAAATATAATAAGTTTAAGATATTTATAATTTACTGTGGGACTTGTAAGCAGCATAGTAAAAAAACTCTAGGCATGGCTTATGGTCATTATGAGGTAGCCTAAATAAGAACACAGCTAGTTTGATGCTAAATTAATATTTTTTAATTATTTGTTTTAACTCACAAAGCTTTGAGTAGGGGCCTGACGTTAAACAAGCCAATCAACTAAAAGTTGTTAAATATACCTTAAGGTAATTTGTTATGGAATTGAAGCTTAGTTAAAACCGTTATTTGTTTGTCAGGTAATTCATTTCCATAGAAAGATACATTTTACTAAGATCAGAACTACTAGGCTTCATCGTCTTTGAGGCCATTCCTTGTGCCACAAAAAGAATGGAAACAAGATAATCAAATGGAGACTGTCAAATCAGCCAGAGACATGAGACTGTCGTGCACATTTCACATTTTCTTTAAAGTATTTGACCACAGTTGATATGGTTTGACGCATTTGATACAGTTACCTACCAAAATTAGATTGTGCGTTCCTTCCCCATTTAAGAGAGAATAGCTTTTATATAAAATTGTTGTACAGATATTGCATTGATAAGTACCTAAATAGTAAGAGACAACATGTTTCTACATACCTAGCTCTACGTTTGCTGGGGATTCAGGCATTTCTAAGTTTAAGTGGACTTTATATCTTTGGCCTATCATGAGAAGTTGTTGCTTTTTGGTGAGTTGAACATGGGCTGCAGGAAAACTGCAAACTCCTTTTTCAGATTCACAAGATCTGGAAATTAACATAGAATAGAAAATAGGACAACTTAAAAAGTACTGTAAATTAGGAATAATGAAATAAATCAGCATTACTATTTTCCCTTTTGAATATCCTACATTATCTGATGCTACAAACCATTTCATCCGCTCAGTAACTTACTTGTCTTTATGAAAGTTTGAGTCCTGTGCAAATTAATAGCTTCTCCATAACGTTAAATGTTAGTTAACACACATTAATTTACTTATTTAGACATAAGTTAGCCTTTAATCCTTAAATGGTTAATTTAAAAACAAGATCCAAACAAAATATTTTAATTTTCTTTAAAGCTTATTCTGAAGTTCCCACTTGAAATAATTGACTTAGGCCAACAAAATAGTCTAAGTTACATGATGCAGGCATAGGGTAAGTTACTTATTGTTCGTTCCTACTTTATTTATACCCCCCCAGACTGGGGGTACTGGGGGGCGGCTTGGGCTATCCCTTCTCCAGAGCCCTCCAAACCTGGCTACGCCACTGAGAGAGATAAGTTAGATCAGGGCAGAGACTGACATCAGGGCCAGGGTTGCCACCCGTCCCGATTCTGGTTCCTTATGCCCGTATTTAAGCCTGTCTAAATCCAGGGGGGAGGGGGGCCATGTCCCGATTTTTCCTTGACTTTAGGTGGCAACCCTGATCAGGGCAGCCTACTGTATGAGTATATTTTAAGGTGTAGATGAGTGAACTTATGAAACTGCATTATGTGCATGAAGAAACATTATGCTACTCAGTGGCGTAGCGACTGTGGAGCGGTCGCTCCAGGGCGGAAGGCTCTAGGGGGCGGGACTTCTTCAAGAAAATAAAACTGTTATATTAAAATCCGATATACAGTAGGCCTACATTTAAATACGAAATTAAAGTAAGATTTTCTCTCAACATGTAAATATATATAAAAAAAACTAATACAGTAGAGTCCCACAAACTCGGCACTCGATAACCCGGCAGTCTGTATAACTCGGCCATCACCTGGCTCAGAAAATTCATAATTTTTAAAATTAAATAGGCCTTATGTATGTACAATATACATTTTTTATTTCCTAAGATACCAAGGATTTGTTGTACTACCTATATCTGATGATTTGATACTGACTTGAAATATAAATATTCAACATTCAACAGTTAAACCAGATGGAAACCATTTTGATAAACCATGTACAAAATGTATGTTTTGTGAATCATACAGCTTAATGAATTGAATGGTGACGTGTTGTGTGGCGAAAAATACAGTAGGCCTACATCTCACTAGCACAAAGTGTCTTCTGATGGCACAAAAGAGTTTGGTAATAATATATTGTGAAACAAAAGTTTAGTAGGCCTATGGTAGGTACAAGTTGTGTTTTAGGCACGTAGGCCTATTGAATACGTCATGATCATCTTAAAATAGGCCTACCTACCATTTTGGGTACACTTCCACATCTGTTGGCACAAACAATCGAATGATTAATATTGATTATTCGATTGTTTAATTCGATATATCGTTTGGTTCCCGGTAGTTAAACTTAGGTTAGGTTAACCTTACCAAACGATGTATCAAATAATCGATATATCGATCGATATTTTCATTCGGTTGTTTGTGCCAACAGATATGGAAATGTACCCACCATTGTTGTAACGGAAATTAATATGTGGTGGTGATACTCAATGTTTAAGGGTGGGGAGGGGGGCTCTTAAGCAACTCTGCTCCAGGGCGTTCCAAACCTGGCTATGCCACTGATGCTACTAAATACCCATGTTGGCTAGGCTCATTTAACTTACAATCTCAGCCAGATCGGGTTGCAAGTCGTTAAGCAGCTTGTTACTTAACTTAAAGTTAATAAATATAGAATATTAAGCAACTTACGAAAACTGAAAATGTACAGGTCTTGAATGTGAAAGAGATGGCATGTACAGGTAATAAAACACAATGTATAAAAAAATTGATGTCCATACTATTGATGCAACAACCAGTCCAAACATTCCTCCTTTGAAAGCACTTTCAAATAACAGTTCAATACTATCTATAGTCCTTCTTTTGTAATTTCCAACACGTCGAGAAATCATTCTCAAAAATCTCATTTTATATCTATGCAAAATAAACATTTCAGCAATATTAATTAATTACTTTCTCGTTATAGTAATATTACCCTAACAAAAACACGTAGTAATTCTCCTAAACTTAAATGATACAGTCTTTCGGAATCAGTCACAATAAACTTATGTTAACTTTATCTTGGCTTTGATTCTTTCTTGGTTTCTTGAACTTGGAAGTCAAGACAAGTACAAGATAATTTAGATGATGAGGTTAGCTTTTTGTTTTATCTCTATCTCTATCAGGTTTCTTCTTTTTCTTTTCTAGTTTGCTTTTATAAAAGCTGGCTTGGTTTATGTGTAGTTACCATGTAACAACACTATTTTACCTATACAATTTTCCCGGGCTTTTTAGAAGTGCAAGCTAGCATAATGCTAGTTAGGAAAATATTTTAGTTTTTCTAATAAATTGAGTTTCCCGAGATTCATTGCTTAAAGATAATGTGGTTAGATGTTTTAGAGTTTTAATATCTGGTCCCACGGCCACCTTTAACTACAGGCCGCGGGCCGCGGCCTTGTAGAATTGGCAACGTACGTCCCATAAGATAACATGGCAGACAGGTGACATCAGCTCATTAATTCGCACTTTATTGATTTTAATTTATGAACATACATCTATTATAATATTAAAAATAAAACATGCTGAATTTAAAACCGAAACAATATGAATTAAAATCTAATATCTGTACATTTTAAGCGGAGTCAATATTGTCATAGTACAGTAACCAATCTTTCGTAAATACACAAATAGTACAATAAAAATATATTTGACCCAAAAAAATAGCACAACCGGGAAATTTGGTGGAGATGTTGGGTGTACCTTCCTTTTGAACATACTAAAAGTCCCCTAAAATTGAAGCTGTGCTACGGCCACCATATTGGAAAATGGCGGCATATTTCTGTATTTTTCACTATAGTGACTTTATTATTAGAGATACAGGAAAAAGCTAAAAATACAAAATGTAGTCCATTTAAAAATACACATTTTTTGTATTTATCATCTTTCTCTAAACCCAACGGCTTTTGAGTTATTTGTGATTAAGTATATTTAGTTATTTCTATTTATAAAAAGTAGGTGAAACACGCAGAAATTGACCGTTACTTTCAAGGATTATGATAATTTATCCCATTTAGTTAAATAGTGTGATACTATAAAATCTTAAAATTTAAGCTTATTTTATGAGCAAAACACAACTCCGCCACAGCAAACCTGCAGACTCAGCAAATTTCCATTTGATTGGATGTTTTATTAAATGTATATAAATAAAATTAGGTTCAACAGGTACCTAGGTTTGCTGCTACAGGTAGGTTATTATAGTGTGTTTTTTTTAAAAGTAAAATATCAATAACATAGTATAAAATAACTAATTTTCCAAGTTTTATCATAATATATCTATAAACAAGCAAACTACAACAGTTAACTGACTCATAAGAGTACCATGGGAGTTTTAAATTTAAAATTTACAAATTTGAATATACAAATTTTGATTGTGTTTAATAAAAATATGGTGATTATTCGTCACGGTTAGAATATTAACCAAATGGCTTTTCAAAAGGAGATGGAGCCTGTTATTTAAGTAACATTAATTCGTACCAAGCACCGAAAATATTGTATGCAGTGAGGTAATCTACCATATTTTGTAAAGTATGCAATAGTCATTTTTATATATTATCCTCATTTTTTACCCATTTAATAGTTAACATTTTAGTATTTTGATGGCACCACTACACTATCTAACTATACTTGACATCCTATTGTAAATTTGGAAGGCTGTTTTTCGTGTATAGTTCATGTTGGTGACTAATTAAGTATGGTATAGTATAGTTTGAAAACTAAGTATAGTTAGTTTTATTTATCAAAAATCGGTGAAACCTATCGCAATCAACGGTTACTTTCAAGCTTTAAGACAATTATTCATCCCACTTAGTTGATATCAGAGTCAGGCCCGTTTTTGAACCTGTCAGCGCCCTAGGCACATCTAATAGTAGCGCCCCTTTGCAATATATTTTTTATTTATAGATATAGATATTTGAACCGTGAATTTTGTATTTCAACCTGGAGTTTTCAATTTTCCGTGATCGCGCATGAAAACAGTGACTTTCCGTGACCGCGGGAGACGATAATATGTCTACACACGGCCGCGAGGGATGATCAGAATTTCTGCAATCGCAGAAGACGATAATGGTATCTACAGAGCCGCAACGGATGTTCAGAATATTGCCACAATCACGGAAGATGATGATAATGTCCACACGACCGCGGGAAACCGCAAGAACTTTGCCGCGATCGCGGAAGACGATGATGATCTCCACAAAACTGCAGGACATGATTAAAATTTTGCCGCAATCGCGGGAGACGATTACCATGGATTCATGACTGCGGGATACGTACGATATCTACAGGACCGCGGGTGATACAATAGAGTAAAAATTTAAAAACGTACGTTTTCAGGAAAAGCACTTTGCAAATTTTTTCCCCCTTTTTTCAAAACTTTTATTATTTTTTTTATTTCATTAACATTTGAAGTTTCATAAAATGTCCATGGTAACGCAATATCGTTGGTAGTTTTCTTTTTAAAGAGCATCTTTAGTGGAAAAACACAAAATCCTGTCACGACCATAACGGACGTTTAAATGAATATTAAAAATAGTTAATATTATTTTTATAACTATGTTTTCCTATAAACTAATTTACTTTTATGACCATTATACAATAAAAAGGTCACTGGGCTTTTGGTTTATTTGGTCTTTCTAGAAAAAAATAAAAAAAACTCAAAAAATAGAAAAAAAGCCAATAAAATCTTTTTAAGTTTGTGTAACTCCGAAAAAACTTACCTGAGACCCGAAAAATCGTTATGTTTGTATAGAGGTGTGCTTCTTTTGTGTATAAAACATTGAAATATGACAATATTTTAATTTTTGAAATTTTTATGATAGAAATCATAAACGTGATGGTCAGGGACAAGCGGTACGGTCGTGAATTGTCTGGAATAATCTAAATCTTTCTAAACAATCCTTCAATTATACTGTTAGTTATAATAAAACTATGTGTTTCAATTGAACTAAACTGTTCAATTTACAATTATATTAAAGTTATTGTCACGACCAAACACACTATAATCCATAAGGCTGGATTGGTCGTGAAAAAACCCGCGATGGTCGTGAAACTTTGGTCGTGAAATTACGTGTTATTTGGCTCTGTTCTGGCGGTAGCCCTGCACCTCATGTTCGAGGATACAAAGTGGACTTCTAGGCTAATCTAGCAATTGAAATATCTTATAAACAAAAATTAACACCATGTCTACTTCATCGAATGACTACGTACGGTCATGGACACACCAAAATTACAAAAAACACAATCTTTCCTTTATTAATCTTGTAATTCCTCCTTTCAACTCGAAACGACCGGCACTACAATCCTGACGTACACCCCGAACTAGTCTCTAAAACCAACTGACTCCATCGACGCCAGGCTTGCCACTGTCGTGCTCCAAAGTTGAAAATTTTTCCCAAATGGTCGTGACGCCAAATCGAGGGACAGACTTATTTTGTCATGGTAGTCAGTTTGCAATGACAATAAAATTATAATATGCTCCTTTTTTGTAAGTTTAATAACCATTGATGACATAAAAATATGGCTTTATATATTTCGGCATGAATAATTAGTCTAAAAACAGCGTGAAAGTTGATAAATGTACCCTAGGGACACGTCATGGTCGTGAATTTCGAGACTTTAAAAATACGAAAAAAATACCTAGAACGTATTTAAAACCAAATAAATGTGTGTAACATGTTGCCCCCGTCCCAAAAAATATTAAAACACAGAATAATAAACTACAAATCCAGTATCTACGAAGTAAAAGGCCAGGGACATGAAAACGTACGTTTTTAAATTTTCACTCAATAACTATTTCTACACGGCCACGAGGGATGATCAGAATATTGCCGCGATCACGGAAGACGATGATAATGTCCACACGACCACGGGAAACAGCAAGAATTTTGCCGCGATCGTAGAAGACTATGATGATCTCCACACGACTGGAAGACATTATTAACATTTTACCGCAATCGCGGGAGACGATAACGATGTCTTCACAACTGCGGGAAACGATTACGATGTCTACAGAACCGCAGAATACAATAATGCCGCGATCGCTCAAGACGCTAATAATGTCCAAATGACCGCAGGAAAAGATAAGAATTTTGCCTCATTCGCCGAAGACGATTATCTCCATATGTCCGCGGGAGATGATTACCATTTTGCCACAATTGCGGGAGGCGATTACTATGTCCACACCACTGCGGGGGACGATAAGATGTCTCCACGGCCGCGAGGGGTGGTCAGAATTTGACCGGGATCGCGCAAGACGAGGATAATGTCCTCACGACCGCGGGAAAATATCAGAATTTTGCCTCATTTGCGGTAGACGATGATAATCTCCTCACGATCGTGGGATATGTTCATATATTGCCTCGATCATGGAAGACAATTTTATGTCCAAACGACCTGACTGCAGAAAAAAGTAAGAATCTTGCCGCAAACGCGGGAGACGATTACGATGCCTACACGGCCGCGAGGGGTTATCAGAAGTTTACCGCGATAGCATGCAAATACTACCACAATTTTTTTTAATTTCCAAATTTTTGGCGCCCCCAATAAAAGCCAATTGCCTCGCACCCTAGGCACGTGCCTACCGTGCCTATTCGGTAAATCGGCCCTGATCAGAGTGATAGTGGTAGTGCCATCAAAATATTAAAATGTTAATTTATTGAATGGGTAAAAATGAGTAGAAAATATTAAAACCCCTTCGGTTAGTATTCGAATCGGGACGAATAATCGCAATATTTTTAGTAAACACAACCAAAATTTGTATAATATTTTAATTTGTAAATTGCAAATCTTAAACTACCATTAGACATTCCATCCCCATGTTAAAGTTGTAGCCAGGTTTTTAATCAAATTTGTCCTAGTTGATGTGAGCCACCTACAGACTGCGCTGATCTAAATTACTGATTTCTGACGATTACACGATGGTTTTTACCATGTTAAATTGATGGAATGACTTATTATGAGCTATAGCAACTGTTGTGACCCAGCAACTATGTCAGTAACAAAAAATAAGGTACAAAATAGAGTTTTAGACACTAGCGCAATCTGTGACTAGCTCACACAACTACGTTCTTTTTTAGTAAAAAATTGGTGACAGCTGATCCATATAGATGGGATGTCATATGAATTAGTTAACTGTTGTAGTTTGTTTGTTTATAGATTTATTATGATCAAACTTGGAAAATTAGTTTTTTTATACTAAGTTATTGATATTTTACAAAAAAAAAAAAAAAAAAAAAAAAAAACACTATAATAACATACCTGTAACAGCAAACCTAGTTACCTGTTGAATCTAATTTTATTTAAATACAATTAATAAAACATCCAATCAAATGGAAATTTGCTGAGTCTGCAGGTTTGCTGTGGCGGAGTTGTTTTACTCATAAAATAAGCTTAAATTTTAAGATTTCATAGTATCACACCAGTTAATTAAATGGGATAAATTATCATAATCCTTGAAAGTAACAGTCAATTTCCATGTGTTTCACCTATTTTTGATAAATAGGAAAAAAAACTAAATATACTTAATCACAAATAACTCAAAAGCCGTTGGGTTTAGAGAAAGATGATAAATACAAAAAATGTTTATTTTTAAATGGACTACATTTTGTATATTTAGCTTTTTCCTGTATCTCTAATAATGAAGTCACTATAGCGAAAATATACAGAAATATGCCGCCATTTTCCAATATGGCGGCCGTAGCACAGCTTGAATTTTAGGGGACTTTTAGTATGTTCAAAAGGAAGGTACACCCAACATCTGTACCAAATTCCCCAGTTGTCCTAATTTTTTTTAGGTTTATGGAATTTTTCTCTTATTTTTACTGCACTAAAATACTATTAGCTGCTTCCAAACAAAACAGCTGTTACAACAACCACTTGCGACGTTGCCACATCGAAGGCCGCGACCTGTACAAAAAAAAGTTGGCTGTTTGAATTAAGAGGGAGAGAGTGGAAAAAGAAGAACAGTAAATTTAGGCTTCGTCAGCTGGTCAGCTCCACGCTCCAGCTCGCTGTGTCGACTGCTGAGGTGTCACCTCCACCTGTCATAGTCACATGATCATAGATAGACATAAATGATTTATTATTGTGTTGCGTTGCGTTGGGTTCGGATGAATAGTGTTGTCTAGCTTTAGCATAACATAACCTAAATTAAATACACCGAAATTTGAAAATTTAAAATCATATCAAAATATTCCTTTAAAAATTAATCTATTGAAGTACCGGTAGTGCGTGGAATTTGTGTTCTCAGGTACCTAACTTACTACCTACTGTAATTCTAACTTGAGTTTAGATTTTATGATTTGATTTGCTTTGACAAGTGTGTGTGCTAATCTTAAACCCTTTGAGCGATTTTCCATAGTATTTATACCAATTTGAATTGCTTATTTACTGATTAGGCTTATATAAGAACTCTTGAATAATACAAATTAAGTTTAGGGTGGACAATCATTTAAAAAGGATAAGTCTAAAACTTAGGTAGCCTACAAATATTAGTATTACTTGTCTGGTTAGCTGATTGGTTTTTACTTTAACACTAAACTTAGCCTTCAAATCCAATATGTCTGGTTCGGCCCAAGTGAGGTCGACTTCTTTAATGAATACTGGTACTTTAATACTTGAGTGCTTTATCTCCGATCAGAGTCCCGGCCAATAGTAGCTTATGTAGGCCTTATGTAAGCTATCTATGTTTTTTGGACTAGCGGGGCGAGTTAGAAAAGTGCACGTCATTTTAACTCTTTGAGCTCATAGGCCTATTTACAAGTAGGTTAAGAATAAGTGTTATTTGAACTGAGAGTTTAAACTTGGTAATTTTTAAGTTTTTGACATTGTCACGGGTTTCAATGCTTTCATTGAAGAGTTTCAATGCTGCCACCATGAGTCATGACTCTGTTTGATTAACTTGTTTATTTATTCATTGCTAAGTTACGGTCAAACAACCAATACCTAAACATATGACAAAACGTAATACATAGGCCTAATCAGTTCAGAAAAAGATCAGTTTTAAGAAAGCATTAAGCATCCAACTTGAAAGCAAATACCTATATGATAGATAGAAAAATAATAAAAAAAACACAACAATTTAAAAATATAACAAGATAAAAATATAACATTAGGCTATAAAAAGGAAATAAATAAGTGAACACCATACCTGACAGACAGTTTCAAACCTTTGATTTATGGTGTCTCCTGTTTGAAGAGACGTCCTTTAAGACCATTTTGCACAGATAAGAGCCAGCATTTTAGCAGAGATTTCAGCAATTCTTAAGTACTATTTATTTTTGCAAACCATCTTGTTTAGATACGTATTGTTTAATGGCATTTGCCGTAGGAATAAATAAATAAATAAATGACTCAATGTTCTACTGCACTAATAATGAGGTTAACCCACACTTTTATGTGGTTAACTGAAAGCTCCAGTGTAGTAGCCCTACCTACTAAATGTTAACATTGTTGCACCATTTTGATTTAGTTTACTATTTTTATGATATAGCCTATATAGATTTTTTATTTGCTTCAGGGTTTGCTTTGAATGGCGTATATAAAAAGTATTGAACAAGCTGAATTATATTCCAAATTCCGACCGAAGCCTCCTGAAGAATTGATTGAACAAATCTTATTGTTTCTTAAGGAAGGGGTAAGTCTCATTTTTCCTCTACTTTTCAATATTAAATATAACTTAATATTTTCTAACTATACTATACAAATGCTCCATAGCTTGGATGTAGGAGCTAGATCTAGCATGTACGTGGTTAATGTACCCAATTTCACTGGGAGCAACCACAAACAACTAGCTTAAATATTGCATTGCTTTATCGTTTCATGGGACCTCCTCAATGGTTTATAGAACAAGGCAATAGATAAAAATTATCAATCAATTGCGAGTTTTACATAAAGGAAAGATGAAGTATTTTAAAATACAGCAAGCATTTTCTATCACATTTGAACTACTTAGTAACACAAATTATTTAATACACTCTGGAAGCATTCTATGAATTCATATAAAATGGAATAGGTACTTACTATTTCCTGAAAACGCAGAATTTCTCACCTTTTATTACAAACAGAGAATATTAATGACCAGTGGAATTATTACTAAGCTTACAATTTCATAGGAAGAATGCCCTTTACACCAAGCCTTGGATGTAGGCTGTGGTTCAGGACAAAGTACAGAAGTCTTGTCTTCCTACTTCACAAAAGTTATCGGCATTGATAACAGCAGGGAGCAAATTGAACAAGCGCAGCTTAAGAAGAAAAGTGAAAACGTAATTTACAGGTAAGATTCACTGATTTTACTTAATATTAAAATGAAAACCATGAAAACCATTACTACCAATGAACAAGTTAAAGCCATTTTGACTCCTTAAAGGCCTGAAGATGGTGCAATCTAAGGGCCAAAACTAGTTACCAGTTACCACTACAGCTACAACATATTACTTTATCCATAAATATTAAAATACCATTTAACAAATACAAATTCAATAATTTTAGAATGTCCGAGTTATCTGGGATAAAAAACAAGAGACTGTATTTCAAGATACCATGGGACAAGTGTCTGTATGGCTGTCCTGAATAACATGATAGTAAATACAGAAAAAAAAATTACATAAGAAGTCACACTTGCTCCGATTGGGACTGATGATGACTGGTCAAAATTGGTCACCATTGTAACATCTTATGTAATTGTAATTTTAATTTTATTTGCAATCTTGTGATTGTTTGCAGTATAAATAGCATTTACACAATGTTGGAACACATATTTTAAAACCCGAGTCAAGAAGTTATCAGATTGTTCATAAGTCTACAGTTTGCCAATGGCCATAGGTAAAGGGCTCTAGGAAAAATCGGTTTGATTTTGTTTTTAATGGAAGAGCAGAATTACCTGTATGGTGGACAAGTCTTATCTGTAGGAAACAAATTTATTTGTTTTACCAAATATAACACTCACCTGCTTTATTATATAAAGGGTAAATTCATCAATATTTCTTCTACATGTTACCAATCATCCAGTTACTTTTTTATTGTTTTGTAACTTTAACAATTATAACAATATTGATCAAAACAATCGTGATTGGTTTTCAGAGTAGGGTCGGCAGAGCAGCTCGGAGAAGGCGATGGCAGCGTAGACCTAGTCACTGTAGGCATGGCCGTACATTGGTTCCAGCTGGACGAGTTCTGGGCCGAGGTGGGGCGAGTGTTGCGGCCGGGTGGTGTCTTGGCCATTTACGGCTACAATCTCCCTCGGCCCTCGGTGGGCGAAATGTCTCTGGCAGATATTGTACAAGATGTGAGTAACTTTTAGAACACAGCTGACAGTAGACGGAGTCAAAAACCCAAAAGTAAAGAATTTGAACGTTTGTTGTCAACTTTGGTAATTTGAAATCAAATGCTTCAAATTTTGTTCCAGTAAGCTGTCATTTTAGTAGAGCATTCTTGCTCAGAGTTTTGGTTCTGTCATTTAACTATCCAAAAACTTTGAATTTTGATTTTCAATTAAATATTTATTATCAGAAAATATTTTTTTAATTAAATTAAGACAAGAATAGTGGTTAAATACGTTGTTTATTTAAATTACAACCTACTTGGGGGTTTATAAACCAAAAAGAATTATGACAGAGTCCTTCCTTTTTCCTGACAGGGTACAGCCCTTGAATGAACCATTGAAGGAAACCGGCATTTGCCTAGGTGAGAAAAGAAACCTTACAAACTTACCTCGGAATGGCCAGCCTGATAGTCAGACCTCCCGAATGTGAAATGGTACGATGCTACTTCTCTCGGTCAGATAAATACTATTCATAGATACCTAATACTAGATATATGAGATAATAAATACTAGACTACTAAACACTATAATACTTAATCCTATAATTCCCTCCTTATTCTTGTCACTTCTCACTGCTCTGCAGACCTTAATGTTGGTTCTTGGGCTTCCATCAGCTCACGCTGTTGAGATATATTTTCCATTTATTTCTCTCATTGTTCTCAGATTTTTAGATTTTAGTTTAGCTATTTCGATTTCTGTCGGTTCCTCTGGTTTCCCAAAATTTTTTTAAACATTGGCTGTTTTTTCAAGCAATATAATTTGCATGCAATTTAATCCTTTTTGATTTGATGCAGTATACAGTCAATTATAACAGAACCCTTTGTTATTCCACAAACTCTACGTATAACTGTAGACTCAAATATGTTTGTTTAGTTGTCCTTTCCAAAGACCCAACCGAACAATCGTGAAGAATTCACAAATTGCAAACATGCATTGACTGTCAAGCATTTTTCTGGATTTTATATTCTCCAGTTCAGTATAAACATGTATTCACTGTTCCAAATTCTTTAGTGAACAATGGAATTAATAAAGTAAATTGTTTCTATGGAAACAGATTTGTTTCAATGAGAGAAATTGTTTCAAAGAAGTTTAAATTTTAAAACATGATAAAATAAAAATACTAAATAGGCTTCTACAATTTTATGTCTTTTAGTGCTGTTTGAATTGAAAATGAATTAAATTGGCATTTGCAAAAATGTTCTACTTCCTACCAGATGGTTGCTTAGACCTTGTGTTTGTGCTTTGAAAGCAATCACAACACAATTTCAAAAAAGCTATGAACACTTAAACAGAATGATTAAGAAAAATTTGCCATATTGATATTAATTTTGATGTTGATGAAACAGACAGGCTGAGATCAGATTTACAATCGGTGATGGAGGTTTTTTTTTGTGGAGGGAGGAAGAGCTTCGGCAGAGCTCTTACCTCTGTATCCCACAAACAGTTATTAACGACCTTGACCCTGAACTGAGAGAGTCCGCTATTCACCGACGATCATGATCTAATTTCCTGGACAATAAAGGCTAGGGCAGAACTAATTGACCTTAATTATACCTTAATTAAACCTTGACGTGACAAAAATTACACTTGTTCCTTGTGTAATTTAAGTGAACACAAAACAATTTGCCATTTTGTTTCAGTTTGTCCTATTCTAAGACAAATAAGTTAAAATTGAATACTTAAATAGGGGGAATTAGCGTGTCCTGGAGGAATATTTAAAAAGAGCACGGCATTATAGGTGGAGTTTTATTAAAGAATATAATAACTAAATCAATACACTTATAGAAATAAGAAATACCGCCGTTATTTGTTCTTTTAAAGCTAATCTTTTCTTTTTACTCTAATTTTTCTATTCTGATGGCCTTTAAGCATCTTTTATTTCTGTGTAAATCAATATTAATAGAAAAATGTAATTTTTTTATTTTTATTTTACAAATTGTTAAAGACAGATTAATTTAGTGAAGTAAATGTAAGTGCCAACCGAACAGATGGCTATTTTAACCATTGTTCTAAAGTGTGATTTTTGCAGTGAATGTGTATATAGTAGAACCCCTCATATCCGGTCACCACGGGACCAAGCCCCTGGCCGGATAACGATTTGGCCGGATAAACCAACCTACTATGAAAATGACAATTCATACCTAAATAATAATAGGTAATCAATATATGCAATCAAAAGTATAATTTAATTCTGTTCTGGGATAATTTTTAGAAAAATAAACATGTTTGTAAAAAGAAAAAGAAAATATTTGTAGGTTAAAGTCATTAAGTAATAAATGTACAAATATTGTGATTTCAGGTAGCAAAACCTATTAAATGGAGGTAAAAATGACAATAAATTGTATTTTAAGATCATGAGGACTTAAATGGTACATGCATTTCTACTCAACATTCTTATCCATTTTGTGAAATACAAAAATTAATGTACTGTACTGTACTAACCCCACTTTGGAAATAATCAACCAACTGATCAGAGGTTAGGCCTACTAGCTCAACTGAGTATAGTGACTCAGCAAATAAATGTATATACAAACAGATAAGTAAAGAGAACAATTTATTTTATGACTTGAGCAGTCACAAAGACTAGTGCTTGCATCTAAACGTCTGTAAGCTGTGAGAAAAACATTTTGATATTGGCTTCCTGGAAGGGACCGGATAAACAGAGGACCGGTAAAACCAAGGCCGGATATGAGGGGTTCTACTGTAACTGAGTTAGTAAATAAAGTACTTATTTAATTTAATTTAATTCATTAATTTCTTAAACAGAATTTGGGAACCCAAATTTAGTTCCTTCATAAGTTTAAAAAGATGCAACCTTTACCCTGTGGATGTGAGAATTTGTTGGTCAAAATCAAAATCATTCAATGTAAAGTCATCTCACAAAAGTGTGGAAAGAATCAAGTTTGTTTATCAGTGCATTAATATATTATGTGATATCCATTTCATCATCCTTTAATATCATTATGTTTAATTTAATGTACAGTATAATTCAAATTATCCGATGGCCAACTATCTGAATCTCCGGTTACCCTAATTACTCACGGGTTGGTGAGTCGGTGGCTCAGTTGGTAGCGTCACGGACTTGGGGCAAAAGGCAGCAATGTCGTGGGTTCGGATCCTTGTCATTGCTGAACAATTTATCAGTACACTTCACCTTTGTACTGTACCGGCTCACCCCTTGCTTTGTTGGATAGGTTCCACGCACGGGCAGTTAGTCTATGTGGACGGGCAAATGCAAGGTTAAAAGAGGCCCTTAAAGAAATAATAAAAAAACTTTAAAAAACCAAAATAATAAGAATCATTATTATAGAAAGTAGAAGCCATGATCGGGGCAAAATCAAAACATCTCTCACAGCCATGTTGACATCATTATCGTCTCCTGTGGATATGGAAACATCGTCATCACACTTTGCCATCAGGGTAAAATCTTCCACGTCTTTCGGGGTCTTGTGAACATCATCATAATCTTTCGTGATCGCGGACAAATGTTAAACATATCCTATGGTCAGGTAGCTATCGTCATTGTTACCCGCGGGCCACAGAAACATCGTCACCGTTTTCTGCGATTACGGCCATGTCATGAATATTTCCCTATCAGTAAAACAACAGATTTGATTCTAAATATTGGTTACATGTGTGTTATTTCAACCTTATTAGTTCTCCTTTTAAAATACTCTTTTTCTAGATGATTCAAGACACACTTGGAAAATATGTTCCGGAAGGAAGCAAACTAGCTTATTTTGAAGGTTACAGAGGTTTTCAGTTCTCAAAAGTGCCATTCTCTAGTCAGCCTCCTTTAAGGTGAGAAATACTCATTTATAAATTAATTTTATTTAGTGTTAAGTTTCAATAATAAGTCTTTATACTATATTGTCTCAAATCTGCCTTAGACTGGTATATGGGATGACATTTAGGACTCTTAATTACCATTATAACATCTTATTCAATTTAATAGAATCGTCACAGCAATTGACCATAAACATAAAACATTTTCGTCAACAAAAGACCTCAGAAATCTTTTTTAATCCATCAGCATATTTCAGAACTGTAAGTTTTAACACATTTTAAAATATTTCTAGTGGCAGAAACGTTTCTTAGCTTAAATAAAACGTATAGAAACTGTGTCATTGAGGAAGCTTTCTCTCAAACAATTCATTGTTTTGGTTGGTGTTTCCACAGTATTTGCCTACTTAAGTAGCTCAATCAATATAGTCATAGACTAAACAACACAAGTAGACTTCTCATCCAATTGTAAATTTTGAAGTTTGTTTTTTGTGTCTAGTTCATGTCCGGTGACACTGATTGCTAGTGTTGACGAAATTTTGTTTATATTATTCTAGAGTTAATTTCATGATTTTTGTTTTACTGTTTGGTTATATAACTAGAGACGAGGAATTGTTTATGATTAGATTGTTTTATTTGGTCAAACGAGGTTTTAATTGGCTAAAATAATAAGAAACAAATTATAAACAAAACACAACCTCTACAGTGCACCGGACATAACTAACAATAAACTTATTAGCTTCAGCTGTTTTATAAGGATGAGAAATCTACAAAGGGAGTGTATGTTTTATCTGCGATATTGTCTTGTATAGTTATGAATTCAGTCAAGTTTTTCTACTAACAAACTGGATGACAAGTTTTTAAAAGTTCATGTTACAGTTGTACACTTAAAAATGTTTTCTTTCCTCGCTTTGATTAGATTACTAGTCTTGATTGTGATGTCAAAATCTATTTAACATTATGAAGTGTTCTAATCTCCATTGTTATAATATGTCATCTGATGAAGTTGCTCTTTAAGTTAATACTAATTGATAACTAATATAATGGTACAATTTACCTCATCCAGTAATCTAAGTTGGTTGTTAGCTTCACTTTACCTACATGTTTCACTGTTAATACGTAATTGTAAGGATAACCAAAACATTGACTTGTCTAGTGCACACAAATAACCAGAACATTGACCTATCCAGCACATACAACTAACCATTCGAACATACATAAAACATTTAACACATATCACGTGACAAGAACGTTCACAGCGCAAGTAGGTGTAAAGGCATTTTTGTCCCTAACAATGCTGTAATGGTAAAACATGTAAGCAAAGTGATGTAAATTTTGATTACATGAGGTAAATTAGGCACCATCATTGCAGTACCTAATCCCTGAGAAGCCCTCAATTTGACTTGTGTCAAAGGATAAAACAAAATTCAAACTACCCTCATGTTTAATACCATTCCTTGAAATTTCTATACATATTTTGCTTGAAATTCACTTGTATTTAACAACAGTTGGTCATAAAACGTTGCTAAATTCAAGTGAGTTTTAAGCAAAATATGTATAGTAATTTCAGAGAATGGTATTAAACATTTGTCATTTTTAACGTTTGTTGTAAGGGAAAAACCCCCTGTTCTCAATACTATGTTATATCGACAACGTTTAAAAAGACAAAGGCGAAGGTATAAAAAATATTTTTACACATGCATGATACAAAATATAATTCCTTATTATACAGGGTGTCCAAAAAGTCTCAGGACGGTTAAACATTTTTTGAAATATTTAAAAAGAGCTACAAAAATTTGCACAAAGTTACTGGACATAAAAATCTATTCTATCACATATGCAGTGTACCACTACTTCTTCAGATATACAGCCTGCTAGGAGTCAGAAGAAAATCTTAAATGGAATCACAGGTTGATATGCATATCAAATTAAAGGGCTTTATTAGTAGAATACAATGCCGCAAATTTGAGTTCAAAAGAACATTAAACATGGCAGCCGTTCAAAGATTAAAGAAATCTTTTAACAGCTGCCATTTTTGACTCAGTTGTCTGTTTGGAGTTCAAAAATTTTTAAAACCGACCCGGGACTTTTTGGAGACCCTGTACAGCTTTTACAACAATCAATTTGTTACAGACTTGAATTCCCATCTACCATCAGAAACGCTTCAGTTGAAGAGTTGATTGGGTACATTTCTACCATGTCTGGGTATCAAAACTATGTGATGGAAAACGGCAAGGAGAAAGCCCTTGTTTTGCTGTCTGATTTTAAACATCGGTGAGTGAATTACTGTAATTTTCTTTAACTTTTATTGGGGGTTGTTTTACAAAATGGTAAAGTATAAGCATTTATGGAACCAAAAACTGGCTGTAAAATAATTCAGAATGCTATCTTTATAAAATGAAGTAACACAATAAATTAAAAGCATAGTTAAATCGCTAAACAATCTCTTGTGTACGAAGGACGATTGGCAGTCAATCAAAACCTGACAATGTCACAGGGATATTTCTTACTACAATGAATTATTCATTTGGTTATCAATACTGTTTGAGGCAGACCACCTGTACACATACTTTTATGGGAGTATGTTTTCACCTAGAAACCCAAAATACAATTTTTCGCTCCTAAATCACATACGAAGAATCCATTTACAACAATACTTAGAACATGACCCAAGCACAGGGTGTTCCAGGAATGAAGGTCACGGGTTCGAATCTGGAAATTTACTTGCTTAGAGCAACATTTTGGTGGAATCAAACTCAATTATCTCAATTTGTTTCAAGATGGCGGCCATTTTTGTGAACTTTTCAACATTACAAAAAAATAAAATGTTGGTAAAAAATGATAATTTTGAAAATTATTACATGTGACACATCATTATAAAGCTGTGTTTAAAAGGCTTAAAAATTTTCAATTGGAATGGAAAAATGTTTAGTGGTTTCGAAAATACAGATTATTACGTCGGGAAAAATCACAAAAATGGTCGCCATTTTGAAACAAATTGAGATAAATGAATTCTGTTCTCACCAAAAAGTTGCTCTAAGCAAGACCTTTCTAAAAAAGTACAATGAAATGAAATATGGGTTGATTGTAAGGAAACTTCGAGATTCGGACCCGTGACCCTCATTTCTAGAGCACCCTGTGCTTGGATCATGTTTTAAGTATTTTAAATGAATATCTCCATATGTGATTTTGGGAGGAATAATTTTATTTCATATTTCTAGGTGAAAACGTGCTCCCGTAAAAGTATGTGTACGCTGCCTCACCCTGTATAATGTTACTATTTTCTAATAACATGTGGACTGCAGATGGTGGCAAAGACTTAAGTATTGCTGCCCCCTTACAAAATTGTTTAATGTTACAGATTAAAAGAGAAAAATGTGTATATACGGAGGCTTTTATGACATAGGTTATTTCATAAAATCATTTATTTTCAGGATTGCAGAACGTCTTGGAAAGCAGACTGATCTGGACAAAGTTGACCTCAGTATTACATTCCCATATTTTTTGCTGTTGAACCGTAAAGATATTTAGTACTATATAAGCTTGCATACATTCACCAGCTTGGCAGCAAATCATTCTAGTCTACTGGAGTGCCATGTTATATTTTATAATATTTTATATTGAATATATTTTATGAGAATAATAAACTGATATTATATTTTAAAAGAATACATTTTATTACACTCTCCTTTCTATTATGACATAAGTGTGTGTTTTGGTACTAGTTTAAATCTATTGCCGGTTATCTATGTTCAAAAAGTTTCTATCAAGTGAACTCTAACTAAATTTTGACATTTTTGAGTTAAGCTTAAAACATGAAAAACCCTACAAAAGCAACTAAATTAAAACAAGCTAAAAGAACTCAATAAGACGAAAGATGTGTCCTCATTTTTATAGCTAATTTATTTATATTTATTATTTGTTAAAGGCTGTATGTTGTCTTAGTATTATATAAGAACTATGCACTAAGCAACTTGGACTGTTGAATCTTAGTGCACTGAAAATAGCAGACTAACTAAGAGTGAGGGGTGAGGGTTGAGCAGTGCAGCCACCACACACAAAATTAAATATTCCTAAATTATCCTACTGAGTTTGTTCTCATATATGACAGTCTTCTCTCATATCTTACAGGAATTCAATATAGAAAATGTGACATATCACTTGACACTAAGGGTAGTTTGCATTTTGATATGATAAGCCTTTTAATGCTAACAAAATAGTTTAATCTGTACAAACCCTCCTCTTCTCCTCCCCAATGGTCAACTCCATTTGCAAAAATTATATAAATCAATTTGTATGAAAAACTTATCTTTGAAGGACACATAAAAATAATCTCTGGTGGATTCAAGTACAAGTTTACTGTACATTTAATCAATCAAGAATTGCATTCTGTAACTTTTTTTACCACACAGATGTTTTCATGTCAATAAAAACAAACTAACCCTCAATTTTCAAATAACCTTAAAAACTACCTAACACTTTCATAACCACACAAATGACAATATTACGCTTTAAAATTGATTTGTGAGGAGGTATAAATGCCAGGAATAATGTTTGTTGGAATAAGTCACTCTAATTACTAGAATAATCTCAGTATAAACTAAATACAATCTCTCCTGTGAACTTAAAATGCTTCTATATCCACCACAAGTGATGAATGCCAAGACAAGATATGACAAATATTACCCACTTCATTGACTTTCACGAGAAGAGGACATTAATGACCGAATCATATTTTGGTAAGTACTTACATTCCAATTTTAATACAGTGTTTTTTTCTTATAATACCTTGTCTTTAATTTTAGATTCTAAATTTGCAACCACTTATTCCCATGCACAACTAAGTATGTTAATTTAACTAATTATACATTTTGATTAGATTTTATAGTTGATTTTTTTATAATTAGTTATTAATTACTTCGGATACCCTAAATAATTTGAAGACAGATAACTAACCATCAAACATCACTTAAAGTTAACCTAAGTTACCTAATGTAGAGTCAGGCCTAGTTACAGAGTTAAATCTAAAAAAGTCACCATGAAGAAAAATTGGGAAAGCTAAGCTAATGGAGCTACCTGACTTCTTTACCAGGGGTCTAAATTTTAAAGAGTACACCATTTAATCAATTTTTTTTTAATTCAGCAAACATTCTCAAACGATTTTAAAAATCTGTTATAACCTTTTTTCAACTATTTTCATTGGAATTAAATTGTCACTCAATTTTTTGATTATTGTCTAAACTGTCCTTGTGACTTTTTTGTGACTGATTTGCTTTGGATGCCATACACTAATAAACTACAGTAATAATATAATTAGTTAATTAAAAATATATGCTTTAAAAATTTAAATTTCAGAGCTTATCCAGATCTGTTCGCTCCCCCCGACGCTAGTCAAGGTCCTGCAGGTTTGTGCGTTGGTATTGACGGGATGGCTTGCATGTGTGGGTTTGGCGATGCTGATGATGCCCTACATTCCTCTAACGCCTCGCAAACCAAACAAGGACATCTTCTTTGCAGCTTGCCAAGAGAAAATAAGGTAAACAGCTTTGAGTTGAACATTTCAAATACAGGAACTCAATATTTAATATTTTTTAAACTCAGTGCTAGCGTCTTAGGTTGAAGCAAGACGTTGCTAGTTTGAATCCGGTTGCAACTGCAATATCGTCTCACTAGGGTCATTGCTGGTTTGCTTATAAGAGTTAAGCATCAATGATACTTCACTGGGGTGATTCCAAACCGACAGGTGTTGTCCATATCAAAAGAAGCCCAAACAGGAACTCTTTGGAACGATTTGGCCAAGCTGGTCGGCTTTGCCGTACAAGTAGTCATAAGTAAGAAGTCATAAGTAGGTAGTCATAAGTTGACATTTATTAAATCAAAGGTTGATTTTTGTAAATTTTACGCAATTTCACTGGTTTTTTTTATCCAACGTGAACCCTATCTCCTAAGTGATTGATACATTGTCAAGAATCAGTAAACTGTTACATAAATTTAAATTTCCTTTAGTCCTATTAAATTTATAAAACAAAAAAATTACTTGAAATGTAATTAAATACCTACATTTTTAGAAAGAGCTTCCACCATCAGACTGAAGAGACTTTTCAGACAATTGAGATGGGCTCAAACAGAGTTTTAAGAACTAATACAGAAGACCCAACAGTGTTCATGGTGCTTGTACCACAAGGAGCAATGCCTACAGCTTACCGGTTGGTAGTGTCTTCATCATCCAACTATCAGTAGAAAGCTTATTATTTTTTTTACGATTAAAAAAAAGATTCATCAAAGTAAATAGCAACCAATTTCACCTCTACATTGAAGAAATCAAAAGCACAATTTTCAAGGTTTCAATAAGCCACAGTTTATGTGAATAGCTTATCCAGCTATTAGTTTTAGTGTTCACACCTTTTGATCAGAAGGTTGCCAGTTAAAATAAAAGTATACTGAGAAAAGTCAGTAGCTTTTTGATGGTCAAAAAGTGAGGTCGTCCATCCTTGATCATTGGGCTTTTAGTCAATGTTAGTGACTAAAGATACAGTTCTTATCATCCACAAAGCTCTATAATGCATCTGACATATCCCACACTTATAGGCCTACCCTATTCATATTTGGATTAAGATACATATTTCTTCCTCAGGTTGGTAGCACTGTTGATCCATTGTATTCTACTAGCCAATCAGCTGCCAGCCAGTGAACATCATATACTTAGAGTCACTTCCAACGGTGCAAACTTCACTTCCCCAGACCATGAGTGGCCTCTCTTTCATCAGGTGAATAGATAAACATCACTCAAAATAAAATTCAAAACTTTTACTATGACCTTGACCAATGCTCAATATGCGGCCCAACGGCGTTCCGATACCTCTCAAAAACTTGTTGAGGGTGGATAGGAGGGGGAAGTGGGGTCATTCATTATTCCCTGTAGGTTACAGTTCCAGCACCTCATTTTTTACAAATCGAGCTCTGAATATGACAATGTTAAAGTCTGGTGACTAAGTTAAGACTACCCTACAAACTCTGTCTTCTGTGTACAGCCTCGTCACCTACAGAAAGTTATTTCTGAGAACTGATGTTTTGGCCTCTTTGCAGACAGCTGTTCTCAGAGCAATCAAAGAGGCAGGTGCTTCTACTGAGTCTGTAATGAAGCTAAAACGCCGGTACTTAGTAAGAAGTTTCAGCCTGTAACGTCATACCCAGAGGACCTATAGTTTGTAGTGTTAGTTTTAATTAAAATGAAATCAATACTTCTCAAGTAGATGTAGTCTAACGCTCCTTTCACACTATACGGTTTTTACAAATCGGACAAGCTTGTTTTTAGTAATTTATAGAAGGGTATGAGAGCTTTCACTTCACAGTTACAGCAACGGCAGAAAACCTTCCACTGTCACTGAACCAGACGGTTGTCGCAGCTTGGCCGTGCATCAGTGGCACATGTAGTTAAAGGAGAGCTTTCACTGCATGGTTTTTAATCGAACCTGCCCATCAGCCAGTGCAAATGGATCACCTGTGGCAAAAATGTTTATCATTTACAATCTGACCTTTCAATTGGACATTGTTTTTATTTATTTTGAAGTTGTAAACACATTCATCTTGCAATACGATCAGAAACTGTGTAATATGAAAGAAACGGCTTAGATTGTACTCTTTTCCACCATACGAAAAACCGTATAGTATGAAAGAAGCGTTAAGGGTGCGCTCTACCCGTCTGGCGCGCGCAAATGTAAGGGTTTTAGTTCTTCCTGATTGTAGCCCCAATTGTGAACCGATTTAAAAGATCTTGGTGTCATATTTTTCCTTAAATGTTATTGTAGGTTTCCCGTTTTTTTTAAATTTTGATAATATAAAAAATTTTGGGCTCAAAGGTTGGTGAAAAATGTAAAAACAGGCGTTTTTTATCATGAGTTTTAATACATTAAAATAATTTTTAGAGAAAAAATAAAAAACGGGAAACCTGCAATAGATTCTTAAAAACAAGAACCTGGAATTAGTTTACTAAAAAGTTGAATGATAACTATGTAAACAAGCAGACTCGAAAGGCTTGCAAGCGCTCCTAGCTCCTCCCACCACTTCCCCTCCAACTGGGTTGCACCGACACGGCGCAGTCTGGCGGACACTTCGAACATCGTTCTGAGATTTCCGAGCTGAGGTAGAGCGCACCCTTAAGTTCTACCTAGGTTTGCCTAGGACTATCTGGTCACATCGATATCACATAGGCGATTGACAGTATTTTATCTCCGTCCTCCAGTAAGATGTTCCACATTCCAACCACTAAAGCAGCCGCTATTGGTTCAGTGATAGCATAAGTTTTGTTAAACATACACTATAGCACAGTTGTATATATAGTTATCTTGTTTCCAGATCAAGAACCAGTTGAGGCTGTACGGAGTGGCAGCAGTGTTGTCATTTGAGTGTGTCCATCCTCATGTGGTCAGGTCTTTACAACTGTTGGTTCCACAAGTACATGCTCCGAGTCCCGAGGTGGGTAACTGAACTGTTGAACCCTCAAAACCAAAACATTGTAGTTTCTAAAGTGGTAAAAAATTATCATGATGTTTGTGCAAAGTGTGTTTAGTTAATAACACACATATTTAAATAATTTTAAAATGAAATTAGTTTGTCTATTTCACTTAAGTTAATTTTTGTTTACATTAGGCAATAAAAAAATATTTAGACGATTTAAGTCCATAAATACTCTAATCTTGAATATTGTATTCTAGTCAGTGCTAATTCTTGTGGTGGATTTAAAAAATCGTCTAACTGAATACCAGAAAAAGAATTCCACGCCTAACAGCATCGGAAGAACTTTTCTCCAGGAATATTTTGGACCGTACTTCTACCAGTTGGAGCTGCAGGAAATCATCAAACGTTTTGGTTGCAGATGTATGCTCATCAATGCAGAACAAAATATTTAAAAAAATAACACTTGATTTTTATCATCTAATACAATATGTCTCTTACCGGTATATTCTTGTTTGAAAATAAAGAAGTTAAAAGTCCATTATTATTTTGATTTTTAAACTAATTTCAACCAGTTAAAACAAATTAAATATTAGTTCTTATTAATAGTCATTGTATTTACAGATACATTTATTTATTAAATTAACTGTGCTGAATTCAATATCAATCAATTATCAGTTATTTAAGAAGGGGACGCCACTATCTGCGTACTTTAACCCAAATATGAGTGAAGGATGAGTGGCGCGATCTTGTAGTCTTGTTAGTGACTAAGTCCTACATATTCCTTAGACACAGCTGTTAACAACTAATGACAACTAAGGGACCTACAGTTTATAGTGGAATCAGAACCACATTTTGTCTTTGTATTAACGAATTGGTCAAATTATCAGGATAGTACTGCGGATAGTCGTAGTATTCACTAGTGCGGATGTTAATCCATACCAGGGGGTTTCGTATCCACAGTGCATCTCTATAAATATCCACAATTCGTGACCTCCTAGTACCTGGATTACTTTTGGAGTTCAGAGATGAGAGTTTCTGCTTTGGTTGGAGTGCCTGCTGAACTTAAACATTAAATTTTGATGATAGGGTAGATATTCCATCTATATGAACCAGCTGAAGGCAATTAAAAATACCCCCACCGCAGCAAACTGGCAGACTAAGCGAATTTCAATTTGTCTGATTGGATTTGTAATACAGTTGAACCTCTATAAGACGAATTTCAAGGGGTACGGGAAAAATTCGTACTATAGAGGTATTCTTAATAAAGAGGGTCGTTTTATCGAGGTTTAATGCTGCTGTTATTCTTCTTATAGAGGTTTCTCCTCGCTCCAAGGTTTTTCCAAACAATGACTGAGGAAGGAGGAGGGATGGGTGGGGGTTTCATGTTGAGACAAGCTTCTGTTTGTTTTGAAAACTACGTACTATGGAGGTTAAGATTATGATAAATTCGTCTTATAGAGGTCACGTTCGTCTTGTAGAGGTTTTGTGCTGAGAATATTCGTTGTATAGAGGTTAATCAGTCCTAGCCCATGTCACAAACAAATTCGTCTTATGGAGGTTTTTAAATTAATTACTACGTTGTATAGAGGTGTTTTTAGCATTGACCTATATGAAGGTGTCAAGGGGATTAAAAAAAATTCGTCTTATCGAGGAATTCGTTTTATCGAGGTTCGTACAAACGAGGTTCAACTGTACAATATTTCCATAAACAAAACGGATCCATTCCCCATTCAAATAACATAAGATTTAACAATTACTGTAGAATCCCTACTAAACTGACCATTGAAAGTTGGGCATTTCCATATTTTAAGGGTGAAAAATTTAAAAACCAATTTTTGGAAATTTCAAAACCCCATGACATGATCTTTCTTGTTCACAAACTCATTGAAGTCTATCCCTGCACATTCAAGCCAAATTTCATCAAAATCGGACCAAAATTGTTTGACTTATCGCGTTCACAGATACCGTAATAGATACACATACTATAACACCTTTAATGAATAGTGTGTTTTTTTTTTACCTCTGGGGACCTCAAAACAAAAAAAGTAAATCGGTAACGGGTTTAGGTCTTACCATGAAACCAACGGTAATAGCTTCTCTGTTATTTAATGACCAAAGATTTATGATTTATGATGGTGGCTTGGAATAGTTCCAGAAGCTATAATCCAATTATGTTGTCACCTCCAAATAATATATAGATAAATTTGCCGGACAATATTACTGCGGCCACCCAGGGATGGACATGAATATATATTTTATAAACCTGCTAAAGAACTCAGGCTCAAAAGGTAACCTATTTTAATATACTGCCCAGTTCGTAAAATACAAAATTCTTGGAAAAAATCATTTCAAAATTTAATTAACTCTTTCACAAGTAATTTCAACAAACAAAAATCTAAACAAAACGAACACATGTAAACTTATCCCTGTCGATCCTTAGACTTCTCCTCCAAATCTCTGATAGCTTTTTCATGCTTTTCTATTTGATCCCGATGATGTTTAAGCTTCTTCTGTGTTTCCTCTTTGAGTCGTTTAAGCTGGTCCTTTTGGAGATTGTAGAAATATTGGTCTTCTTTAGCCTTCTCCATCTCGGCAAACTTTCCTCCTGCATCTCTTATACTACCAAACCCGCGAATGCTTATTTGTGGTAATAAACTATCAACTACATTGGGAACTCCCATTCTGAGGAGAGGAAATAATTTTATAACCGACATGGTGAGTAAAGCTAAACTTAATATTTTGTCTTGACCAATTGTATTTGTTTTAATAGAACAAGATAAATATTTATCAGAAGGTAATTAAATTGTTACATAAACATATGGCATAGCTCAGTAGAATTGGGAAAACTTGTTTTCTTTGAGTATAAAAATGTAAATAAATTTTAATTTTATAAGCATGTCATTTTTTAAATTTATTCCATGCACGTTTCCATAAAATAGCGTTTTTTGTCCATACAAAATACTCTACTTGTAACATTGGCTTCAGTATGTAATTAATATGTATAAATGTATGTATATAAACAATGCATATATTAATAATCCTTTTAAAACCAAATCCTTGTTGTATCTTACCGGTACTTAATACTACAAACTCCCCCCCCCCAAAATAATTTTATGGAATTCCAGCAGCTTTAGGCAATGTAAACCCAGAAAAAAAACTTTAAAGATAATGTACAGTTATTATTTTCAATTTGAAGTGTATGGTTGTGTAAAGTAATTGTACTTAAGAAAAGTTAGTAATTAATGTTATACTGTGGAATTTCTTATTGTTGCCAAAAAACTGATCAATAAAACAGTTCCTCAAGCTTAACATTGTAAGCCCAGGAGCAGAGCCCTAAGGGATACGTATAGAACAGTTTCTGAAAGTTTCACTGCGATTAGAATTTTAACGGTTCAGTAACTCGTAAAGGATATACGAACGTACATCTGATTTCATCACATAGATTTGTCAAAATAATTTAAGGGCTGTATAGGAGTACTAATCAATCTCAGGTTACTCCTATCCTCCAACTATCCTCCACATAGACTGTTGATAAAATAGAAAGTTCAGAATGTTTCCTCACATATTACTGAATATCTACATATTTAAATTATCAGTTGTATGCCATTAATTAACGACTTTACACCTTTACGAGCTTAATGTAATCAACGAGCATTATAAAAAAGTACAATTTATTTGTATAACAGTTTTGCAAGAAAATGGTTTTATAAATCATCTCTTTTGACATTATAAAAGTTAAATTGTTTAATTATTCTGTAACTTTAAAGATCACTTTCGTTGAAATTCCTTCACCAAACAAACATCCTGTCTTAACCAAACCAGGGCTAGTTTACTTAGACACCGGAAACTTCAAAGGTTTGACCATCTGTGAGTCTTCCAAGACCAAACACTTTCTCTGAAAACGCTCTCATTGTTGACAATGATGCAATATTGACCTGGGAGAGGTTAGAACATCAGGCCTCATGCCACAAGGAGTGCCTGCCTCATCATACAGCTTAGACCAGCCTGCCTTCACTGTCATTAGTCATGTGGCTGCTTTGTGCTCTTGCTTTTTTATCACCTGTGGCGTCAGATACTCTGAACTCTACTTCTCAGGAAAATCAGGTTAGATAACAACATTTATCTATATTATCTGTTATTTTCAAACTCAATTCCCTTAGGGATCTATAATAGATAAGTGAGGTATTATTTTGGTATTACTATGATGGATGATGGATATATTTTTTTTTTTATTTAAACCTAACTATAATTAATATACATTATTTTGCAAAAACTTGTGAATTAAAGACAAATTAGGTACTAACATTTCATTGTGTTTGATAATACAGTTGAACCTCGTTTGTACGAACCTCGATAAAACGAATTCCTCGATAAGACGAATTTTTTTTAATCCCCTTGACACCTTCATATAGGTCAATGCTAAAAACACCTCTATACAACGTAGTAATTAATTTAAAAACCTCCATAAGACGAATTTGTTTGTGACATGGGCTAGGACTGATTAACCTCTATACAACGAATATTCTCAGCACAAAACCTCTACAAGACGAACGTGACCTCTATAAGACGAATTTATCATAATCTTAACCTCCATAGTACGTAGTTTTCAAAACAAACAGAAGCTTGTCTCAACATGAAACCCCCACCCATCCCTCCTCCTTCCTCAGTCATTGTTTGGAAAAACCTTGGAGCGAGGAGAAACCTCTATAAGAAGAATAACAGCAGCATTAAACCTCGATAAAACGACCCTCTTTATTAAGAATACCTCTATAGTACGAATTTTTCCCGTACCCCTTGAAATTCGTCTTATAGAGGTTCAACTGTATTGGTACTTCTCTTTTTAACTCAATATTTTGGATAACTTAGATTTTTAAATAATGTGATTGAGAAAACAATCAAAGCCATTAGTTTGAACAATTTCTGATTGTCATAATTTCTTATTTGTCATGTGATGCATCTACGTATTGTAAAACAAAGAAAAGTGGGCCCAGACTATTGATTATCCATTGAATGAATTTTTGACAAATAGTCGAAAATAATAAATATTGTCTACGTCTTTCTCTTCGTATTTTTCTGGACTGATATCAAATACAGCCTACTTAGTTCTGTAATACACATGTGGGTTAGTAGTGTAATGGTTTCAATATATTTCCAAGTTATGAGATTTATTTGCCCAAGGGAACTAAAAGTTACCAAGTTCATATAAGAGCAACTCTAACATCTAATGGTGTTACAATAAGTTTAGAACTCCAGGCTATACATAAGTAATATCTCATAAGGATAAAGTAAAGTATTTTTTTAGCAACTAAGATTTTATAAATAAAAAAGTTCTATTCCAATTCTACTGTATACAAAACTTAAGCCAGCTTTGTTAGTTTTACTTATTCCTTAATTTTCACTTTTCAACAAGTCTTTAAACATTTACATTTCACTACAGTTAATAATTTACTTTGCGATAATCATTTTTCAAATAAACAACTGATTCAGAACATGTTATCCAAACATCTACAAATAACTTATCAGAAAACATATCTTTAAATATAAATTCCGAAAAGAAATGTAACACTCTTTAAAGCTGCTGCAATGTTTTACCTTGTAAAAGGCTCACGTCATGGGAGAACATTGCTCTAAATTACAACTAAGTGGTGAGATGTGTTTTTCACTAATGCTGTGTTTCCCGCCATTTTTCTAGGACGTGGCTCGGGTGACAATTAAGTAAACAAACGAGGAATGATCACCTTCCCTTCTTACTTTGCTCCTACCCTCTTTTGAAAAAATATGAAAAATATATTCTCTTTCTGTAAATGCAACACAATGATTTTAAATATTTGTTGTTCAATTGTGCTACCTTTTGTAGCTCAAATTTTCAAATTCACCACCGCTGTTAATCCTTTTCCGCTGATTATAGAGGGTGTTAAAAAAAGGTGGGAGCATAATTTACGTAGTATATCCTTGGGTCAAACAAAAAAGTAGGGTAACACAAACAGACAGATGCTAAACGGAAGGAGATAGGATATATGTTTATAGAAACTGGTTTGCTTATTTTGACTCAAAAATCACAATGCTATCATCTTAATTCAGTCATATTTTCTTTATAATTTGCACTTTGGTGTGTGGTAGAACAAATAAAATCTACAATGTAATCCATAAAATAAGCCAGACATTGCAAGCTCCCAACTACACTCTGTTAAAAAACATTGTTTTGTGTAGGTGTGCGGAGGAACACTAAACTTGAGGCAAGATACAGCGACTCTCAGACTCCCGGCAAGTTCCTCCCAAGTGCAATGTACCTGGACCTTGGTCAGTGATGACTTATGTGGACTAATGGTTGACCTTGGAGACTTCAAACCACCCCAGTGTCCTAGTGATCAGCTGATTGTGGGAGAGACACAGCTGTGCGGAGATCTACCTAGAATGGTGCTTCTGCCTCTAGTCTCGCCTCTGACTAACATTACGTTCAGGTAAACTCATTGTAGATTTGCAGAAGGGTTTCCATGTAAAGTCTTGTCCTTTAAAACACTTAGCCATTGAGAATATATATTCTTTCAACGCTAAAATTGAAATTAACCATCCATTGCTACAGTAAACTTTAAAACACAATAAATTACCTGTTAAAATTTTTTTAGTGTACGATGGCTTGGAGTGTTAGGCTGCTTAGTTTACTTTAAAAGATTTAATGGTATTTTTTTTGGAAAATGGAATATTACTATACTTTTCTTTAAAAAGTTATGGAATCCTCAAACTGTGCTTTAGAAATGGAAAGATTCCTTGTAAAATGTATTAATCAAAATAAGTTGTATCCATTCAACATCTTTTAGCAAAATTCTCATATAGGGAATATTAGCGAATTTCCCATTAGGGAATAAGACCTAGACCTAGACCCGGGACAGATTTACTTTTTTGTTTTGAGGTCCCCAGAGGCAAAAAACACCATCCGTTTTTGCATCATATACTCTGTTCCCAAAATGTAGGCGGTTTTAGGGGAATACATCTATCTTTTCTACTTGATCCCAGCTTTGAAACAACTGCTCAACAGCTGAGGTTCACCAAAACGTAAATCAGCTGCAAGATACAATAAACAAAAATGGTGATGGGGAACTTCCCTCAAACCGCCTAATTTTTGTGAATGGACATCAAAACCTGATCAAACAAAACTTTAAAAAATATATTATCCTCCTCAATAATACAAATAGAATTTTCTAGTTACTATGATCATAATTTAATCACTATAGTAAAATTTTTAGAAACCACAAGATCTTGATTGCTGTAATATACGCTTTATTTGTAAAAAAATGAAATTTACTTGCCTAATTGAATCCTGTACAAAAGATTAGATATCTAAACCATTATGTGTGAACTTTAGCAAACATTTTTGTTTTTGCAGAGGAAACGCAGACGGATATGAAACATCCAACATCACAATACGTCAAACCAGATGTGAAAACCAGTCAACCAATACACAAGTCACAAACCGATTAGGAAAACTAGAAACCTTCAGCTGTGGCGGAGAGTTCTTTGGGAACAACGTTGTTATCGAGAGTCCAGGATACCCCACATCTTACCCTTCAGATGCCTTCTGTGTGTATACAATCAGACGAACAAATGACGATGTGTGCCAGGTAGAAATAACTTTTGAGAATTCAAGCCTAGAAGTGTCAGAAGAATGTTACAAGGATAGACTTGAAATACAAGGTGACAGAATCTGTGGGGAGCTGAACGGAGTTAGGACATATGGAATAGACACTACCTTAGAGATTAGGTTTGTAACTGATTATAACATCAGTGGGAAAGGGTTCAAACTATTAGCGAAACAAATTAAATGTTCTGATACACCTATTGTGGTAGAAGCTCAAGAGGAAAACGATAAGCAGGATGTGTTGGTTGATTGTGGACCTCAAGGAGCACAGGTATTTCATACCGACGAAGGATATCCTAGGACCAGAAGACCTTTTCCCCCTTTCCCTCTGCCAGGTAGAAACTACCCTCCCTTACAGAGTTACCCTCCTCAAGAAACGTTTCCTGGAAACCCTCCTGTTCAAAGAATACCACCACAAGTGTCTACTCCACAATTTCCTCCTCGCTATCCTTCATCATATAATCCGCCTTCGTCGTACAATCCTCCTTCATCATACAACCCTCCTTCATCTTACAATCCTTTCAACAAGTTTGTTCCCCCACAAGGATATCTCCCTCCAGTGGGTTCAATATCACCATTCCCAGGACAATTCCCAAAAGACCCAAACTTAGGAACTTTCACCTCAAACCCTCCAACTACTCTTCTAAGACCATCTGTTAATCAGTTTTCCCAAGGTGAACAATGTTGTGGACGTATTTACACAGACAGCCACTTTCTCATCGCAAGTCCAGGTTTTCCTCGAAGCCAGTCTTCAGATTGTATCTTCACCATCCAGAGATACAGCCCTCTAACGTTCCAACTACGATTTCAGTTCCGATATTTCTGGGTAGGCCAGGACACCGGGGATGGATGCAGTGGAGGAGCTCTTGAAATCGATGGAAACAGAATCTGCGGATGTAAAACTGGAATGATTTGGACCACACAATTTTTTGACTCCGAATCAGTTAAAGTTCTCCATCTAAGGTTAGACTCCTCAATTGAAAAGTTGTTTAACGGGTTTGTTATTGAAGTTTATCAGGACGATTCGTACTCAGGGAGATATAAAAGAGGTGACATTAACCCTGACGTAGAGGAGTTTACTTTGTCTAATGGTAAAATTGTGAACTTTACTCAGTACATCGAGACTATTGTGGAGCGAGAACCGTTGATACCCAATAATGGAAACCAACTCGTAACTCACAGGCAGCTGATTTGGGATCCTAACCGTCAAGCTTGGACTTTGCCTTCAGACTTTTTCTGTCTCCGCTGGTCTTTCCAAGACTGGATACTACTAGCCAAGGAGGCATTGTGGAGTCAGTACCAATGCCCAGTATCTGGTACTTCCAGTATGAGTACAGTAGATTCGTCCAGATTTGATATCACAGCTTGTCGAACCTGCAACTACTTTTGCCGTCAGAACTGTCAATGTTGTTGAAGGAAAAGTTTCTAAATGCAGTGGATGAAGCGATGAATCTTTATGTTCTAACGTAGAACACACTTCTTTTTTGCTCTGTTTATACTTTACAGGTGATCAATGTTTATTCAAATCATCTTTACAATGTTGGTATGAATTTATTTTATTCATAGAGATACAGTATATTGAACACAATTTGCTTGTTCTAGTGGTTAATAAAACTCGACTCTTTCTAGTTCAGCAGGAAAGTGATAGTGGAATTTTATGCTATTACAAATTAAAGGAATATTCCAGTATAGGCTATTCCAATGTTTCAATTGCTGTTGAAATCAATGTGTTTAAATAAAACAAGGTTATTTTTAACATTGTATCTAATTCTTTCCAATTCTCAAATAATATTAAAGTTTGTACATGAAAATATAGTGAGGGTTAATAATTTATTTCCCACTTTACTAGCATCTAGTATATGATATTTATAATTTTGTCCCATTAACATTAGTCAGTATTCTTTTTTATTTATTTTGCCATTAGTCTATCTCCAAGAAATAAAAGTTTTGACATTTAAATATTTGTGCCATCAGTCTGGCTCCAACACATGTTTTGGAAATATAGGATATTAACATTTTAATAACATGTGCTTTTGTATTATTGTTTGTTTTTTATGTTGTTCATGTTGAAGAAATACTTGTACTGAATTATTTATTATCTTGATTATTTAGTGATTTTTCTCTCAAAGTTTTCCTCTCTTTTCACTATAACTCTAAACTTCTAACCTCAAGACTGACAAGACTCATCAAGATTTACAAAGAAGAAAATAGTTCAAGGTAAAATCTCTTCAAATATCATTTGGTGAATTAATAGTCAATGGTAGGCTACTACACTCAAGCCTGATGCTAAATTTTATTCAACCACTCTCATTCTCTCCTCTCTACTTTAATCATATCAAACAGGTAACTGAAATTTAATTTTATAGTAAAAGTAAGGCTTGTAATGCTATTAGTAACCTTATTGAATACATCTATCATATCAAATATATTATATATATATATTACTTTCCCAAGATAATTGTTTTCTATTGAATTGTATATTGTTAACAAGTTGAATAATGTTACACCACAATAAGCTTCTTGATACTGTAACTATAAGACCATTCAGTTGGCAATACTGTCGCTATTGTTGATCTGTCAATGGACGTGTCATTGCTGCCAACACAGTATTGTTGTGATTATCACTCCATATATTAGTGTTGGAATCAATATTCTCCTTCCTTCTTGATACTGCAGAAATTCAGTTGGCAATACTGTCACTATCGTTGATCTGTCAATGGATGCGTCTTTCATTGCTGCCAACTCAATATTGTTTTGATTATCACTACGTAGTAGTGCTGGAATCAGTGTTCTTTCTCCTCCCCTTTTGCTTGTTTCTATAATTTTGTGTTTACAATAAAGTAAAATAAGCTAGGGAGGAAATAATAATGTTTAGAATGGTTTGATAGTCACGTTTAAAGTAAGCATGTTCATATCATAAATACTGGCTTCTGTAACTATAAGTATTTATAAATCATAAATGCAAGACAATTAATAAAGAAGAAAAAGGCCCGTGTGAAGATTGTGCATTTTAATAGGGGGTAAAACTTATTTCCAAAGGTATAATGTAATACCCTTTTAACTTAAAGATACGATACCCTTTTACCGTACTATACCTTTATACCCAACAGATATAAAGTATATACTAACATAATACAAAATAAACAATAAAGTACACATCATGTGCATCATTACGATGAAAATAAAAACTGCACATTAAGACAGGAAACAAAGATCTTAAAATTCAATTTGTCGTCAGTATACAGTTTTGGGCCTAGTGATTGTTGGTAACTGGTCGATTAAGGGCAATTTGTTGGATTAAAATAATATACCGTAGGTAGCTTCTATATAAGACTAGATATAAAATGTATTACTTTAACTTAGTCTTAAGACAGTTTATGAAATTGAATTATAAAACAATGACGTTGTGTCAATCAGTCAAAACAAGCGACATCCAAGTTGGTTATGATATCGGCGTTGATCTGTTGTGTACTATCGTTAAAACAAGGGACTTTGATGAATAGCCAGAAATTCACCAATCTCAATAAGAATATCATTTGTACAAAACATACTTTTTGATTATTTAAAAGATGATTGAGGACATTTTTCATCACGATTGGTAATGAAAGTTTTCACCACGTTTCGGGATCTGGAATCTAACTCCATCCTCAGGTGAGAAGCCTGAAACACGGCTAGATTAGTTCACACATCCACTTTTTATGATTACTTGATTTCATTAATGTTTGTAGCGAATATATACCACTAACATTGTTGAATTTTGATTGGTCCGTTTGTTGAAACTGTTTTACGCATAATTAAATAACATAGACTTTATTTTAAAGAGTTCGTCTTTACTAAGAATGTTTTTCACAAAAACTTGAGTCAGTCTTTAATTAAGAAACAAAATAATTCTACAAGGAAAAAACTCAACTGATGGGAACAAACCACATTTTGCCCTAGCAAAATTAAATAAGTTAAGGGTATTAAATACGCTTACATTAACTACGAATTAAGAGTGTAATAAAAGAATATAGTAGTGTATATCAAATATCAGTTTGATACGGAATAACTCACTTCCTGATGACACATGCTTATTATATTCCTAAATGATTTTATGTCGTGAACAAGAAAAGGGGTTATAGATTAGCATATTATATATTATAACGCTTATTCAATATCTATTTATACGTGGTACTGTGTTAACAAATCTTACTTAAACTAGTCTGTATTGAATAGATTGCTTTTCACATTCCTATAAAGTGGTAATTGTTCTGTAATACCATTACTTACAAGCTTAACAGGCTAAACAGCTAGATCTGTTTAGTTAAATTATCGTCGTATGGTTCGTGCAGAATAAAAATAATTGCACAATGAAACATTGTTTGAAAAAAAAACCAAACATATATGAAACTATTATTTAACATTCTAAATTTAAAGTAGTATGTGTTGTTCTAATATACAGCAAGCTGCGTGTTAAGTTTTTTTCAAACAAGTTATTACAACGACGAAATTGTACAGACTGATACAAATATGATGTCAAAATATTAAAATAAAGATAACATCACAATATTTTGAAGACAAATTGGAACTGACAGGCAAAAAGTAAGCTAAATCATAGTTTGGAGTCTACCAAAGTGACAAAACACTTCAGCTGATTAGGATAGAGGAACTGGCCTTGATTGCGATACAATTCTGCAATTAAGGCTTAACTTATACTGCGTGTAGGCTACCAAGCAAGTAGAAACAGTGTGTACACGGACAGTGTGAAGGACAAATTAAATTTCCCAATGACATATCTACCGTTGCAGATGGTATGCTGACTTTGTATCAATTTATAAAATACATTGGTATAAATTTAAATTTTAAACCCGCTGTGCTGTTAAATGTCTTTACACCTCACCACACTGTTTTAACGAACTTCCCTCGCAAGAATTTAGTCCAAAAACAGCTGTTTGCCCCAGCTTAATCAAATGGGGCTTTTTTACCGGACACCAGCTGATTATTTTGGCAATGAGTGGCTATGAACAAAAACATAACCTCTCTTAGAGGTTATGTATGAGTGATTGCTGGTCCTTTAGGGGGTGGGAATATATATTAGTGGCGTACGATATTTTTTGCTCCATACTACTCTAAGCTAACTAAACAATAAAGTATCTGTACAAATCCTTGTATTATAAGGATTATAAGGATAAAGTATCTGTACAAATCCTTGTATTATAAGGATTATAAGGATAAAGTATCTGTACAAATCCTTATATTATAAGGATTTGTACAGATACTTTATTGTTTAATTAGCTTAGAGTAGTATGGCGTAAAAATATCGTACGCCACTCGTCCAAAATGCGTTTACCGGACTCGTAGTTGTAATCATGCACTCGACCTCGTCCGGTAAACACCTATTTTCAGGACTAGTAACGTATACTGTTTCGATAAGATAGTAGATTGTTTAGTGTTATAAGTTATCTATTGTAATTCGATTAAAACGATATTCTGTAGATATAAATATGTTATAACATGCGCTTCTTAACGTGCAATGCTTTGTGAACAACAAGCAATATTCAAGACGGAAGCTTAAGACACGCTAACAGTTTTGTTTTTGTGTTGAGTTAGGTTTACAAAACAGTTTACAATCAATCCTATCTGGAATTCATATAGGTTGTTATTTAGTTGAATAATATAATAATGTACATTAGAGAAAAACAATATCAAGAAAGGGGTATCACACCATCATCATAAATAGGTAGAGAAGAAGAAAAGAAGTTATGGGATAGCTTTTAAATTCCTATAACAAAAGTGGCTTTGAAAGTTCTGGAGGAATATTTAAGGGTACCGTAAATTTAACTTACTTGTCAACGTTGTCGTTGCATGTTTGTTGTTTTATGGGAATTGAGAAGAGAAGAGACAAGAGACAGTGCCGTGAGAGGCTGCTACCACCGAAAACACCCTGAAAACGCCAATGGCTGCCACTATCCGTCAATGGTCTCTCCTCTAACCATACGGATATTTATTCAACTGTTATTAATGTAGTTACTCACAACTTATCTTTTCTAGTCACAAGATATTGTTTTAGACTAATTATCTTTCATTTTCCTGATTACTTTCGATTCTTTTAATCCATTACGTTTATGACACAATAAATCCATTTAAATTCAATGATGGAAGCTATTTGCTTTGTATTTTCGTATGAAATATGTGTGTGATGCTTTATAGTTATTTTACATTGTATGAATGGTCCCAAGGGAATTATTCAGAATTCAGTTTACTGTAGATGATAGAATGACCAAATTCTGGAACCAAAGCTGCTCTTTACCTACACTACTATGCCTAAGTCATCCACTCACTGGCACGGCTAGAGAGAGGTATCAAAAATCAATTTGCATTTTATGAAAACAATGTATTTAAAAATCTATGCAACATGAAGATGCGAAACACCGAAACAGATATTTATTGACAAACATCAACAGAAACATTTAACAACACACATCGAGTCCGACTGAGTCACACATTCACGCTTCTACTTTCTGCGGCCCAGGAACCGAATGTTGGTGAAGATTGCTCGCGCGGGCCTCCGCCTGTTGCAGAAGTGAACGGTACGATCCTTGCCGTGCTTGGCTTCGTGGAGGGCCACCAGTAGTTGGAATACGTCGTCCTTGGATGGGTTGCAAATGTATCCGTCAGGGTCATAGTTTCGTCCGTTCTGTCGTTTCCAAGGGTACCGCCGGTAGTAGCGGGAGCGCTTCCACGGCACGGGTATTCCCGTCTCCTCTCTCTCCGCCGTGTCCTCCTCCCCACTGATGTACACTAGAGGATCGCCTACCTCGTCCCAAGGGTCCTCGATCAACAACTCTGTCAAAATGTTCGCCAGTTCGTCAAGGTCAGCTTCTGAGGAGGATGGTTCCACATCTGTGCTTAGGCCGGCTGCTTCTGCTGCAGACAGACACAGAAACACTTTGTAATATGCGTGATAAGTTGTTAACTAAATGATTTCAAAGTTCAAAACAACTTAGGTGGAATAATTAATTTAAAAAGATTTATTTAGAGGGTTGTAAGATGAATGAAAGGTTATATTGAATATAGGTTGTACATTTTTTTGTATCATAATTATTCGGTCATCGTAGCAATAAAATACTTCATATAACAAAAGGGGTTTCGAAAGTCCCACTTGGTTTCGAAGTATGAAGTATGGAGCTTGGATCGAGTAAGTTTTTATGTTAGTGTAGTCTAATACTAAGCCACATAATATGCACTAATTGTATTAATCGAAACGGTAAAAAGACATAAAATTTATCGTACAAAAATGCACACCATCTTCTGGTTTAAAAGCATTAATCATTAATTATGAACGCATGAATTAAAGCATTAATCATGAAAGAGATATTTTTCCTAAACATCGGCGAGTGAATATAAAGTTAACAATAATGCAAAAAGGAAAATAAATAAACTTTCTGAAATAAACTTGAGGCCAATCGTAATGAAAGAAATATACATTAAGTAGATAAACAAAACCGAAATGACCTGTATTTTCAGATGAATAATTTGTCGAGGCTTGATACTCAATTCGTTGCAGTTATGATGAAAAATACTGAACATGAAATATACTATCATTTTTTATTTTTATTTAAAGTACAGTAGTCTGCAAGTTGTTTGCAGCGGGGTTTATAAGCGTATCTCTTAGTCAGTAGCCATATTTTGTCTTTTGGACACAGGCATACTGTTTGTCTCGTAGAATTCGAGTTACAATTAAGTGAAAACTACAACTGACAAATTTTGCGCTGTTAGAGGTTTAAAAAGTTGTAGGTTCGCTTGAAATATTAAAAAAAGTTATTCTGTTTGTCATTATTACAGTTTTAATTTCTTCTGGGCTTTTTACAAAAGTATTCATCCTCGCTGTATATGAATATGTATCTGAGGGTTATATTTACATTTTGAGAAATATTTTAGTAATATACTCTCATGGTATGTATTCTAACTGTGCTAGTAAAAACATTATTCATTTATGGACGTTCTTAGTAAAAATTGCACCTTATGATGAAATAACGTGAGGAGACGCAAAACTCAATTTAGTTTACACCAGGCAATATCAGTGTCAGATCAAGTAAAGCTATTGCAGAAGGTGATAGTGCGGTAATAGGTTAATTCTCGCATAAGACAGGAGCTTATTCAGTTAGTGGGAGAGCTTTAGTGAGTCTGAAAATCGTATTCACAGCGTCTGTCTGCATTTACGTAAAGAGTGTGGGGGAGGAGGGTGGTTCGAATATGCACCATCACCATCTACACTGAATAACAATGAGTGTACTTTTAGATTAGCTGAGTGGCGAATAAAATACTCGTTTCTTAAGATAAGTAACCAAAAACTGCAGTGCTTGAAATTTTAGGGTCTTAACGTGTTTTTATTATTGAAATAATTTAGTATACCCTATCAATGACCTTTGAAACTCATAAAGGTATGCTTATTAAGGTTTGTCTTTGAATATAAAAAGTAGTGCTTTTAACCTAAGGTTTCCACGTGGTCTGTACTTGAGACTTGTTCCAATAAACCTCAAATCATTTTTAAATCACAATTTACTAAAAAAAAAAAACACAGGTATACAGATAATTTAATAATACTTCTCAGTATTGAAGAGATTTTGCGTGTCTTTAGATATTAATATTTTCCTTAGTTGTGAAACTATTTAAATTCCTAGTATTCATAATAATGTCATTCTCTAGATTCTTGAGTATGAGATGTAACTGTGGTTTGAAGTATAGTTTTTTGCCAACCAATTAACTCTAGAACGGCAAAACTACTATTTTAGTCGTTTGGGTATGGCATAGACAAATAGAATAAATAATTGTCTATGGTAATGGTAAGATGGTGGTCAAAGAGCTTATGTAAAATTTCTGGGTATCTATTGAAAATTGATCAAATCTCTAACTGATTGATATATGATGTACGAGTTTATTATATTGCAACCATGTTTAAAATGTAATTACATCTACTATATTTTGCTGAAAACTTTTAATAACCATGATCATGCAACATTGAGTAAATTGAGTTCAATAATCTGATCCAAAGCATTTGTTCAGTTACTGACAATAATTGCAAAAATAGTTAATACAAACCGATTACCCTTCTTAAGAAAGACCGTATCGGTTGATACGTGCATATGCTACACACACTTTTCATGCCTGAACAAATGCGTGGAAAAGACCACACGAACGTAATTAGTTAAAGGCGAGAACAACACTTAACAAACATATAATGCATGATAACTTACGATAAGGAACAAAGGGGTGAATATCTGGAGGGGTAGGAGAACCGTTGCCGTGTTGAAGACCAACTAGAAGAGACACGGCAAGGGTCACAAGCAGGGTGGACATAGCGATGCCTGCAGAAACCAACATACGGTATATAGTGTTAAATGCAATATTGTACTGAGTAGTAGCTTTGTAATAGTGACTCGTAGGATACCTGCCAAGAAACAGTAAGATCAACAAGTAATAGAACAGTATGGAATAGGAAGGTCCAAAACGTCTTAGATAAGTGGAATTTTATGAAGAAAATAAAAGACGTTGGAAGGTGTATTGAGTCTGATGATTGGAGTGTCCAATCGAAATCGATCACCACTTACCATCTTTTATATGTATTTACCGTCATGTGAGTCAACAGTATGAGTGTAAAAATACTATTAAACGTGTTATTAGAAGCATTTTTTATTTTTCAGGACTTAAATATTGGGAGGGGAGGGAGTTTTAATGAGTGTATTTCTGCAAAATTTACCTATACATAGGATGTTGTAAAAAACCTGATCTTCGAAAAAAAGCCTCCCTAAAAGCCTTTGACACCTTCAAATATCTTTACTCATTAAAATCTTCCCATCAATAGATTAAGTAAAATCATCTTCATCAAGCAGTATGCCAAAAGATAAATAAGGGTAGTACGGTATGTGTTGGTATAGATTCTGGCAAGTCTTAGAACAATGTCCTTAGTGTAAACCCACGGGGTGAGTGAGTTGGCTAGTGGTTAGAACGAGGGACTTCGGTCCTGAGGTCCTGGGTTAAATCCCGCCAAATCACCAATGGATTTCATCTAAGTGATAATGCCACAACCCCTAGGTCTAGCCTGAAGTATTGTGATACACATTCCTAGGCCCAGCGTCCTAGGAAAAAAGTGTAACCCACTAAGATACTGTGTTATTTTCCAGCTTACAAACTTGTCCGGATGTTTAAGACTATCCTATTCGACAGGAGTAAAGGATGGATACAGGGGATGAGTTAAACAAGATCAATATTGAGGCATATCACTCAACAGTGACAGGTGTGAACCTAAATAATCAACAAAACGTTCTCTGGGAAACCTTGTTTTACGAGACAAATTCACGTTCAATTTGTACTTTCATTTACAGTTTCGTGGTTGAAAATGAAATCAAGTCACTAAGTACATTTTATTTTGAAAATTAAATGTTTATTGGTTATTTACTAAACGTATCAATGTGAATATGTAGTTAACTAGATAACTAGATTGAACTTGAGTTAAATTAACTACGATATCATAACAAGATTTTCTTAAAATAACACGAAGCAAACTAACGCAGGTTACAATATCATAGCAAAGTAAATACACAAACAAGCAGTATCGTATGTAGTAGGTAGTAAAATATGACATTTCAGAACTGACGTGGTATTTCTCCCGCTAGAATAGAATAAATATTGTGGGAAATGGAAAAGTCTATTAGAACCGTGGGAGTTATCTAATTACAATACCACTTTACGACTAAAATAGATAGGTCTTGCAGTTATAATTTTTTGAACTTCCCATTAAAACATCCGTTATCTAAAGATACACGCCAGTATTTCATTCATGAATCAATTTAATAATAGATTTTCTGGAAAGGTCAATTTATAGGTCAATTTAAAAGTGATAAATGATTCAAGAATTTTAATATGTTTTTAGAAAGCTCGAAATTTAGGAACTCTGATCGTCTCTAATCGTCCAAGATGTCAGAATATAAAATATCTTTACACCCAAGCTATCAAATACGGACATTTTCGATCTGACGTGGTATTTTTGTCACTTACGGTTAAATTTAAATTTGTCGTCACACTGCAGCAGAAACAGCCGTTTTTAATGCATGCGTTGCGGTACTAAAGTAGCATTTTTACTCTCTAGAGAGCAAAAATCATTCATAGTCTCTAGCACGAATAATATAAAAATACGTCTCTAGGGAGTAAATATCAGCTGTTGTAAACAGTTGTAAATTTCAATTGTGGCAATCGTATTGATCGACATTATCGATTTATTTATTAAATATCTTTACATACCAATTATTTCGTATTTTAGCTTTGTTTTTGTTGATTAATGATGCAATATGACGAAAAATAGTTAACCACACGGGCAAAAAGTGACCTCATTTGCGAGGAGCAGTAAAACTTGACCTCGGATCAAAAAGAGTCACTTTAGGCCCTAGTGATGAAATATACTATTTCCACCCAACACCTCCGAAGTATGAGTAGTTTCAAAGAATTGAATTGCCTACGAAAAATACAATGCACGTCCAAATCTCCGTCAAGTAATTCCTTAATATGGAATAAAATATTTTCACTGTGTTTATAAATACTGTGTCACGTTTTTGGCTTATTGCTAGCGTCTCGTCTCTCAAATTTCTGTGGGACAATCCCTGGAATGTCTAAAAAAATTTAATGCAATTTTGGACCACTTAGCCCTTAAACTTGTTATTGGACCTTTATATTGGAATCTGCATTGCTCGTTAAAAAGAATCCTAATATTTTTGTAACAACAGCATGGTCCACAATTACAATACAAGAAGAGCAACAAATCCTCATGTACCACAAGTAAATTCCACCCTTGCAAGCAAGAGCCCTTACTTCAATAGTATAAAGATTTACAATAAATTGCCTCAGTACATTACGCAAGAGCCTTCTATCAACAAATTCAAGAACCTGCTTAAAACATTTTTAAGTCAAGCGGCCTACTACAGTGTTGATGAAATATATGTCTAGGCCATGTGCATGAAGAGGAAATGAATCAATTTTATATTAATTAAAAGCAAGAAAAGTATAAAAACCTGACGACCACGTCGCTGATGCGATACCAGTGGGAATTCTCCAAGTATCCAAGTAAGTATCCAAGTAAACTGAAAGCGTTTAAAATGCCACTAGCGTAAACCCCCAAAAACCATTAAAAAATATTGGGTGTTAGCTAGCCTAATATTGCGTAATGGAAACAAGTAAGTTTCACTTTCAAACTTATTTCCAATCTCTTACATAGCAGAATGAGATTTATTGAAACTTTCGTTTGCGAAGTTATGCAACAAAGCTCCGTAATCTAGTTTAAACTTTCAAGTAGCCTCTAGGAGTATGAGAGCAGTAAAACTTGTTTCACGTCTTAACGCCTTTTAACTCTTACCTCAACGGAGACAGCTTTAATTAAACGATTTTAGTTTAGTTTGTAACATATTTTGTATTTATCACTTAATAAGGTATACTCAGTACTTATGATATATGATGATGAAAACTTCAATTTCATTAACTTTACTACGATGAATTAAAAAAATACCCTTCTTAATAATCCTTTGGTTTCTTGACTGAAAATGTTTTTTAAAATAATTTAAAATTGCAACAAGACAAGATTTTAGATTGTGGCTGTGCTACAAGTAATGTAAATATTTGTACTAAGCTAGTTGCCTAATTAACTAACGTTCAACATATGTTGACATCTGCTCAAGATTTTTTTTATTTAACTTCATTAAACTTTGAGTGGACGAACATTTTATTTACTTAACATGATTAAAAATAAGTAAAAATACTGTTAATTCGAACTTTAAAATACATTTCACCTGCCACTGTTACTGTTAAGAACTGTGGGGAGGAGGCACCATTGCACCACCCATACATAGGTAAAGCTATTCAGAACGTTCTAAAGAGTCTATAATCATCCTCAAACAAACTAGCTCATGTTTTTGTATATTTACTATTGCTTGTACATGTTACATAACAGCTGCATTTATTTTTTTCCAGTTAGTAATTATTAATTTAAATTAAAAAAATATAAACTTATTCAAACTTAAAAGTTGCTACGCCCTAATACCAATATAATAAAAGTAAAGAATTATCTGTCCATATTAAATTTTCAATCGTTAGCCTAAATCCATGTTTTAGATATAACAACGCATTTTTAAAAAAAGAAGTGCACTTTAGAGACAAAACAAAGATTGTACAACGTTTGGGATTTTGTTGTTATGGTTGCCATGAACTGATAGCAATACAAATAACAAAGTTCTCGCTTATGCTATGAGTAAAATCTATTGGGTGTTGTGAGTTGAGAGTCTTTGTGAAAATTTCAGATTAAAAATTATCTACAATGAATTAGATCAATTTACACTATCTTAAATGTAGAATGCATGAAATCAAATGAGCCATTATCATCTGTTTAAAATTTCTTAAAGATTTGCACGAAATTGTTACTTTTACTTAAATATGTAAATATTTTACTCCGTCAAAAAACTCTATGTTACTCATGTTACTAGGGTTGTACATAAAATCTAAATCAAAAATGTTAACTTTAAATAAACATTCAAATCCATTTAAATGTAAGCCTTGTCAAGGGAGCCAAGCCAACACACGCCCTTCTTTGTATTCACCGAAGCTTACTTGGAAGTGGTAGAATCGTACCGCAAATCTCATATAAATATCAACCTAGCTCTGATTTCTTTCTAAACTCCGATTCTTCGTATTTTATTTGGTTCCCTGTTTTTATATATTTTCAAAGAAAATAGCTTGAAAATGTATATCAAGCTTGGTACAAGTGAGGATTTTATTTTCTAAGCGTTACTGAATAGTGTCATTACTGTATATATTTGTATTTATATTTTATCAAGAATCGGTCAAAATAAAAAAAAAATAACAAAGTCAATGGTTTGTTCATAAAGGTTAATTTAGTGTCATGACTTAAAATATTTTAATGCTAAGATTTTTCAAACTACTTATAAAACTGCTACATACATAGCTGAAACATTTATCAAACAAAATAACTCTAAATCAAACATGAAACTAATTCAAATGCATTTCAAAGTTTATAAATACGTATTTATCTTTTAAATATTTTAATTTTTTTGTTAATTGAGGTGAGGAACGACTAAATTAACGATATAAAATCATCGATATATCTATTTTGAAAATACCATAATTAACAATTTCTTTCAGAAGCTATAAAAGAACAGTTATTTTCTATAAACGTCCAGTTAAAGACCAACAACCTCCAAGGTCCCACAAGTCGGCTAAAAGCCTGTCTATTAACAGCCAGCGGGTGTCTGGCTAATTGTCCGCCATGTTGGCTTATTGTTCTCCATTGTATGACGTCATACCTTCACA